TACATTTATCCTTATATATACTCATATCCTACTTCGATCTGATTAAAATACAGATCTATATTTCGTGTTTTTATACTTTCGATGGCCTACACTAGAGTTGTGAAGACAAGTAAAACGAAATTTTGAACTATAAAAAAACGAAACAAAAAAGGATCTGTATTTTTATCAGATTGATCCTACTTCAACTAATTTTAATTCCGACGCAGACCGAGGGGACCGTCGAATATTTCTTTTCAACCAGGTGTCGAGTTTTGACTCAGTGTTTTGAGAATGGATTCTATTTAGTTTCCCGTTTTCATATGGGGCCTATAATATTATAAAAGTGGGAATTGTTTGAAACCGTTGCTTCGTGGTTTTTTCATTGTTTTATGTAATTCTTAGTTCATCAACAGCTTATTCTGTTTATTGCCAATACCTTGGAATAATTATCATATTCTATCCTTTTCTTTATTTAATTGTATTGTGTATGTATAGATCTACTGCTGTACATGTGCCCCCTATACACGCCTAGTCGGACAGTCAAAACAGTAGGCACATGTTCTAAACAGTTTTCCTTCGTAAATAAAATGTACCTTGAACATGCAAAAATTAGCCAGTTGCAAATAAAAAAAATATCCCAGTCTTAAACCATTCACTGCAAGTTGATCGATAAGCTTATACCGAAATGAAAGATAAAAAAATGCCGTTTTTTTTTTAATACTACATGCGATTTACAACACGGCCCTAAAACACATCATTCTGTCCTCAACTGTGTCTATAACTTTCATAGGTTTGATGCCGGGCCTTCCTCGTTCTCAATCTGTTTCACAGAGGATTACGAAAGTCTTCTAATCCGGCCTAGCAAATGTTCACTGCTGATCAGTGTGCCTCGTTCTCTCAGTTCAAGCCAGTTATCAATTTACAAGCATTAATTATGCTCACCTCTAACACCAAAGATTACTCAATATTTGACAAATCAATATTGTCATTAGAAATTGAAATGAAAATATAGATTTGCTGAGAAAGTGTCGACGAATAAATAGAAATGACAAGTTTCTATTATTTATTTTTAAATGTGCTACGCATTTCCGCAACGCGTTTATACCTTAAATATTGCTATACTTATTAATTCCAGAACAAACTCATTAGAAGATAAACGTAAACACTTTATCTATGACACCTTTTGGCTATTTGCTAACCCCAGTCGCCCGGATGGGTAGAAAAATAAATAATTAGACTCTGATTGGACCCTTACCATAACTTTACTTGTACTAAAGTAAACGTCCACAAATGTGCCAACATTGGAATGGGAGACATATGTCTTTAAATTGACTCATAACGCGGTTAAATAAATGATGCATCATAATGGTTATGTCGCCAGATCATTCAGATCTTGAATGTAACAATAGCACATCTTTCATAGACGTACAGGAGAATTAGGATAATATCGATCCAACTTTTGCCCGAAATTTTTCAGATTACTTCCCTATAGTATGTTATTTTTGCTTGAATAATGCCTTCTGTTGTTTTTTTTTCAGACATTATTACCGCACGACATACAATAACAAACACATGATAGAAAAAAAGCACATAAAATCTGAATTGGTAATACGGAACCATGCTTTCGGTTATATTTACATTGAACGAACGCATTTGATCTAGTGTGTGCATTAGTGCATGTTAAATTTGGATGGCAATTGGAGTATATTTGGCCCTGAAATTTATTATATATATATATTATGAAGCTAATACATAATACTTAGCCCTACTTAAAATTATTTTTGAAAGAGATTATACATGTTGCATGCGGCAGTGGCCAAAACGTTACCCTAAAGGACAATATTGGTGTCAGTCATTATCACATATGTGATAGAACTAATTAAACACGTTCCAAATATAATTTTATCACAGAGATCATTGCTACGATAGCTGAGTAATACAGATTTCCTGAATCGGAAGTGACGAATGCCAAAGGAAAACACGAGTCATACCTCTATATAACTGACTGAAGTGACGAGTGATAACAGATATATATAGGCGAATTTCTGCTCACTAATAATTCCTTCCAAGACAGGATCCACGCCTGTGCAGTCCCCCTGCACGTACTAATAGAATGCTAAAAAATCAACGGGATCCACCATCTCTGATCCCTTTACTCCAAACAAGTTCTTCCTTAGGCGAAAAAGGGCTGGAATCGTCTTCATGTTACCCCAATGGTTCACACCACATTTGAAAATGTTTTGTTAAAAAAAGCAGACTTTGACGCGTTCACATGCATGATTTTAAGAAAGGGATGACCCCTATGCTGGGCACCAAATTTGAAAATCAAAAAGATTCATCCTCTCTCACGGTGGGTTGGATGGCCGAATGGTTAGCGCGTGCGCTCTGTATCATAAGGTCTGTCATTGAGTCAACTACGGCGTGGTTCTACCTGACAAGGAGTGGGGTCGCCTGTCCAACCTCGTGGGTTTTCTCCGGACCCTCCGGTTTCCTCTCATTGAAATAAAATTGAATGGTGAGAATATTTTCACGTGAGTGAAAGATATGGAGGCCAAATGAGACTTGTAGGCGTATTATGTTTTCTGCCCTGTCTTATGTGAAGAACTGGGGTTATGCGAGAATGAAACCTTTAGATATTTAGTGTTCTGAAAACTGTGTTTTGTTGGGGTTTTTTTAAATTGATTTGAATCATTATGACTGTGGAGAGAGAGAGAGAGAGAGAGAGAGAGAGAGAGAGAGACTACTAGGTCATTTCGGGAATAATATATGGGCCAATTTTCTTTCAAGAATACGCTTGCGCGTAGTGGTCCTTAGCTATGTTTCTCCACAAAACCTATAGAATAAAATATTTTTTTCTATAGTTTTCTACATAATGTCATAGAAAACCATAGGATTACACAACTGACTTGAGACTAAAAGTTAGTTGTATAGAAAACTATAGTTTTATTTATACCACCAAATCTATAAAGGAAACACAACTGACTTTAGAATACGCGTTAGTTCTGTAGTAAACTATAGGCTTGTTTTTACCACAAAGGCTATATAGAAATACACAACTGACTCGAGGAAACAAGATAATTCAATAGACAACTATAGTTTTTACCACAAATTCTATAGCAGCACTATTGAATCTATAGACTATTTTTTTTCTCACCCACAGTTTCTATAGGAAATTACACTTGAAAAAAAAAGTGAAAAAAAAACCAAACTTATCTATAGACCGGAGGCTCAGTGCGGGGGGGGGGGGGTCTATCAAATGGGCACAAAACAAAACCCAACTTTTCTAGAGCAAAATTTTGCGTAGAATACGATGCCGAGTGGTAATCAGTCCGCCGTTGGGGCGTTTTCGAGATATTCGGGGTCAAAGGTCAAATGAGTTCATTTGCACTGAAAGTGAATGCGCAGTCATTCTTGTATTATGAAAAGTAGCTGAAAATGATCGAAAGTAATCACACTTTCAATAAAAATGTAAACTTGCTAAATTCACCTTTAGTCTTAGTGACCCTGGAGGTCAAAAGGTGAAATTTACCGTTTTTGCACTAGGAAGATTTAAAGCAATAAAATGTCAACGTAAAATATAAAAATTAAAGAGAAACCTGTTCTAATTAATAATAGGAACATTTCAAATTTATCTTTAGGTGGTCTTAGCACCGAACTTTTACTTTGGAACGTCGAAAATGATCTTACATAACAGAACCAACACACTTTGAAACCTGTTTAAAAAATACGTAAAAACTGTCAAATCGAAATCTCTCCGATTTATTTTTACAACGATTGTTATACATAATGATACTAGTTATCTGAAAAACAATTGAATAGTTTCAGTGTTGAACTGCAGCGTGCAGGCCGCGTGGATTTCCGAGAATCCCAGTCTAGGAAAACCGACGTTAATCAGTGACGGGAAAACACGCATCTGGCGACGAGATTAAAAGTTTGAAAACTTTTTATGAGTTTTTATGAATTTCGCCGGAACATGGACGCAGATAAAACCGACGAATGCATTGTGCATAGTAGTTCACAGGATATATATGTCGTATTGGTAAATGTTAGAGGGGAAAATTTTGACAGGCTTTGTGACGCGGCCTGCAGGCTGGAGTCCAGTCATGGAACTATTTAATTGTTTTTTTCAGACAACTAGTATCATTATGTATATCATTCGTTGTAAAACTAATTCGGAGAGATTTAGATTTAACAGTTTTTACGTATTTTTGAAACAGGCTCCGAAGCGTTTTGGTTCTGTTATGCAAGATCATTTTTGACGTTCCAAAGTAAAAGTTTGGTGCTAAGACCACCTAAAGATAAATTTTAAATGTTCCTATTATTAATTAGAACAGGTTTCGCTTTAGTTTTTATATTTTACGCCGACATTTATTACTTTAAATCTTCCTAGTGCTGAAACGAAAAATGTGACCTTTTGACCTCTGGGGTCACAAAGAAAAAAGGTGAATTTAGCAAGTTTACATTTTTGTTGAAAGTGTGATTACTTTCGATCATTTTCAGCTTATTTTCATGATACAAGAATGACCGCGCATTCACTTTCAGTGCAAATGAACCCATTTGACCTTTGATCCCGAATATCTCGAAAACGCCCAAACGGCGGACTGATTACCACTCGGCATCGTATTCTACGCAAAATTTTACTCTAGAAAAGTTGGGTCTGGTTTTGTGCCCATTTGATGGACACCCTCCGCGTTGAGCCTCCAGACTACTACCGATCCTATACAAAATGATAATTTATTTATTTATTTATTTATTTTTTTTTTAGGCGTGCGGTTATCATTAGTCATCCTTAACATTGTGAAAATGCAATAACACTGAAAATTTGGGCGGCAATGAGTGAATGAATGTGTGCCATAGAGGTGTAGTCAATATATACACCTCCATGATGTGTGCCGATAAGATTCATGGTGGGCCGTTTGCGAAAGTTTTGCTGTCCTTGACCTTGGTTGTTATAGCAAGTAAAATGGCGTCAAAATGGCTGTTCCCGTCACGAAAAAGATTTATTTGACTGAATCGGATGCTTGTAAGCGCAGCTCAAATGTTCAAATATAATGTATTTTAATATAATGACCGGGAGGTTGTTTTCAGGACAGAATGCATATCGATAGATCTAATGTAAACGTTAGATTAAGACATATTCATCAGATCTAATTTAGTAATTATTGAATTATCATGATTTTGACATAATATCTAGCCAATACCCTATATATAACTGCCTGACAAAATGGCCGCTCCTTGTAGTTGTACGCAGATAATATAAAAGTATTTAATACCAAGGTTGTGGACCTTCTTTAGGTCACAATTTTTCTCCGATTTTTAGATTTTATTTTGATGAAACTTATATTAAAATATATGTTATACTTATTGTTTAGTTTATGTCCCCCAATCAAGGCCAAGGCAACTTGGTTCCTTTTGAATTTTGACAGATATTAACACATGGGTTATTGCCATTTTTAGCTTGTTCTCTGCCCATCTCTCGCAAAATGTGGGCATATCTTGCAAGGCAACCACATGTTTGTTGATAAAATATAAGGACCACATGTTGATCGAATGGACTAAACATGAGTGTTGAACACTGTATATAATAATATAATTATATATTAAATTCATATTTTTCAGACTCACCTGTAACAGATATTGTCATCTGTACTTCATTCAACATTTCAATTTCATGAGAGCCCAGAATAAAGAAAACTGTGTTTAAAAATTCCAGGTGAAATGGACCCTTGTTTTTATCATGACCAAGAATCATTTTGAAGTTCTTGGTTTAAAACCTGGTGTAGTTGAGGATGAAGTTAAAAAGGCATACAGAACTCTTGCCAAAAAATGGCATCCTGATAAAAACCAGGAAGCAGGAGCAGAAGATAAATTCAAGGAAATTTCCACCTCCTACGAATATTTAATAAACAAAGACAGGCGGGAGATCTTAGAGCGTGATTTAAAAAAGCAAAAAGAACCGACTTCAAGTTACACTTACACATTTTGGTCACATAATGACTACAAGTCAGATTCTTTCAAAAATGCAGGTTCTGGGGCTACTAATGCTAATAGTACTTCTGGCACTAAACCATCAACATTTCAATACAAATCTAAACGAAGTGAAACTAAAACACAAAGTAAAGAAAACACAAAACCTGGTAAAAAGAAATCACACTGGACGGATTCATTTACTAGCAAAAACAAAAATGATAAACATAAAGCGAAAAAACCCTCCAATCCTATGTATGATGAACCGTTTGTTGAAGATTTATATGAGGATGAAGATTTCCTGTTTAACTATGATCAAGAATTTCATTCAAAACCGAAACACAATCAAAAACCCAACTTTTCGTTTGCCTTTAAATCTTTTGTTGATCAGTTAGATTCAGAATTTGATACTTTCTTCCCTGGTCAGAATTCATTTACCATGGGACTGGGTTTCCCATTATTAAACAGTGGACAACCTGCGCCTAAACCACGTCAAAGAGAAGTAGCACATGAGAATGGTGATGTGGATGGACTGGATGAAGATTATTTGTTTACACCAAGAAAGGGAAACGCACAACATTTTGACCAAGGTATCTGATATATCATTGAGCTTCCCAAACAGTCTTAGCATTATTTGCCTTGTAATTTAATTAAGAACGGGGAGAAGACTGTATAGGGTGTATTGGTAATATTACTAATGATCTGCTCTATTGAACATGACGAGTGAGTCGAAATACCAGAGATTTCCCAATCAACTTTTAATATTGATTATTGGTTAACTTTTTCTCAAACTTTCCTCTCCCTAGAGGTGTCAGTCAAGTATATACGAAAATTCTGTACATATGATACCCTCTTGACCAATCACCATAGCTGAAATACTTGACTACATAACTATTCTGCGCATGAGACTAGCAGATCTGTGACAGGACTAAAATTGATGTCAATTGATGTCAATTCTATAAATTAGTCAACTTTCGAACTGACAATGAAGCCCCCCAAAGAGTGTGTTTGGTCAAAGATGGTACCCTGTTTAACAAAGATTTACTTGGAAATCAAACATTTGTAAAATTACTATCTAGATTCAATAAGGCCGAAGAATCTTATCATTAAATTTAGAATTCTTTTTGGATCTACTTTTTAATTTGTTATTATTGACCTCCAACTAAATTTGAACTTTGCTATATCTATACTAATATTTGTGACTGTCGTTTGTCTGTCTGTCTGTCTGTTCGGGGTTGGCGGCTACACTAGTTCTGCCCCGAGTCTGAAATTTCGGGTATAGGGGTAGCTCGGACCGGGGAGTAACATAGGCCAGGTGGCGTTAGTCTACCACTTCCGGTTTTGGAGTTATGACCCCCGAGCGAAGCCGATTTGTTCGGGATTGTCGGCTACACTAGGTCTGCCCCGAGTCTGAAATTTGGGGTATAGGGGTAACTCGGACCCGGGAGTAACATAGGCCAGGTGGTGTTAGTCTACCACTTCCGGTTTGGGAGTTACATGTATGACCCCCGAGCGAAGTCTGTCTGTTCGGGCTTGGCGGTTACAATAGGTCTACCCCGAGTCTGAAATTTCGGGTATAGGGGTAGCTCGGACCGGGGAGTAACATAGGCCAGGTGGCGTTAGTCTACCACTTCCGGTTTCGGAGTTATGACCCCCGAGCGAAGCCGGTCTGTTCGGGGTTGGCTGCTACACTAGGTCTGTCCCGAGTCTGAAATTTGGGGTATAGGGGTAGCTCGGACCAGGGTGTAATATAGGCCAGGTGGCGTTAGTCTACCACTTCCGGTTTCGGAGTTATGACCCCCGAGCGAAGTCTGTCTGTTCGGGGTTGGCGGCTACAATAGGTCTACCCCGAGTCTGAAATTTGGGGTATAGGGGTAGCACGGACCGAGGAGTAACATAGGCCAGGAGGCGTGAGTCTACCACTTCCGGTTTCGGAGTTATGACCCCCGAGCGAAGCCGGTCTGTTCGGGGTTGGCGGCTACACTAGGTCTGCCCCCGAGTCTGAAATTTGGGTTATAGGGGTAGCTCGGACCGGGGAGTAACATAGGCCAGGTGGCGTTACTCTACCACTTCCGGCTTTGGAGTTATGACCCCCGAGCGAAGCCGGGTATCCTGCTAGTCTTCAATATTTGGCAGATCTTGCACATTCTCTTCAATTTGAAATGTGTTGTAATTTGATTACTGATTACTTTTTCAGGCCAAGCAGACACAAAGTTTAAGTGTAACTTTTGTTCAAAAATGTTCACAGCTTCAATGTTGGTAAGAAGTATTTTTTTTTTCCTTTGTTACATAGAGATAATTTGATGTCATAGGATTGTGACATTTTAATATTGAGTTATATTTTGCTTATAAATGAATTAAGAAAGGAGAGAATATCTTTTAAACTCAAAGAACTGTTTTGAATTTATAAGTGGGAAAGATTTCAATTTAAATAAATAACGCATTTCCTTGAAATATTAAAAACATGGTGACATTTTGTTTTTACATAGATTAAACATGAGTTGAAATGTGGTAAATGGAAAGTTGATGATGATGAGGAGGAGGATGAAGAATCAGATTATTATAATGAATCTCATCCTTCCTATTTCACTACACAGAGAAAACCACACACTGATTGGCAAGATTCACATAATGATCTAATAAACCAAATCAGACAAGCAAAGAAAATCTCTAGGAGGATGAAAGCATCTCATGAAAATGGTATTATTGGGGTTTTTTTTTTACTCAATTCTATTATATTCATATGCATGAATAATATCAATTATTCTACTATTCATAGAAAATATTTTCCTTACTCCCTAAACTGCAAGCTTCAATAACAGTAGCACTGATCAATCACCAGTCGCCAACCTAACCTCATGAGTTTTCTTCAGATAATCTGAAAAGTTCGATCTCCAGTCTCCTGCTGGACGTCATGAGTTCAAGACAAGACACAATACATTTATTAGCCGCATGTTCAATTCAAAGTCATATAATTACAATCAGGTTGATTCGGTCTTCAGATGCCTGAGTAACACCATTAATTTCCTCCAGGTACTCTGTTTGATTCAACCATTGATTCAACCTCCAGGCACTTGCCTAACCTCATGTGTTTTACCTATTTCTAAAGAATGGCGCATCCAAGCGAATTAAGGTACCATAGTGAAAACTACATCTAGCATCTCTCTAATTGCTTTACAGAAAGTGAACAAAAAAATCTTTGTAGATTTTCTCTGTGTACTCTGTTTTCTAGTGCTGCCACTGCTGTCACAATACGTAATGCGATTCAGGTGATACAATACAATTCATATCATGATTCATAACCAGGTCGATATTTACCAAGAAAACAACAGGATAATTGATATTTTTAATCTTGCTGATGTCAAAGAAATAAAACTGTTTTATGTCACAATATTGATGTGGATCAAAATAAGTATCAAAACAATTTAAGAGTGTTTGTGTACCAATGTGTGGCATGGATAATTATTACAAAAAGAAACCATAAAAAAGAATCGTAATACATCAATTCAACATCTCACAAATCAATATGCAAATCGCGAGAAGGTGATCGCGATAATTGATTTAATGATATATTGTGCCAGCTCTACTGTTTTCTTCTCTTTTTCTAATGACCCCTATGCATAAATGTAGTGTGTGTTAGTCCCAAAATGAACAAAATCACAGATGTGTTTGATTTTCATAGAAATCGAACTGTCACTTGCCCCTCCCCTTTATGCAAATACATGTTGTGACAAACATTTAGATGAAACTGATTTAGAATCAGGTGCTACTTAAAATATATACTAAAGATTAAAGATCTTGGATGAGTTTAATTTTGGTGCGTATCACACTGCAACTTATTGGGTTATGGCCTCTGTCTTTTTAACACAAAATGCAAAGTATGTACGAAATTTGTGCACACACACACCCCCCCCCCACAACGCAACTTCTCAGGTTTAGGCTCCTGTCTTCTATGCAAAATGTATAACAAAATTCGTTGGCTGTTAGGCATTGAGATGGGATCACGAGAGGATGAACCCCATCAATATTCAGCATTTATTCTTGAGTTAGCTTCCTTTCTCAAATTGTGAATTGTTGGGGTCATGAGAGGAGGAACTCTAACTAAAGTATTGATTTTCAGCATTCCTTACCCATCTGTTCTGGAATTACCCCTTTTTTCAAAAATCCTTGCGAATATGATGTAGGCTACAGTTTTTAGGGCAATTAGAGGATGAGCCCTCTCGATTTTCCCTGTCTTGCGTCGATCTCAGATTGTAGAATGTGGACATACCTTGCCTCAACCTCAGCTTGTTGTCCCCCGCCTTTCGAAGAAAGCAGGGGACTATTAAAATGGGTTCGTCCGTCTGTCTGTCCGTCTGTCCGTCCGTCTGTCTGTCCGTCTGTCTGTCCGTCACACTTTTTGGGACACAATAACTCTCTTCCTAATTGAGCTAGAATGTTCAAACTTGGTGTATGTGTTTATTAGGTCAATGCCTTGATGGAGTTCGAAGATGAGCATTTTCCGCTTAGGGTAAGCAGAGATAAGCAATTTGATTGGTTGATGCTTTGGGACACGATAACTCTCTTCCTAATTGGGCTAGAATGTTCAAACTTGGTGTATGTGTTGATTAGGTCAATGCCTTGATGGAGTTCGAAGATGAGCATTTTCCGCTTAGGGTAAGCAGAGATAAGCAATTTGATTGGTTGATGCTTTGGGACACGATAACTTTTAATTGAGCTAGAATGTTCAAACTTGGTGTATGTGTTTATTAGGTCAATGCCTTGATGGAGTTCGAAGATGAGCATTTTCCGCTTAGGGTAAGCAGAGATAAGCAATTTGATTGGTTGATACTTTGGGGCACGATAACTCTCTTCCTAATTGAGCTAGAATGTTCAAACTTGGTGTATGTGTTGATTAGGTCAATGCCTTGATGGAGTTCGAAGATGAGCATTTTCCGCTTAGGGTAAGCAGAGATAAGCAATTTGATTGGTTGATGCTTTGGGACACGATAACTTTAGTTCTAATTAAGTGAGATTGATGAAACTTGGTGTATAGTTTCATTACAGTAATACCTTGACTAAGTTTGATAATGAGCATTTTCTGCTCAGGGTAAGCAGAGCGATACGCAATTTGATTTTTATATGTGTCCTCTAATTATTTTCCTATTTCGGCGGGGGACATCAGCCTCACTGTTGGCTTGTTTATCTTATTTTGAGATGATCATTTTTTTTATTGTAGAATCTGTCTTATGTAAATATTGTGGAATTGGTTTTAATAAGATCGTAATAGATCGTCATACATTATTTTGTGAGAGACGGTTTAAGCAACAACAACGTACATTTCAAACACCAGATGGTAGATCTAAGTTTGAGCGAGCTAAAGAGGTTTGTTTTATTTTAATTATAGTCCTTTATAAGTTTCAAAGAGACTTTTCAGTCATTCTAAACTAATGGAAGCTACAAAATTATATCCTGGGATTGAGATCTTCTAAATGAACATTACATTACCTGTAATGGTATGCAGGTATGCAGCTTAACAATTTTTTAACAAAGTGGCAGGAAAATTATATTCTTTTAATTATTGATGTATTTATTGAGGGCTTGTATGGTTATTTTTTTTTCCCTATTAACAGTATGCAAGAGATATACCCCAATCTAATCCTGATATTAATCCAGAAAATGAAGATGTCTCAAATGCCAAGCAGCATGATCAAGAAAAGTACATGGGTAATACTATTAATCCATTTCTTCATCTTTACTACAGATTAAATTTGACATATTGAACTTGCAGGTCTTTATTTTGGCTTCAATGTAAATTATTATTTAGACATTTATTCACATGACAAGCCTATAATCAACTCTCTAGAACATTGGATGGCCGAGATATAAATGGATTTGAACACCCACAAGATTTAAAAATTTAACAATAAAATAGTACCATTGCTAAAACAATAAGCAATCTACGATACATCTTGTCAAAACTTTATACCCTCATAACTTCGCTCAAAATAAAGTAATTTGAATAAAATTTTCAATATATTCATCTTTCATTATCTATTTTTGTACTATTGTAGCAAGAACGACCAACTCTGTATCTAAATCTTTTCAAAATGTATCTAAGATTTTAAAGCTGATTATTAGAGAGGAGCACAGATAAAATAGACTATGATCAACCAATAATAATATGAATTAAATATTTAAGAATTATTGGTTTCAAGAGAGTTAAAACATTTGGGACACCGATTTTCACCATACTGCAGTAATAGATAATGAAGAACCATATTTCATGTTTTATATTGACGTCGCCCCTGTTCGTCCATGTGTTCGGACGTCCATTCATATTTTGTTTTTCGTCAAAATTTTTATCAGATTTTGAGGAAACTTGAAATATAGGTTTATATCCCAAAGATCTTGGTTCTTTTCGATATGGCCCCAGATTGTATGAAAAATCACGTTTTTGGCTTATGGAACCTCTAGAGGTCGCAATTTTGATGAAACTTAAAATATATGTTTATGTCCGAAAGATCTCGGTACCCATCAATATTGACGCATATCGGACCATAACTTCCTGGATTATGGCCCCTGATTGTATAAAAAATCACGTTTGTAGCTTGTTATTCCTTTAGAGGTCACAATTTTTATTTGATTTTAAAAACCGTTCAAATATATCACCATCAATATCAGATGGAGATTGTATGACAAAATGGCTGCTCCCCTTGACACAAATACTTACAGCACATGGTGTGCCAAAAAAATGTTACCCATTCTGAGAATGGGTGCATGGATTGGGCGTATCATTGATATTGATACATGTCGGTTGTCGGACTGTAACATCCTTGATTATTGCCCCTGGTTGTACGAAAAATCCCTTTTTTGGGGAGCATATCTTGCATGGCCACTGCTTGTTAATTTTTATGATTATGTTTTAGGGAGAACTTTTTCATCTAATGATAATCCATCAAACTCCAAATCCAAGATGTCAAGGTATTTTGTGTTTTGTTTGTATATAATACAGGAACTTATGACTATTAAAGTTAATAAATGTTCAGCTAATATACTCGTAATATTTTGTTTTCAAATGTTTTGAATGAAAAAGATATGCTTTTGAGTACACCCAATACTGTCAGCAGAAAATACGTATTTCAGATATATGAACTTTAATTACTGTACAGACTTTTTACAATCTGATTAGAATCAGATTTTTTTTCATTTTTTTTTCGTTATATTCCCTAAATTATATTCTAACAGACTCAGTTTTACTGAAAATATGTCAAGTTTTATTTTTGTGTTGTGTTTTTATCCGCCCACATGTTAATGTGGTTGTATATTCTTTTTTTATATGCCCACTATTATTTCGTTACCATGTCCTTCGATCTGTCAACAAATGATTTGTGAATGCAATAGAGGTTAAGAGTTATTGTCAGATTCTTTTCAAATTTTGATGAATTTTATCAGCGTTCCGTGACTTTCCAGCTTGGAGTTACCCTCCTTGTTACCCTCCTAGGCCATTATAACCTTGTGAATGCGATAGAAGCTGTGTTTTCAAATTTGGTGTGAAGCATTGAAGTCATGAGAGAACAAAGCCTATCAATATTCAGCATATAAATTCCGAAGTTGTGTCCCTTTTTTAGTGACATGGGCGTATTTTAGTTGTGTACCATAAACAACCAATGAAAATCGAGTTATTCCAATCACCCTAAAACATCGTCCAATGATTTATTTATCAACTCATTATAGTATAGTCTCATGCATTATGAAGTTGATGTCAGCTGTTCTAACCATACATTTTATATATCTTATTTAGGGTAAAAAATCAGAATTATATAGTATAAGAACAAAATATAAAGATATCATTTTTAATCACATTTGACTTTTTAATAAAGAAAGGATAATAATAATTACTTCAGTCTAAGAATGACATACTCATTGATCAACTTGTTTCTTATGTGCAATATAAAAGGATATCTCAAAATGACCCTGTTACATGGCGTAGTTCAAATTCACAGAATATATTTATGTCACAGAAGATGAGGGGACTACATATTCCATACCATGATCCACTCTGACTACATTTCAACAGTATTAACAGCATATTTGATTGTATTTTATTGTTTTCTTTCAGTTCTAAATTTAGAAGACCTAGCTCAGGTCTCGGTGTGAATGGGTCAGGTTTTGGTAGTAAGAAACATGGTAACGGATGTAGTTCTTGTTCATTAAGGTATGGAAACAATGCCAAGTTCTATTGTAGCTGTGGAACCAAGAAATCTGCACTTTGATGATGTGTGAATATAATAAATAATTTCTAACACAGGGATTATACTTTTTTATACAAGAAATATGCATTATTTTTTATGAGCATGTTTTGTGGATTTGGCGCTATATAATAAATGGACATATTATTTATTATTATTTGGAATGTAATATGTGCAAATGAACTATTTTGCATGCAGGAAAGACATATTGAAAATTAAAGCATTGTCTTTATAATAGTTTCTGTTGACAACTGCCTTTATATATAATAGTTAATGTCATATTATTTCCATTTTTATACACCTCACTTGGAAATGTGGTCTTATATTGTCATTGTCCCCACCCATCTGTCAACCACAATTGTTTATGCTATGGTGAACACACTAAGACTACATTTATCATGTTTTTGAAATTTATATATGTTGTTTACATTAGTGATACAAAGAATCCTAATTAAATTCAACAATTTCCATTAATTACTTCTAGAGTTATGGCCCTTGTTTCACTTTGTCGAACCTCAGTCTGTGAATTTTTCAAATTAGTGAATCGAAGAGCCATCAACAATTTCTAGATTTAAGGCCCTTGTTTCACTCTGTAGAACCTTATGACATCAGTAAATTGATATCGGTAAATGCTTCCACTACCTAATAAATATGTGACAACTCTTGTTAAACTAAGGCAATGTAGCTGCTGTGGACATATGTTTTGTTGCCTGGCAACCTATCTTTAATTCATTTTATAATAACTGTTATCACAAACGTGTATTATTGATCTTGCAATGCAATGTGCTATTACTAATTATTTATTCATTTATTCATTTATTATTATTGCAATCGTATATTTGTTTATAAATTTACTTATTTTATAATATAGAAAGATTTTTTTTGTGTAGTTTTTTTCACTCACATTTCATATCTATTCTTATCATTGAACATTTATTTAACATTCATACTTTTATTTTTTTTTGTTTTGTGTTATATGTTTATTTTAATAATGTCTAGTATTATAATGACCAGGTAAAATTTGAAAGCTTAATTTAATTTTAAACTTATGTTAATGGAAAATATTTATTTGAAATTATCTTCTTAACTACCGTATATCATTAAGCTGGCTGATTTGTGGTTTTTGAAGCTTAACTTGTGAATAAATCGGAAACTGCTATATTTTGGGGATTTAGTTATCATTTGGAGACAAGGCAAATTAGTAAATTAGAGATTTTCCTCCCTTGAATAATATCTGAAAGTAGTTATCTCAAGTGATTGTGGTTACATTCGAAAGTAGTTATCTCAAGTGATTGTCATTAATAACTGAATAAAACTGATCTAAATTTACAATTTACATTACAATATTCAGTATGGCTATATCATTACTTCTAATTATCAAATTAATTATTTGTATATCATATGCCTTATCTTCTGTGTGTCTCGGATGAGCTGAGCTTATCTCATCTTTAGTTACCTTACAAGACCAAATCTCATTTTAATAAAATGTAATAGTCAAGGCATTTCAATCAGAAGAAGCAAAAAATAGCATAACTTACATTATATGATATACAAAATGAAATTTAAGATTTGCTCAGAGTTGTTTAAGATCTGTTTTATTTGAAATGTAGAGAATATTTTTAATGTGATAAGAATAAAACTGTGATATAACGATATACCTAATGTTATTCTTTTGTTTATTTTCCTGTAATATGTTTATTAATTATTGAAAATGATATTTACAGAAACTACTTTTTTATTTATTGTTTTTGACATGTTATCATAAATTTAAATTATAAGCAAACATTCTTTTTGTAATAAAGATACCAATTTCTTGTCTACTTTGAACTCAATCTGAAATTAATATCACCAATAATAATTGATGTTTTAAGCCAATTAAAGATGCATTATGTAGGAGCAAAATCTTCCTATTGCAGGTTTTTTTTCTTGCTTTAAATGACATTCATCACCAGGCCCGTAATTAGGGATGGGGGGTCGCAGGGGGAGGGGGGGGAAACACCTTCCTGCAAAATGTTTTGCCCCCCCCCCCCTTGTGAAAAAATTGTCGGCCATAAAAACAATAGATATACATTGTCCGTCAACTTTACAGCACCCATGAGAACACTTCCCGCCCCCATTGTTGCTGTGAACTAGCTAAAGCCCTGTTTATCACATGACAAGCCAAGCACTGGGCAAAATGTCAGGGTATCACTAATTGGCAACCCGACTGTTGTCTGCCAGCTTATTGTGTGCTAGCTTGACTGAGGGAGCGATTGTTATTTCTTGATCAAATGGTTAGGCGGTTTTAGGAACATTCAGGGGTGTTAACGTACATTGGCCTCAATATGTATGATAAATGGACAGTAAGTAACGAAAAATACATTCTAAAAAATGGACCCTCTCTATATGTATTGAGCTGACTGACATGGCGTCTAACAACAGTTTATTTATAGCTTGCGGTATCTCCCGACACATACAAAGTTTTCAGAGGGGAGAGAGAAAGGGGTTTAAAGTCAACTCGACACAAATTAGGTCATTTCGGGACTAACACATGGTTCAATTTTATTTCAATAATTCGCTTGCACGTAGGGGTCTTTAGCAGTGGGAGGAAACCGTGCCCCGAGTTCACAAAGCATTCTCAGACCTATGTCAAGAATTTATTCAACTTTCAATCACTGTTCATGAGAAATATCTTTGATCCAGAAACACAAGACTTTGCACAGTTTCTTATTGATGTATTTGATATATTAAAACAACAAACGTTTTATAAAGGGCTGTATTTTAGTTAAATAAGACAAACAATTTTCAGTAAATTCTTAACTAAAGTCTGTGAATGCTTTGTGAACTCAGGGCCGTGGAGGACCTGGAGAAAACACACTAAGTTGGACAGGCGACCATACTCCTTGTCACATATACAACCGGGGAATGGAATTTATTAACCCGCCAGTTGACTCAATGACAGATCGTATGATACAGCGCACACGTGTAAACCATTCAGCCATCCAACCCAGCGTTTTCAGAGGGATTTGAAGCAAATTTCTGATAGATTAATTAGTATGAATATGTTTTTGGTCCAATATCATCAAATCACACAGTTTGTACACGGGAAAGTATCTTAATATGAATTGATCCATATAATTTACATGCTATTAATCATAATATTCATAGTTTTGAAATTATATGGAACTGTTATCACACTTTACTGATTCTTTCACCTGGCGCTAAAGAACAAAGACATTTTGATCGACAGGTGATTGATGCGGCAATCCCATTCTAACGATGACATCATAAGGGGAATCCCAAAATAAGGTATTCCCCGATTTCCAAAACGAGGCTTTCTTGAATATGCATGTTTAGTCGAGAAAATGGCGGCTACTAAGAAGAGATGTATTCTTTATCTTATAATTCTGCAATAATGGGATTATGGCTACAAAATCAAAGAATTCTGGATTATCGAAATGCACGAGGGATCCTGTAGATGACACGGGACAGGAAAGAGATGGTAAATATTTATTTGTCAAGTATTTGTAAGGAGTAATAAGTTGTCGACCTTGATTGTTGGTGACCTATTTTGGTTGTTGAAACTTCTACCTGTCAACAAAAAATGATTCAAGATATATTGTTCCCCGTCCTGACACAACTTTATGGTTATGTCACAATTGCAGTCTACGTGTAATTTTGGTATTAATCCATTGTTGTTTAGAAAAAAATGTCACAATAAGGTAACTCGGCCCAGAGTTTGTTCACGTTTTCATGTTTTACTAAAATAACTAATTGAATGTTGTTACACACACATTGCAGCCTCTTTTCTTAAACATAAACACAACATTAACACGTGAAATTGCTGTAGGCAGATGAAGAACAACATTTCTTAGCCTACATAACCCATAGAAATGGTTACACTATGATAATTTCCATCTTTTGACTCCAGCCAGAGTTTTGAGCAGGTTTTATAATCATTTGATAACAAAAATGTTACAGGCCTTTATTACTACACTAGCTAAATTTCTGATTAATCTGGCCCCAAATGTACTGCAAACATAGAACCTTACCCCATGATTATATAATTTTGAGACATCCAATGGCTACTCCAGACTTTACATGGGGAACATACTGTGTAATGTCCAATTGTTTATATAAAAAATATCGCTTTGAAAATGTAGAACTCCATACCTCAACGATAAACTTTTCTGTGACTATTTTAATGGTTCATATTTCTTTGTTTTTGATAAAACATTTCGTTCAATACAAATTATGATGATATGTGATGAAATTTGATTGTTTCACTCTTTTTACTTTCCTAAGTATATGAATTACCAATTGTAGCACAGAACTGACACATCAATGCTAGTATTGCTACAGTATTACAACTACAAATGTCAATACAGATACTAAAAGTACATAAGGCATCTCCACTTCCATAACAAACCTACTACCATACATACATATACTTCATTAGCCCAGTCGGAGTAGAACAGTCTAGGACGTTAAACCCCATTTCATTTCAGTCTACCAAATCCTAGGGCTGCAATGATACGTTAACCTCACGATATAATACGTATCACAGTATGGACCTCTCCATGCGATACATAGTACAGCATTTTTTCTTTCCAAATGTTTAGATTGTTTTTAAGAAACGTCAAAAAAATCCATGATTTGTGGTTCACTGGAGGCAAGTGTTTCATTACAGGAAGCCATCTTTCCTCCCTTGTCGCGTGAACTACAGGGGGACATAACCACATTATACATGTAGATGAATATCGGAAGAAAACAGACGGTTAAACAAATCTGTATCGTGATGAAGGAACCGCGGTACAGAATTTAAAGTACCCAGAACCAAACCTTGGCATATATACCGCGGTACATGTATATCGTTGCAGCCCTACATAGACTTATACTGAATATGAACTTAAAGATCAGTCATCTTGTACAGAGTTAAAAGAAAGCTTTCACATTACCACTGTGAAACAGATTGTGAATATCAGTCTGAGTCTGAAAAATGGTTCAATTCCGTTCATTATTTACAAAGATATGAATTAAAATTCCCTCGATATATGCTGCTCCCAAATTTTCATTTAATAATAATAAGGAGTCTTATAAAGCGCTAAAATCACTTGTTTAATTATATCAATAATAAATGTACCATTTGAGAAAAATATTTAAATTGTTGATTTTAATGAAAATGTTGCATTTTGTTGTATTTTTCAGAAGAAAATACAGAAATTGCAATGTACATGAGTAATGGAGGTATGATGAATGGCACTGATGAAAACTCTACACAGTTGTGGACGAATACAGAGTATTCAACAGAGTAAGTTTAATAGATTACCATACATGTACATGTAGGCTACATTAAAAATACAAAAGTTTCGGAAAGAACACCAGCTGTCTTTATCATTGGCCGCCCAGTGCCAAAATTTACCTTCATATATGACACATTACCAGTAGACATTACATTTGAAATTAGGACAGTGATATTTAGTTTTAAATAATGTTCTCTGTTGTAATCATACACATGCTGCTGATAAATACTCAATTTTGAAATATTTTCCTTATTATTAATGTCCATCTATAGTAATATGGAATTTTATTTTATGGAGCAGTTACATGTACAATTATGGCTGTCCTGGGAACAAAATAAAATGAGGCTTAATGTCTGCCTGTTCTTCATCAAATTCTCACTGTCAAGGATTCTTTCATCTTTCATGTGTACGCTAAAGTGTACATGATACCTTGGTTTTTTCTTCCCATTTGAACAACTAGATGCTTTTCCTTGCTTGACTCCCAGTCCTGCATCACTAACAAGGGGAATCTATGCTAGAAAATCCCCCAAGGAACTTTCTCAGCCAACACCGATTAATGAGTCAGCTCCTTTTTCCTTGCACCACCTTGGCTTCTTTCTTGGGAGCAAAAAGTATTTATAAGATAAACAAATTTGAATAGCTTTACATGGTACATGTACTCGAGATGCTGTTAATTTGATATAAAAAAGAGTACCATACAAACATAATTAGTAGTACCAGATTAATTGATATCGACAATTGTTGTAAGAACTTGTAAGGCTCATCTGTCCTCATCTACAAATGAAATTAAACAAATATTTGCAAATGATACATGTGTTTCAAAAACAAAAAGGGGGGTTGGATGGCCGAATGGTTAGCATATGTGCGCTGTATCATGAGGTCTGTCATTGAGTTTCGATTCCCCAGTAGGGTCCCCTGTCCAACCTCGTGAGTTTTCTCCTGAGTCCTTCGGTTTCCTCCCACTGCTAAAGACCCCTACGCGCAGGCGAATTATTGGAATAAAATTGAACCATGTGTTAGTCCCGAAATGACCTAGTTTGTGTAGAGTGGACTTAAACCCCATCTCATGTGTTATGTACATGTATCTACCTCGTACCTTATAAATAGATTCCATCTTTCAAATTTACTTCAGTAAAGTGTATACAATACATTACATTGCAACAATACAAGTTTAATTAAATAAAAATAACTATACATGTTTTGAAAAATAATTATTAACCTTTATTATAGCGAGTTAAAACTAGGCTTCTCTAGTACAACACTGTGAAGGTAGTTCAATTAACAATTTAAATATATTCTTAAATCAATTTCTACAGAGCCACAATTAGCTAGAATTCATAGCAAGATAGGTAGAGATGGGCGATTCTTCCAGTTATCCAGATATCACCCACAGGAGAGACACCCCAGTCGCCTCCCACTTCAATTTACCGAGACATTCTAGCCGAAACCTCGGCTACCAAATTATCAAACAACTTGGCACAGACCCTGAGCTTTATTCTTCTACTACCAACAGACGTACAATTGAATTACATTGGATTATAAGATTAAAAACCTTCCAACCCCCCCTTTTTATTCTCTTTAGAATTCATAGCAGCTAGATCAGTCTTATGAGAATAACATTTCTAGAAAGTGCTTTACACCAGTATTAAATATTTTTCTGTGAACATTACAGAAACATGAATTGTGGAATATATTGTTCTATATGATATATATTTTAGTTTTTGATTAAACAAATTGTACATATATTACAGCAATACTCAGAAGAGATTGTCACATAATATAGTTGAGAGGAAACGTAAAGAAAAGATTAAAAAATGGATTGGACATATAGGAGCTCTTTTGCCTTCACTTCCACATACAACGGAAAAGCCATCAGTAAGTTTAAAGAATATTACCAGCGGCCATATTCAAGAAAACATATTACTAAAGTATTTTTGAAATACATCCTTTTCATTGGCTAATATTTGTGCTACTATTTTTAGTACTCAGCCAATAAATAACCAGTATTCTTAACATATCTTAGTTTTAAGTTTTCGTCAATAAGGGCACCAGACTACAATTACATTGCACAGGGTAAGAATGAAGCTTTGGTATAACCTCATAGCATAAAAATAAGTTTGTCATTCCATTGAATGTTGAAAATTTAGTATATTTTGTGGTCATACATGCTCACTTCCTTTTGGCAGGAGAATTAACTATTGTGATCAAAAATAGTACCAGTATGTATCAGTTCTATCAACAATGCATTGGATCCAGTGATTGATATCCGAACCAGTCATAGAGTCTCATTTTTTCAACAAAACAGTATGAATATTGATTTAAGTAATTGAAAATTAATGTGCCTTGATTATTATGTATTTTTTATTTAGAGTACATTGGAAACAATGGAAAGAGCGGCATCATATATAGCTGAGCTCAAAGAAAAATATGAGCAGTTACTTGTAGAAAAGGGAGATTCTGTTCAAGGTATTTATCTTAAAAAGTTTATTTGCATTACGAGATGGCTGAATGGTTAGCGTGTGTGTGCTGTATCATAAAGTCTGTCATGGTTTCAATTCCCCGGTTGTACATGACAAGGAGTATGGTCACCTGTCCAAACTTGTGGGTTTTCTCCGGGTCCTGTGGTTTACTCCCACTGCTAAAGACCCCTATGCGCAAGTGAATTATTGAAATAAAATTAAACCATATGTTAGTCCCAAAATGACCTAGTTTGTGTCGAGTGGATGTTAAACCCCATTTCTCTCTCTATTTGCATTACATGTACATTAGGCTGAAATGTAGATTTAGATACATTTACAAACGAAGTTAGTTTATGATATAGCAATCATAAGGTCTGTCATTGAGTCAACTGGCGTGGTTTCGATTCCACGGTTGTAAGTGACAAGGAGTAAGGTCGCCTGTCCAACCTCATGGGTTTTCTCCTGTTTCTGCCCACTGGTAAAGACCCCTACGCGCAAACAAATTGTGGAAATAAAATTAAACCATCTGTTAATCCCAAAATGACCTAGTTTGTGTTTAGTGGATGTTAAACCCCCTTTCTCTCTCTCTTATGATATTTAGCAATGACAAATTAATAAGCATATTTATATTATTAAGGACAGCAGTACAAAGTGGCCGTTGAAGTCCATACATGTAGATTAACCAGTATTATGACTTAAATGTTATGCTATTTTAAATGAGCCATTCTGGTAGAGAACCCCAGCATTGAGAGAATTATATATCGTACGTTACTTATATAACTATATTTCATCAAGCCTCCCATGATTACAATCATAGGGCTGTTATCTGTGCAAGTTATGGGTTCAACACACCCCACCCTTTTTATACTTTTAAGTTGAAGAAATCAAAGAGTTGAGAAAACAGTTGGAAGATACAAAAATAGAAAGAGACAATTATGCACAAATTATCAAAAATGCAGGTAAGTTTTTTCTGATAATCTTGCCCTACACAGTTAGTTTAAAGGGTAAAATAGAATTGTACATATTGAGAGCTATCTACAAACAGGCCTGGAAATAACAATTTTAGATGTACCTGACATAATGTCAGGCACTAATGAAACAGTACCTGACATTTTCAACCCAGTGCCGGACATGTATTAATAATATCAATAAATAAGGAAAATCAATGCCGGACAAAATGACAGACACCAGAGGTTTAGTGTCTGACAAACCCTGAATCTGTGTCTGACATTGTCTGTGACAGGTGCCTTATTTTCAGGCTTGTCTAAATATCACAGAATTCTATATTTACCCAGTGAATATAGAGTAACACAATAGCACTACTAGTACTACAGCGTTGATCTACACCAGTTTTGTAATTAATATAAGTAGCTAGTCGTTTGTTTTATGTACGAAGTGTGTGAATTAAGTAGGATTGAAAGCTTTTTAGATCAGTTACTGCTCAAAAGATAGACATGTAATACTAGATCAAGATGTTATACTTTTTCATTGATGATCATAAACTATTTGATGACACTTGTACCTTCTAATATATACAGGGTAGACACAATGATATTGTTCGGTCTGTTTAAATTAAGGATGCAACGATACATACTAAAATTATCGTGATTAATTATTATTATTGAAAAATGAATAATCGCGATATCTTGGATGATCGTGATGATATCATTTATCATGATAATTCAAATAATCATGCTTAAAGGATTCACTATTGCGGTTTTTAAAACTAATTGTCTGTTATATCGTTTGTTGCCGAAATCGATGCAGACTCAAATTTTTCTTGTTCTAACTGAAATAAAAGAAATATTATCCAGATAATAACTTGTACATAACATAGTTGCCAACTGGATAATCAATGGTCAACAATCGGGCCATTGTAGTTGGTTTCTATGACAACAACGCTCTAGAGGCTAAAGTTAATATCCGATTGACTTTAAATTTATACACAGTGTTTAAGGTCATGAGACGTAGAAGCCTATTGATTTTCGGTGATTTTCGATTATTACTGTCAGAGTTATGGCCCTTGATCACTTCAAAAAATCTTGTGGGCGCTCTAGAGGTCAAAGTTAATATTCTATTAACTTTAAATTTATACACAGTGTTTAAGGTCATGGGACGAAGAAGCCTACTGATTTTCAGCGATTTCCGATAATAACTGCCATAGTTATGGCCCTTGATCGCTTCAAAAAATCTTGTGGACACTCTACAGGTCAAAGTTAAAATCCGATTGACTTTAACTTTATACACAGTGTTTAAGGTCATGAGACGAAGAAGCCTATTGATTTTCAGCGATTTCCGATAAATACCCTGAGTTATGGCCCCTGATCACTTTAAAAAATCTTGTGGACGCTCTAGAGGTCAAAGTTAATATCCGATTGATTTTAAATTTATACACAGTGTTTAAGGTCATGAGACGAAGAAGCCTATTGATTTTCAGCGATTTCCGATAATTACTGCCAGAGTTATAGCCCTTGATCGCTTCAAAAAATCTTGTGGATGCTCTAGGGGTCAAAGTTAATATCCGATTGACTTTAAATTTATACACGTGTTTAAGGTAATGAGACAAAGAAGCCTATTGATTTTCAGCGATTTCCGATAACTATTTCCAGATTTATGGCCCTTGATCGCTTCAAAAAATCTTGTGGATGCTCTAGGGGTCAAAGTTAATATCCGATTGACTTTAAATTTATACACAGTGTTTAAGGTCATGAGACGAAGAAGCCTATTGATTTTCAGCGATTTCCGATAACTACTTCCAGATTTATGGCCCTTTAAATTTATACACAGTGTTTAAGGTCTTGAGACGAACAAGTATAATGATTTTCAATGAGTTTTTATGACTTGAACAGCTAAATCCATGATGTTAAAAGTTTTGTATACTAAACGTTAGCATGGGGCAGAACTTTATAAAAACCAAACAAATTCGAATGGTTTTCTGATAATTACTTCTAGAGTTGTTGCTCTTAATCAGATTTTAATGTATTATAAATGTTTCATTACCGAAAAAAGTAAAAATATGTGGCAACTCTTGTTGACTACCCGGACGATTAAGCTGCTGTGGACGTTTCGCTGCCTGGCAACCTGTCTTTACGACTCGTCGTAACTATAGCCACTGCCAATTTTGATTGTAGTTTACTGTGTGCAATGAAATGTTGATCTGAAAGGGTTCCCAATTCTATTTCAAAATATGACTTTTGATCTGATATAAGCAATAGCCCTGCTAATTAAGAGATGATTTTTAAGCGATCGTACATGACATGCCCTAGGACTATAAACCCAAAAGCCATGTAGTAGACTTGGATGTTGTCAACTTACCCTATTATTTTCACTGTGTAAATTCTGTGGGATTTTACACTACTTTCATGACTGAAAAATTATATTTATTTATAGGAAATATTGTTAAACTTGTCCAATTTTATTTTTCAGGCATATCTATTGATCCTCAATGGAAAACAGCAAGATTTGGTCGTCAGCCTTTACCCAATGGGGAACTTAATGATAGTCAAAGTCCGAAAGAAGAGGAGAAAATAAAAGGAAAATCTAAGAGAAAGAATACTGTTAGTGTTCAACTAGAATCTGTAAAACTTCAACAAGAACAAAATAATCAAGCTTTGAATAATGTGTTTCCTGGAATATTTGGCGGAGTTGGAAACCAAAATATGCTATTGAACAGTGGATTTCCTAATGGAAATCAAGTTGTTATGACTCCTAATGGACATGTTGTTATGCCCATGAATCAAATGACTAATGCTTTACAAAATGGACAAAATATGTTACTGGACAAAAGTGCCAATGGATTAGGGCTACTACAAATGGCTATGCAGGATGCCGGTATAACAGAAATTTCTCGCCAGCCTAGCCCTGATAATACTTCCCCGCGTGAAGGATCACAATCCTCTAACGTAAATAATGATAGTTTATCTACAACCTCTACATCATCCATGGCTGAGGATCCAAATCATGCACTGCAAACTCTAGCTTCCGTGGCTTCTAATCCTCAAAATGCTGTTTTAACATCTGTATCATCCAGTCAACCAGCAGTAAGATCTACAGTTGGTCAAACTCTTACATCAACTGTAGCTCAATCAGACACTACCACATCCAATGTTTCATCTATCACAGGGACCACTAATATTCAAGGTGTCCAATATCCCACAACATCTGGAATATCCACAAGTATGCCATATATGGGATTTGTGCCAGGTGGTGCTGTTAACAATAATGCTATCACTACAACTGCTGTCACTTCCACAGCTCCCCCAATAATGTCTGTAGGTCCAGGTGGTGTTAATCAGTTAGCAAATCAAGGTAATATGATGGTTAATATGCCCATGAATCCTGGTCAAATCAATCTCTTACCACCTAATAATTTTGGTTTGCCAGGCATGGGTGGTATGTTTATGAATCAACAAGGACAATTAATAATGATAAATGAACAAGGTGTTCCCATCATGGCTGGGATGAACAACAATATGACAAACGTTCTTCCCCAACAAGAACAGCAACAACAGAACATACCAGTACCAAAAGCGTGCAAGAAGGACAAAAATTCTAAGAAAGCAAACACAGTTCAACCCAGTGTCATAAACCAAAATGTACCAGATCAAATGAATATGACCTCTGTGATGACCTCTCAAGGTCAAATGAATATATTACAACCACAACAAGGAACAATGAATATGTTACAACAAAATATAATGCAGCAGCCAAATATGATGCAGTCTATGCCCATGCAAGGTCAGCAACAAGTCACCATGCCTGGAACCCAAAATGTTTTTCAGCAGCCATTTCCAAATCAACCAATGGTTCAGATGCAGTCCAATAATACAGGTAGTCAAAATCAAGGCATTATTTTACCCGCAAATCAAAGTGGCAATCTGCTTACTCTCAACACGATGCCAAGCCAGCCAAATCAGTTACCTTCAGCACTTATACTGCCCAATGGTCAGGTGATTCCGGTTGTCCAAAATGCCCAGAGTTTGATCAACAATCAATCTGGTGTGTTAACTTCGGGTGGTCAGGTGGTTACTAACAGCACAAGTCTTCAGATGCCATTACAACAAATGGGTGTTGGTATGCCAAATACAGTCATGGGTAATATGGCAAATATGGATCTTAATAATCAGATGATGTTAGGGAACCCAGGATTTCAAATGGGTTCTCAAGCACCGCTTCAGCAGTCCAGTATGGGTATTCTTATGCATGATCACTCCAATAATCAACAATCCATCGCCACATCAGCGCAAAATCTCACCAACAGTGTTGTTCCTACTTCTTCAACGCAGAGTATCATGACAACACAAATACAGAATACTACACCTGCCTTGGCGAATTCCTTTAATTATCAAAAATCTGTTGATAATCAAGTACCTATGTCAGCTGCAGATGGAAGTGTCAGTATCATGCCTAGAAATCCTGTTCAAGCTAGTGTTCGTGCAACAGCTCCTGATCTGAAAAATAACCAGGCAAATAATCAAAGTAGCATGATGAATAATCCACAAGGTATGGCAACAATAGCTCAAGGAATGGGAACACCAGGACCACAAATTGGACCCAATGGCTCCATATTGTTGACTCTCCCTATAGATGGACAGCAAATGAGTGTACTAGTAGATCCAGTCACAATGCAAGTATTGGGTAGAGTACCACAACCAACACCAACGAATACTATTACTCCTACCAGTACTACTGCTACTACAGCTAGCACTACTACCACTGCTGCTACTACTCCTGCTACTGCTGCTAAAAAATCAGTTGGTGGTAAAAAAGCCCCAAGAATATGTCCTAAACCTAATCAAGCTCCCAAAAAATCTAAAAACAAATCTTTGTCACCTGCAGCAGAAGTACAACCCCCAACAGATGCTGAACCCCAACAACTGATAACTGAAGCTTCTCATGAAACACCCCAAGCTGTACCAGAAGAAACTCCTATGGACCATGGTTTATCCTCAGAAGAGTCTGCTGCTATGACAGATATTCTAGCTAAAGCTGCAGAGTCTATAGGATTTTATAATCCTGCTAATGAAGATAATCCACTACATATAGACACTAGTGCTGGGGAAACTGAAGATGATGGTAGTGCTTCACCCTCTAAAGCCAAAACGAAGACTCAAGAAACAGTTGCCGAAGATAAACCTGATACAGATGATATCACATCAGTTTTTAACAACATGGAACCTTTGTTAAAGGTAACTATTTTTTTATTATTATTATGTGTTTCCAGAAATTGTTTATTGCAGAATTTGGCGACTATGAATTATTTAGCTATTTGTATCAACTCTTTTCATAGATAATAATGTAAACTTCATACTAATTCCACCAGCATGTTTGAAAATAAATGTAGCTTGGGTAATAGAGGGTTATTACGTTGGTCATAAAGAGTTTACATAAGTTATGTGTACCTTACAGGACACTTGACCTGGCAAATTATGCAAGAATTCTGGGGTTTGCTTGGAATCAAGATGAAAAATTTATATATTTTACTTTTTTAACGCACTACTGTTTTATCAGGCAAATGATGACATTATTGTTTCTTCTTGACACTGTTACCCTCCTGTTAATGTGCCATTAGATTTAAACTGAGTTATAACTGTAAAGTAACATTCTATTTCATCCATTTTAGTCACCAGAAGATACGTTAACAATGAATTTACCATCAGAAGAAGACTTTAACCAAACGGTGGAGGCATGTGCAACACCAAATAAAAAGTCAAAGAAATCGAAAGCTCTCTCAAAAGAGAAAGAAGATACATTAGATACACCTAAAATGGCCAAAAAGACAAGCAAGAAGAAAAAGAAAAATGATGATCCAAATATGGTCAATGCTCTTACTATAGCAGAGCCAGTATTTGATTTGCCAGCAGAAATAACCTTTTCAGAATCTCAGTTATCAGATGTTCTTGACCAGGTTGAAAAATTGGATTCATCCTTCACTGAAACACCTAAAAAAGCAAGTAAAAAGAAATCGAAAAGTGATGAAAGTGATTTACCTGCAAGTAAGAAAAGAAAAAAGAGTTCTGGTAAAGATAAAGGAAATACTAATGTTGCTCAAACTGTTCCAGATAATTCTGTGTCACTGCCTGTTTCTCAACCAGAGTCACGAATGTCTATTTATGATTTTCAAGATGACAGTCCACCTGAAGTGTCACCTGTACGTAAAGGTGTTCTAAGTTCATTGAGTGCTAAATCTGTGAATGACACTCATAAAATTATGAAGGAAACTCGTTCTATAGCTGATAGTTTGGATGATTTAGATAGTGTTCTATCACAGAGTATTGAAATGAAAGTTAACAGTCCCAAAAACACAAGTAAATCTTCTCGAACTAAATCCAAATCTTCAAGTAAAAAGAAAAAATCAAAAACTGAAGTTAAACCTGCCCCTGAATCAGATATAGTTGAACCAGAAAAATTCAATCTACCTTCCCCTGCCAATATTCAAACAACAATGTCCATGGAACAAAACTTGAACAATCTTCTGACATCTCAGAATATTGATTTTACTCCCTCAAGTGATTTAGTCTCCTCGCCATTAGCAAAGATGATTGATCCACTGGACGATATCCCTTCAGTTATTTCTCCAGTTCAAAGTCATAATCAACCCCAACATACAAATAGTTTGCAAGATCAAATTACTAGTACACAAAGACAGCCTTCTCCTCAGATACCAAATCCGTCAATCGAAGATGCAATCAGATCACCATCATCTTGTCCGAATATGGAACCACCTCCACCTTTAACACCACACCAACATCCCCAACGGAGTGATTCCAACAAGCACAAAACTCCTCCATATAATTCGCCAGCCTCACAGCCACCAATTTTTATGCCATCAAAGTCCTCTCCTTCCACTCATATGTCTATGCACCCTTCTCCACAACATCAGCAATCCAGTCAGTCCCAACCTTCAGTGCCATTGTCTCATCTACCAAATCCTCCACAGAGATCATCCACCATGTTACCACCACAAGACAGTTTTCAAACTCATAAATCACCAGCTCATCTTTCACCTGCCCAGAACATGTTATCCCCAGCAAACATGAGAAATAATATCGATCAAAATATAGTATCCCCATCTAATATGGCTATAACAAGTTCTGGAAGAGAGCTAAATTCAAGCATGAGATCTAATACTGATCCTAATATCATATCGCCACCTAACGTCACTATGGCAACTATGCATGAGACATTGAATACAAGTCAAGAACAAAGTATTGTATCTCCACCAAATCTCAACTTGGGTACCAACAGATCTGGTGCTGACATTCATCAAGCATTTGACCATCCTAGCAGTTTATCCAGAGTTCCAGAAACAACACCCATATTTCCACCTACTGAATTGCCTTGCTCAAATGAACCACTTTTTCCTTCCCCTATTGCATCTATACCTAAACTGTCTCATATTGAAACCTCACCCATCAAACCACCATCGAGAAATAGTTCTGGATCAAATTCTGATGGTCCATCCCAACGTTCTAGAAATAGCATATACTCTGCAGAAAACTTTGTTCAATCAAGTCCAAGTCGAAGTAATGATAGCAGACCGTCTCAAGACAGTTCACAGCTTACTAGCTGTTTCGGTCGACCACCGGCAGAAAATACTTCAGAAAGTTTTAATTTTACTAGTATTGGAATGAATTTAACATCTAACACATCTTCCAATGTTATGGCAGGTGGTATGTCCATGTCAAGTGCTTCAACACCATTTTCTTTTAGCTTAACACCAGCAAGTTCAGTTTTAACGTCTTCATCTGGTGGCAATAATAGTGCTAGTTTACCTTCATCTCATGGTCATCATCCTTTATCATTCTACCCTCCACTTCATCTTCAGCCACCTGGACAGCCTAACAATTCCCAGGAAAATCCAAACTCTCAACAACAAGGTATGAACATGTTACCATTAGGTGTTGACTTAAGAAACAACAGACCCCACTCCCGACAAATGTCCAATGGTCCTCCAAATCAAAACACATTTAATTTTGGAATGATGGATATGAATGACTGTGTTTCTCGAGAGTCCTCCCTGCCACCAAGGCTCAGTTTACCAGGGATGGAGAAAAATCATCAAGATTTTAGAAGTAGTAACAGTAGTAGTAAGAGGGCTCCTGAGTTAACTCCTGCACGCTCGATGACAAGTGGTCCAATGGAACATAACCTTGGATCTAGAACTCAAGTAAGCAGTGCCTCTTCTTACTTCCAACCTGCAAACTTTAATCAGCCACCATCATCATTGATGACACCGCCACTACGTCATCCCCCTATGCAGAGTAATGAACGTTCTAGATTAAGCCATCAGCCACCTTATGATCCAAACTTTCAGCCTCGAGGTCCAGCTTTATCATCAGGTTCTTTTGGTGCTAACAGATTTGACAATTCCAACAATGGTCAAAGACCAACAAGTAGTGTTCATTATGACTCGACATCTAATATTAATCAAAATGTACGAAAATCTAATTCTAATCCACCACACAAACAAAACAAACAATCTCATCCATCATCTGGTTCCATTCCTTCAACAAATCATCCTATGCCACCACAGAATACATCATCTCAGAGTACTCCATTAAGTCACAGAGATATGCCTAGTGCTCCAGCTCAACCAGTACGCCAAAAATCTCAGTCACGGAAACAGAACAGTAAAAAGAACAAACTCCAAAGTTTTAATCCGGAAATGGACACGAATCTCTCCCATTCGATATTTGACTCGAATCAGGGAATGCCTCCTAACTTTTTTGTGCCTACCTTATCGCCAAATCCTAATAGAAACTTACAAAGTGAAGGACCATCCTTTTTACATGGAAACTTGTTTGGAGGTACACCTAGGCCTTTATCAAATACAGGGTCTGGTCCTAAAAACTCAGACATTGGGGTACCATTTAATCCATTATTTAATCCGTCAAGAACGCAGAACAGTTTAGCAGGTTTAAATTTTCAGCCTGGTTTTGGAATGAATCATGTTAGTGCTTCAAGTGCTCCTCAAATTACCCCACATTCTGGTAATGTGGCCATGCCACCGCATATAATGTCAAACTTTAATTTGAGTAACATTTTTACGGATGTGAACAATTCTCAAAGTGATTCATTGAACATATCTCCTATTAAATTCCCACATGGGAATCATATGTTACCCCAGCATGGGATGGATCCCAACTCCTTACAACATCATCATCAGAACAGTGCACTTTATCATAATCGAGGTCATCCAGGACAGCAACAGGCCCTGCATAATGCAATGGCCATCAATAGTTTGCTAGGACATAATCCTCATGGTTTTGATGTGAGGCCAATGGGTCAGGGTATAAATAGTTCGGTGGGTCCACCATTTCACGGGCCAGGTCATCCAGGGTCATTTGGCATACCTTCATTAAACTTTTCTTTACATGACTCTCACTGACAGAAATTGTGACCTATCAGTGTGTTTTGTCTAAGAATTTGTTTAGCCATTATGAATCATATCATACTTGAGTGCATATTTTTCTATTGGATAATGTAGATAGCATTAATCATTCATTTAATATATGTATTATATTGGTGCAAAGTGACGATTGTGCTGGACATCAGATGAGAATTATCATCAGAACATTACAACATTTTAGTGAAATCCAAATGTCTTTCATGTTATTTTATGTGTATGTATATATACATTGTGCTATCGTTTTATTATTGATGTATGCTGCTGAGGTTCATGAAAGTGACTCAATCATTATAGTCTGGCTTAAAAATTGCCTTCCCAGAAATTTCAGTAAAATGCATGACGTGATAAATGTACAGTTCAAACTAAAATTAAGCTTAGGAACCATGGCCATGATAGTTGAGTATCTTTAAATTGGGTAATTATGAAACATTCAAAAAGATATTTTAGTTGCTTTGTTTTTTTACTGTCAAAACTTGAATTATGTCTATATGTTGGGTTAAAGTTAGTGCTTATTTCTATTTGAAAAACAACCACCTACGTTAATTAACAGAATTTTAGTCTTTCAAATTAAACAAAATAAAACCTACCTTTTTCAATTTTCTGGCAGTGGTAACATTTTGTTTTAAATATCTTCGAATCTCAATGACTTAGATTTTTGTTTTTTCAAAATAATTATTTAATACATACACACAGGATGATATTTTGTTTACAACTTTTGGTTGTGTGTTTGAAAGACTAGGACAGACATCTTTATGAATTTATGGCAATTGTGGTTTACCCAGTAAAGATAAAAATGGCGCATAATTTATTTCATTGATAGCAACCAATAACCACTATACTTTTCTTGAAAACTGCAGCAATTACAACCGTTCCTGCATCTGTTCAGAAATTCAAAATGTTCTTTTAACATTTATTATTGACCATTTCATCATCCAATGGCCACATGGCATGACATGCAATTAACACAAGTCTGCATTTTGCTCCTCTGGTGTAATACGGTTGTAATTGTCTATGTCAAATAGCTAATTATTATATTTATTGAAATAAAACACCATTTGTATTCTATTATAACAAATTCTTTATTATTGGTGTTGAGACCTACACCAGATTAAGGACTTTTGATCATGTATAGTAACATCTGGCAACTATAATAAGAATAAACTTTAAGTGTGTATTTTGATTGTAACAATTATAAGGCAAAAATTTTTGTTAATAAGCTAATTTAGATTCGGATACAGCTATAACACTATATGTGGTTGAGCTGATTGCTTCCACTTGATTCAGAAGCATTAGTTTATTAGATAAACAACTGTATTGCATTCAAGTGAAAATATGTGATAGAACTTGTAACACTTGACAATGAAGAAGTGTATTTATAGGTTTTAAAGTGCTGATTTTTGTCATGCAGATAGCAGCGATACCCAGTCAATATGACAGCAGCTCTTCATCCATTTTTTGTTTCAATGGCATTTAGTAATATTATAAGATTTTGTTAAATATTTGGATTGTTTACCCAGCTATTAATGACATGTTTTACTGTCTTTATCAGGCTTATTTAATAATGCGTCAAATATCATTGGGTTTTTTAAAATAGATGTTCCAAACCAAGAAAGTGATTCATGTAAACATGTCATTAGATATTAATTGAGTAACAATCAGAATAAACAAGAACGAAAATAAGATTAAGTTTTAGTTAGATTGGCAGTCGCCTAAATCAAATTCTTAATATCTCATGATAGTGAATGCAGTTCTATCCGTAGCATAGACGTCAATCAAGTTAAATTCCACCTCGTGGTCATTTTCAGAGCATGTTTTGAAATGTATGTGTTAATTACTAAATAATTTCTTGATTGTAGAATTATTTTACAAAGTTTTATATATTAACGGTATCAATCATGTCATTCATTGTAAGTAATTTCATTTCATAAATCAAGTGTCATCAAACGTGTTAAATAATTGATTGTCATCATTAATATATTGGTCAATATTTTTGTTTATATAAAACTTATTAATAAAAAAGAAAGCATAATATTTAATTGTTAATAATTAATAATCATACTAACTATAGAAGTAGCAATTATAAATGTTTTACATTTGACACAGATTAATTATATTATTTTTAGTTAAACAAATTCTTTGAAATAATTTGCTGATATTCTTTTGTACAATTTTAATAAGCCCACATCGAAATGTGGTTGTATACTGTTGTCGGTCAGGCCTGCTGGCATCCACAAGTTCTTGTGGACGCTCTGGAGGCTAAAGTTGATATTTGTGGGTTTCTCCGGGTCCTCCGGTTTGCCCCCACTGCAAAAGACCCCTACACGCAAGTGAATTATGGAAATAAAATTTAACCATATGTTAGTACCGTAATGACCTGGTTTGTGTCGAGTGGACGTTATTAAACCCCATTTCTCTCTCTCTCTCTCTCTTTTCAACTATATCTGATAATTACTGCCAGCGTTTTGGCCCTTGACCTCTTGAAAAATCTTGTGGAAGCTCTAGAGGCTAAAGTTAATATTCAAATGACTTTAGATTTATACAAAGTGTTTAAGGTCATGAGTCCAAGAAGTCTATTGATTTTTAACAATTTCCAATAAATACTGCCAGAGTTATGGCCCTTGATCACTTTAAAAAAATCTTTTGGAAGCTCTAGAGACTAATGTTAATATCCGATTGACTTTAAATTTATACACAGTGTTTAAGATCATGAGATGAAGAATCCTATTGATTTTCAACAATTTCCGATAATTACTACTAGAGTTATATTCCTTGATCACTTTCAAAAATCTTGTGGACGCTCTAGAGTATAAGGTTAATATCCGATTGACTTTAAATTTATACACAGTTTTTAAGGTCATGAGACAAAGAAGTCTAATGATTTTCAACGATATCCAATAAATGCTGCCAGAGTTACGACTCTTGATATTAAATGTTTTGTATATTAAACTTTAGTATAGGGCAGAACTAATGATTTCTGATACTTGATGGGCTGGTACATGTACGGTAATCAGATTTTAGTGTGTTGTAAATTTTTTATATTTCATTACTGACAAAAGAAAAAATATGAAACAACCCTTGATGACTTAGCTGCTGTGGGCGTATGTTTCATTGCCTGCCAACCTATCTGCTATACCTCTATTTAATTCTGTCTCTTCCATTGTACTTGAATTCTTATTACTCCCCTACTCTTTCCTTCCGTCAAATAGTAATGTACTAAAATGTTGTTATACAATTATCTTTAATAAATAAAGTGACAAGTGTTGTTGTTGAAATAAAACATTAAGTATATTCTTGCAAAAAATTAATTAAAATTTTAGTTAACGGTATGTCAAAACATTTTCTCAATTGTTAGAGTAATACCTAATTTTACATCAACATCTGTGTGGAGTGGATATGTGAACCATAATGTTCAAAAATTCAATCAATATACAATGTTTTATATTGGATTTGAGCAATTTTGGATGCATTAATCAATTCACAGAGCAAAAAGATTAATCTTAGCTAAACATGAAAATTTTCTGTCTAATTGAGTGTTCAAAATTGAGAAAGGAACTGTTTATGTTGATAGTGGATCTTAATACCAGTATGCAAATCAATCTCCAAAATATTTACCAGTTATATTCACTAAAATAAACTAAGACTGTTTCCTTAAAGATCATGCCATAATAATGTGATTGTTCAAACAACAGCATAGAAACTCTAATCTTTAATTTGGCCCATTACCGGTATTATATGACATTTACCACCAAACGAGACATATAAGGGCTATAGCCTATAGTTATCCCAGTACCTGTCTAAAACTTATATATTCTGTAAACCATTACCTATGAGTGTATGATTTATTTAGAATTTTCTGATTAATTTGTTGCAATTTTTATCTACATTAAAAGAGCTGGTTGTTTATTTATATTTTAGGGTTTGGTAATTACAGTATCTGTTGTGTACACAATGTGCTTTTAACAATACATGTATTGACAGTGAAAACTTTCGATAATTTGGCATGCAGATATCTATGATAGAAATTAAATTGTAAATACTGGAACAGTGGTGTATTATAACTGCTGCTGTAAATATGTACAAAAGATCTATTGGCTATATTCTTTCATATTTATAATCTAGACAAGGAGTCTACTAATAATTATGGGTGATATAAGAATTGAACCACTGACAGTTTTATGAATATATTTTGAAGGCGTTTTGTATAAATTGTGTATTAATAATTGTTATGTACAGATATCTTTTTTAATGTCTGTCTTTTTAAGGCATTTCTTATTATTATGTCAAGAGAACAAAGTGTTCATATTGATAAATATATTGAATATTATATCAAATCTACTTCTATGTATCATGACAAGTTACCAAAATATTTTATTTGAATTTTATTATGATAGAAAAAGTAAAAGAAAGATAAAAACAGATCAATATTGTAAACTTCTGTCAAATTTGTGTGTGAATTGTGAAATAACTTTACCCGAAGGCAGTTTGAAATTTCCGCAAAAGTTAATACATTACTGCCACAAGGGTGCTCACATGATTTTGGAGACTTTGAATAATTGCATTTGCTGCTATTGTATTCAATGTATAAATAACAACTCACAAACCGGTATGATAGCCACTGATTGTCTATTGAGTGTTGTTGAATATTATTACAATAATATTGTTACACTGTCCAACCTCATAGGTTTTTCTGGGTCCTCCATTTCCTCTCACTGCTATAGACCCCCCACGCACATGCGAATTATTGAAATAAAATTGAACCATATGTTAGTCCAGAAATGACCTGGTTTGTGTCGAGTGGACGTGGAAAGTTAAATCTCTAAAACATACATTATGCAAGAACTAAATCTGCCTATTGCAGGTCTTTCTTTAGTCTTTAGGCCTGAAATGTTACTTAAAGATACATTATGTAAGATTTAGATAAAGAACTAGCCATTCTTGCTATAATAGTTCGAAAGTAGATGATGTAAAATGAATAATTTGAAAATTTCATTCAAATTACTCTATTGCAAGCGAAGATATTAGCCTTTGAAGGTTTGGCAGACGTGTGCAATAATTTTAACCACCGTACTGGTTGATCGAAGCTAAGTCTCAGTCCTCCATATTTGATTAAATCAAAGTATCGCTGAACCATTCTAATCTATTTAATATCGGAGAAATCTGATGCCACCGAGAGTTGATTAAGGCCTGGATCAGTTAATTAATGTCTAATTAATACTTTAGAAAACATTTCCGGCCTAAAGAAAGACCTGCAATAGGCAGATTTAGCTCTTGCATAATGCATGTTTAAATTATTAATTAGACATTAATTAACTTATCCAGACCATAATCAATTCTCGATGCTCAAAAGCTAGTATCTCGGTTCAGCAGAGTGGAGCAATTTTTTAACTATCACAGCGAGAACTGCTAACTCTTTATCTAATCTCCCATAATACCCCTTTAAGTATTTACAATAATATGAAGAATTTAAAATTTCCCAACAATCCAATAACATTGTGAAATTTAATTACAATAAGATAGCCATTTCACTTTTTATACGCCCACATTTTCATGTGGACGTATATTGTCATCGCCCCTGTCCGTCCGTCCATCCACAATTGTTTGTGAACAGTCTACAGGTCACAATTTTTATCCGATTTCAATGAAACTAAGATCTCGGTTCCTTTCGATATTGGCATGTATTGGACTGTAACTTCATGGATTATGGCTCCTGATTGTACGAAAAATCACGTTCTTAGCTTGTGAACACCGTAGAGGTCACAATTTTTATCCGATTTGGTTTAAACTTGAAATGTATGCTTATAACCCAAAGATCTCGGTTCCTTTCGATATTCGCACATATCGGAACGTAACTTCCTGAATTATGGCCCCTGATTGTACGAAAAATCGCGTTTTTAGCTTGTGGACCCTATAGAGGTCATAATTTTTATCAGGTTTATAAAACCATATTATTATATCACCGTTACACCCTAAGGATGACTGAGTTCGAATTTTGTGAAAATCGGCCTAAAACTGACAGACAAAATGGCTGCCCTTCGTTCTCAAATAGCGTAAAAATATGGTATATCAAGGTTGTGGAACCTATATAGGTCACAATTTTTATCCGATTTTGATGAAACTTGAAATGTAAGTTTATAACCCAAAGATCTCGGTTCCTTTCAATATTCACGCATATCGAATTGTAATTTCCTGAATTATGGCCCTTGATTGCAGGAAAAATCACTTTCTTTCCATCTGTCGAAAATGTGGGCGTATCCTGCCGGGCAGCCGCTGGTTACACTACAGAGCAAGTTACACCAAATGGAATTACTTGATTTATGCTTGGGTTTCAAAATTCCCACAATTCGCCACAAAATGCAACTTTGTATAAAAGCAATTTAATAGGATAATAAGTAAAGTTGTCAATCCCAATGAAATATTCACATGTCTGTGTAGTAAACTATTAAAAAACATCACAAAATGTAACCTGACATCTCATTTTAATCAAGACTGCAACATTAGGAAGCATCTAAGGAACTCTGAAGCACTGCAGGCTTACTGTGAGGCATAAATAGATAGGAGGCACTTATTACAGTTCAGCTTCATATTAATAAGAATTTGGTCTTTCAAAATATGTAGACCCACATCTGGTCATTTGAACTGCTGTACACTATAATCTGTTAGTGACACAAAATTAAATTGCATTAAATCACTATTTTATTACATTTAATATTTCATATTATGAATATTGGTAAATTTATCAACAAAAAAGTTGAAATAATATCTGATATTACATTACCGGTACAATGGATTTCTAAATAAATTTATAGAGACTGAAAGATTTATAAAACATTGCAGACACACAAAATACATTCAATGGAAGTCATAATATACATGCAAATAAATTAATACAATTCATCAAATTGGTGACAAAACTACTAAATATAGTTCCATGGTTCCCATCCCACAAGGGAATGAGGTAAAAAAATAGAACCCTTGTTGGGCTTCTTTCTCAGTAATTAGATTGAAGAAAGATAATATTTCTGGACAATTTGGAGAGGCAGTAACTGATTTCTGCACTGTATTAATTTTTTAACATGCAATGTTAAACACTGAGATTAAACAGAAGAACCCCAATCTGACCATTAGAGCTTTTACATGATTTTGTAACAGGGCAGTAAAACATTAAAGTTGCATTCCCCAAAAGTAATTAAAGGGTAGTTAATTTGAATAAAAATATGGCAAATTTGGTTGTATATATGGAAAGTAAAGACAACCAATCTTACTAGAAAAATGTATCTGGGAGGAACTGAAAGCAACTGAATGCAACTCAAAGCAGTCAGTTGCATATGTTTAACTTTCTGCAACTCGCTGCAACCAGTCGCAGTCAACACGAGCATTCTTACAACTGGCATCAACTCGTTTCCATGGAAGTAACATCACGTGATAAGAGACATGTTGCTTTGAGTTGCAGAGTTGACTTAAGCCCCACTTTAGGGTATCACAAACGGGCAGTCTGTCAGGTTGTCTGCTCATAAGCGAATAATCCGAGAATTTAAGCTTTGATATTTATGGTAAATGGACAACAAGTCATGTACAAGCTGTAATGGATCTTCCTTCATTCAAGACTAATGAAAAATAAGGCTGCTTTAAATTGATTTTTACAGCTTGGGATTGAATTATTTTGAGAGGGATTTGAAGCATACTTTTGATAGATAAATTAATTTGTATATGGTTTTAGTCAAAATATATCAAATCACACAGTTTATACATGGGAAGGCATCTTTAAAGACGGATGTAATTATTGAGATTTTATGGAACATATCTTATTTCTTTCCTTTGTTATCCAGATGCAACCTTGTTTAATTGTTGATACTGAATCAGCTTAAACAACTGTGAAAAATTATATTGCTAGGGCAGCTTCAACATACTGCTAGTTTGCTTCCCTAGAAACAGATAGGACATAAACGATTTTCTGTGAATAAACAGTCTTCTTACATATAGGACTACTACCTCAAACGTTCAACAGATTGAGGGTGTGAAATCAGGAACATCTGGTAAACTGAAAAAACAAATCACCATTAAGTTTCTGAACATTAAAACCATAACCACTATCGCAGTTACCTTTGCTGGTTTTAAAGCATGAAATTATGAAACAACTGCTCATATTTGTAATTCAGCAACAGACTGCAAATTGTCTCTTGAAAAAAAATGTACAATCTACAGTTAACATGTTAAAACAAAAATGCATAAAAATGGTTTCAAATATTGCTCATACAAGTAAATGATGCATAAATATGTAATACATAAACATATGTAATATACTAGATAGCATCCAATATTAGAATTTAAATAAAATTCAATGTAGGGTACACAATTGGCAACCAAATATAGATATTAACTTAAAGGATTGCATATGAAACTATATTAATATATTGATTGAATAGACCATCTGGACATTGGTTTTGGGGAAGACTGGAATTGGCAGATATATCCATGTGAAGAATGCACATTGCAATTAGCAAAAATTTCCAGTGACTATAATGGACAAGTTTTCGTTTTAAAAACGTAGATGCTGTTAAATACAATACATATACTGGTAGACAAAAAAGGGACGGGATATATTAAGTACACACTAATGCCTCCATAATATTTCAACACTGTAAAATGTCAGGTTATAATAGATTGGAGGAACACCTATAACAACAATATCATTAAGCAAACTATAAATTGGCTTAGTGTAAAGTTTTATCACAATAACAAACAGCCTAGTCAATATAATTATATTTAATATTGAACATTGTATTAAGAAAAAAAACAATATTAAAGATTTTGTTTAAAGCTAATACAACATGTAAATAATGCTGAGTAAAGATATCGACATCAATTAAACTTATAATATGCTTATATCATCTTACTAAACAAAGCATGATAGATTAATTATTCAAATTAATTTGAATTTTCTTGCGCAGTTCGGAGTGTAGGGTTGGGGATAGGGCCTGCAGAGATGACAACAAAAGTGATGCCTAGTGGTTCAGATAGATGGAACAAATAGAAGAACAGTTGGAATTTGAAGAAATGCTTTTTTTTTTAGTAGCTTGAGGGATTGTGGTCAATCAGCACCTCATCCTCCCTCCTTGCATTCTTCCACTTATGCTAGGTGGTCACTGGGTTCTCAGATGAGGTTTGAAGTCAAAATGGCACATTTTATGGACTGAATCTATAACCAACAGCTTTAATTTTTTGGTACACTGTCTGCATTTTCACTTTGCGTGTAAGCCCACCTCATGTATATCGCCCAGTCAGGGAAAACTTTCACTTCACCTAGAAATGATACTGACAATTAGAACTATTTTATAGAACCTCAACCATCAAAGAAATATGCCTTAAATAAAAAAAATTCAGTAATTGTGTTCAAATAATTATTAATTCTTTCTTTTAAATCATCTACAAAATTATTAAATGAATAATTCATTTGCCATTCAAATAAATTTCTATCTATAACTAAATACTACTAATGTCTAAAACAAAAGGAAATGGTTAAAATATGTGTTATCCAAATTATTAAATTTTTATTGATATTATAAATAAATTCTACTACTTTTTTTTTAAGTGTAGCACAAGAAACACACAACACATCTCTCACCCAGTTGTATAAATAATCAGATATAATCTAATTTATTAATACACAAACCTAATAATAATTTAAATTTAATTATGTTTTAAAATAAACTGGAGATTTCTCTTAAAAATTGTCTCTCAATCTATCATGCATTTTTTTATGTGCATTAAGAGCTACATCATATGAATATGCTTTACCACATTCATCGCATTTAAAAGGTTTATGGCCTGTATGTAATGTTTTATGATAAATCCACCCTTGTTTTGTGGTAAATGTTTTTGAACAATGTTCACAACTATAAGGTTTAACACCACTATGAGTTCTTTGGTGGGCTTTTAGATTACCAGATGTTGTGTAGGATCTTCCACAAGAACATGAATATGGCTTGCTTCCACTATGTGTTACTTTATGATGACTTAATCCTTGAAGATTAACAAATTCTCTTCCACAATGATCACAAGGATAAGTTGCTGATTTTGTTTTTATACTGGAACCAGGAGTTATTATAGAATTGGTACTTTCATCTGAAACAACCATACAACTTAATAAGTGTTTTACAAATTACAATCCATGACTAGTATAAAATCATATTGATATTTTTGACACTCATGAATGAAGGATCCTGCTTTGATGTAATCAATAAGCTTAAACAAATGCTTATCTGACAAACAACATTCATGGAAATGACAAAACACATTTGTTACTTGTAAATTTTAATTTGATATTTTCAGATGGACAGTAAACAGTACAAGTTTAATCATATTAAACCATGATAATCAGGACAAATGATAGATCAATGCAAAGCTTACCATTTACCATCTTCGAGAAGAATGTTTAACCTTACTGCTTAACATTATGATAAACATCAAATCATTTATAAATTTATTGAGCAATATTCTTTGAATAGGATTTAATTAAATGAGCCATCTCTTATCTAGGAGGTACATGTAGCCTACATCTACATTAAGCCAAACAGTAGGAAAAGCTTATTTTTAAAAAATACAAATGTACATGTAGCTAACAAATTTGAATTAATTACGGTACTTGAACTATACTTAAAGTAGCTAAGTCTCTAACTCAATATCATCCAAAATCTTCAACATTGAAAACACAAATTATTTGTCAATTTAAATATTTTGTCTTAAATATTGGATATCAGAAGCCCATCTTTTTCCGGAAAGATCACAGCATAAATATTGATTTAAATTGACAAATAATTTGTGTTTTCAATGTTGAAGATTTTGGATGATATTGAGTTAGAGACTTAGCTACTTTAATGATTTGACCTGAAGTTGGAGATATCCAATGCCAAGGACTTGAGGTTGTAGGCCTACAACCATCGCATGGTATGTGTCAACGTGCAGGCTACAACTTGAAATCAAGAGATAACACATACTGCTTGATTGGTAAATTTGAATGAAGGTGTATTAAACTATAATACAATACATATTACCTTTCACTTTAACTATAGCATTTTTGCCCTTCTTCTGCAACTCGTTCTTTTTAAAATGGAAATAGTTTTCCTGAAATTCTTCCTTCATGTGTCTATTAACAGAGAAAGAAGTACTGACATGATTCCTAATGTAGGAAGGTAAATAGTCTATGTCTTCACTATGGAATCCATTAGACATTGATTTATTATTTTTATAAACTGCGTCACCATCACAGTCATCATCATTGAGATTGTTCATCATTCCATATTCTGATTGCAATGACAATACATCATCAGTAAACTCAGTGTGATTGGTTTCCTTTTTTATTTTAGTTTCTTGCATGACTTCATCGTTTGATTTTCCAGAGTCGTGAGTTGGAGATAACTTCAATGATTTTCTGACAGGTTCTTTACAGTTGTCAAAGTCATGCTGCAACCGCTCCGATTCATTTGAAAATATTTGACAACAGGATGGGCACATGACAACAAAGTCATCGTATTCATCTTCAACATTACTGTCGTTTTCGTTACCGCTGTCGTCATCTTCATCTTTTTCGGTTCCATTGTGAATCGGATTATTTTTAGCACCTAAATACAAGGACATTGTAGTCGTATAATTGTAAATATGTCATAAATTTCACAGTGATTTCTTTTGTTGTCGTTTTAATGCTATGAAAAATGATATTTGATGCGAGAGTTATCCCCCCCTTCGCGAGACGGTGCTTAACAAATTTATTTCCACCATAAGATATAGTATGCCATTAGGTTATGAAACAATATTTTATAATTTAAATAACGAACGCAGACGGGGATAGAATACCACAGGCAGGTGGACTAAAAATGTGCAAATGAATCAGCCTAGCTGGAGCAGAAAATAAAAAAAACCCGAAAAACTTAGTTTGAAAATTTTGGTACCGGTAGGCCTATGTTAAAATATAGCAGCCTTGGCTAAGTGCATGCGGGGGTGGCGCCACCACATACTACACCCAATCTTTTTCACAGAGGTACATATATTACGAAAGCCTTCTTATAACTCTGTATATGATTGACCTTTATATGACTTCTATATGTGACGTCACATCCCAAGGCGTCGATCATTGGCTCGATGGCGCGTGCATTGTTTAATTAACGTAAACTGGTCCGGAGAATGGTACCTTTTTTACCTACTCATTTTATATAGGGCCTGCCCATTTAGGCTACACTAAAACGAGATATTTTTTTTATCCAGATATATATACTTTCACACTGATCAGCAGTGAATTTTCGCAAGGCCGCTAAAATTAGTAGACTCGTAATTCTCTGTGAAACGGATTGATATACTTTGAACACCTTTATTTTTCTAGTACTTAAAAAAAAACTTAATTAGAACCAATTTAATTTGCAGACTGACTTCACTCTAAAAATGAAAAAACTAACTAATAAATGGAAAGCAAGTCAAAAAAGGGGAATATTTCCCAAACGTTGTATCATACTAGTATAGTTTGAGTTGATCGTGAAATGTAGTAAAAAGCCAAATAAAATTTAAATGGCTTATGTAGTAAGGTAGTCAAAAATGGGTGCATTTAAAATAAAGAGATCTCATTCTAGAAAGAAATAGTTCTTTATCGGGCTAAATCTATTTGTTAAAGGGACAATAACACTCTTGCTGGCTTGAAAGCTCCAGAAAATGAATACTATCTCTATCTAAGTACTAGATGTTTAAGTGTCCCACCTGTTGTGTAAATTATCCATTACATCCTATTTTACTTGTCCAGAGGGTTCGAAAATATTTTTAAATCGAAGTTTCATTTGAAAAGGTTTACGTTAGACGTTTCAAACCATTATGTTGAATTTTTCAAAAATTTTAAATAAGGTGTGTTAAGATGAAATTTGTATCATCAATTAATTGAAATATTCTAAAATAGTACAATTTGTTGACCAGAATAAAGATTGGGACATATTATTCAGTTACAACAAGAGTGGTATTGAGCCTTTAAGGCCATCTTAATTTTCGTCAAGGTCGCTGAGATGTAAATAAGGTTAGGGCACGTGATTGTTGGCGAGATTGTAGGTTAGGGCTAGGTCAAGGGTTAGGGTTAGTTTTGGGATTAGCGCTAGCCCTGTGTACATCTCGTGACTTTTTACCAAACTTGAAGTTGGCCTTATTAAATAGATCTTACCTGCTTTATCGTTACATATTGTTAAAAATAATCGTAATGCCTGGGGATAGAATACAATATAATAGAGTAACAACTGGTACCAAGAAAGTGGCTTGTGTTTTACGACTTCAAAGTCAAATTTGTCCGTTTTGTCGAAAGTGCCGACATAAAATTTATTGTTATTTTTATATTCATATCCAAGTCCAGAACAGATGTATGCAAATGGGCCGGGATTAGTTCACATTAGTTATCCAATCGTTTGCTTTATTATCTAATCCCCCACCTCAAATAATATGGCGTTTTCAATAAGAACAGCGTCAGCATTCCGACATTTAATAATCCATTTAGGTTCTTGTAAGTAAATGACCATGGAGTTTCTGCCTTTTCCAAATGCGCCATTGAAAGCTTTATCAACAAATCAATCCAAATTATCTTTCAGATCTGAATGTTGAAGCATAGTGTCATTGAATGCCAAATTGGTTGTAAATCGTTCCAGAGACATTCTGGAAAGACGACGCCTGGACCTCGCGCTGCGTTAAGTTACAAGCTACATTGGCAGGGCTCAACTAACGCATTGCCACAAAGTCGCGAAACTTAGATGTTATCTTGCCATCCAGGATAGTGCAAAACCTTAGATCGGAGCGAGTGTGGCAATGCGGGTCGGCCACCATATGCTTTCAACACAGCGGTCCTGTTAGCTAGGTTCTTTTAGTTATCACTTATTGTCAGGAGCAAGGCATGAGATTGGAGTAACAGTGATCCTGAAAGGTACCACCAGACACTGTTTCTCTAACACTCTCTCTCTCTTCTGGCATCTGTCTGTGATAATATTACCTAGATGGAAGCGGACGTCAACTCCCACGATCAAACGAACGATCTTACGAAGTTTAGATTCCAAAAAATGAAACCACTGGTTCCATGGTCGCATAGGGGCACTGTCCCGATGGATGTTATGGTGGCAGACCTGAAATGCCTGAAAAAAATCCTTTTTCAGACGGCGGCGTCGGTCGTCAGCGAGTGTCGAAATCTCGGATCTTACCGTGTATGGGCCTCCACAAGAACGTTTGGAAACCTTGACGGCCGCAAATGCGCTTGCCTGCCATTCCAGCCTGTGAATAAGCAACCCCAATGTGGTCTAATAATATAGCCTACCTTAAATCGCCCTCCCCGAGAAAATTTTGAAAATTTAACCCGGCAGATGCGTTTGGAAACCTTGACGGCCGCAAATGCGTTTTCCTGCCATTCCAGCCTGTGAATAAGCAACCCCAATGTAGTCTAATAATATAGCCTACCTTAAATGTATTTATTAAGATAATCACCAATGCTAAGCAGTGCTGTAAGAAAGATGTTACAGCCTAACACAGTGATACGATCAGACTAACGCAAACGTCGAAATTTCTTTAAAACAGTTTATTCACTAAAAATTCGCGCTATTCCATTGAAAGGATAAATAAATTAGTGTTTTATTGGATTTCGGGCACTTTATTTTGCCAACTAGATGATATTTTGCCAAGCAGAGTTGCTCCAGACAATTATCGAAAGGAACTGAGACCTTTGGGATATGAACCTATATTACAGGTTTCGTCAAAATCGGATAGAAATTGTGACCTGTAGACTGTCCACAAACAAAACGTGAACGGACAGACAGGGGCGACGATATACTACGTCCAAATAAATATGGGCGCATAAAAAGGGGTGACTGGTGGGGGGAGGGGGGGGGGGCTGAATGACACATGATATGGGTCACGGTGACTGCCGATATGATTCTTATAGATAATACATATTAATGTTTGTGTAGATAGAGATTAACTATACTGATTATATATACTGTTTGGATATGTGTATTTATTAAGATCATCACCAATGCTAAGCAGTGCTGTAAGAAAGATGTTACAGCCTAACACAATGATACGATCAGACTAACGCAAACGTCGAAATTTCTTTAAAACAAACATTGTAAATGGATTTTAGTATTATTGTAGATAAATTCAAGTATACAAAACACTCGACTGCAGAAATCATTTGTAATATTATTCAGGATATTCGACACAAAATAAATAATACTGAATAAATAAAATGGAAAATGGAGTTGTTAACCGAATAGTTCAGAAACCTATTATACACACGTGTAAACAGCTAACTTGTACAAGGTCATATGTTACGAAACACTTCAGAGGCCTATAAATTTGACAATTCGTTGTTGGATACCCACATCCAAGGAAACTGTCATAATGGCTAAGTTGGGGTTCATATGTCTAGCACTCCTCGTTTTAATCGCCGCTACCCATGTTGAGGTCGACGGCTTCAGGTTAAAAAGAATTGGTATTGGATTCAAGAAAATCATCAAGGATGGCATTCGATTTCTCTTTGGAAGGCGACAACAACCACAAACGTCTCCTGTTCGTCCTGTGCTTGCTCCTGTTAATAGTAACACTCCAGTTGGTGTTGATAAAATTAATCCAACCCAAGCTCCTGTTGTTGATTCTCCTTACAAAAGAACGATCATTGCCATTAAACAAGAGACCAGCTATGGTCAATATTTATATCTCCGAGGCGGTGGTCCAGATGGAAAACCAATCGACATCAGACACAGAATTGCTCCCGAGGACCAAGACAGTTTCTACGCTTCAACATCACAAGGGGATGATCATTTGGATTGGGGTAGCAATGAAATTAACCAAGGAAGATACCAAGATAACATCACCCCACAAGGTACTCCTATGATGTGGACAACAAATGACGAGTAAGTTTAATATTTATATAAACCTCATTGGATAACAAATATATGGTTCGTTTTATTCTGAGAAGCTAGTACCTTTGTAAATTCTTTATCCAAATGTTTCTTGTTTGAACGTAATATATTAATTAGGTTGGTAATTTAAATTATATGATACATTTTGTATGGTTTTCCTGATATAAGGAACCCCTTTGTAAGCAGCGGTACAGTAGGCAAATGGCAGACAAAAAACATTACCAATGTAGCATCCGTAATGTTTGCCCGGAAGGGCATTCTTCAGGCCTTTCATTATCGAAATAGAAACAAAAATATGATTATGGAAAAAATATAAACGTTTTCGCTTCATTTTTGAAAAAAAAATGCTTCCTTATTAAGCGAGAATAGAACAAAACAAAGGTACGTGGGACCACGCGCTTGTCTAGGACGAAACCATTTAGTTAATCTGCTCTATAAAATATACTTTGTGGACATTTTAGTCGGTCCTTTCAAAATTCTATCTGTGTCCTTTTACACGCCACGACATCACCTATGCATAGGTTTTAGTTATTGGCTGTATCCGAAAGACTGGGTACGTTTTGTTTTATATATTTGGTAAATAAGAACACTGACAATGATGCTTCATAATGGTTATTTCAGGAATTATGATTCAGTTGTTGGTCAAGATGGTGCTGGCTATTATAACATCAATGTACAATCTGGTCATTATTGGTTAGTTGATATTGATATGGATTGTAGCCAGACAACAGACGGTTGGTTCGAATTCAAGGTAGGCTATAGCACTCTTTTCTGTGTGTTTTACCTGGGGTGGGGTGTGGGGGAATGGGTTCACTTCGAATCAAGTCGATGGCGACATCTTCTCAACAATGCACTGCATCTTCAAAATCATGCCAAACTGTACATTTACTCTGGCAAAGTGGTGTTTCAGATTACTTATCTTAGACAGGTTGGCAGATTAAATAATATCGCCATTCTTGATTAACTGGAAACTATAATTGGGGTTGATATACGCTCTATGACATTTAAGTAGTAAAACCTGGTATTTCTCCTTAACTTTATCGACGTAAATCACTTATGTATATATTATTATTACAGGGTTACTTGACATGGGATGGTCAAATCCCTGTTGAAAATGGATGGGAAAAGAATTTTAAAACCGGATCTTGTCAAACGGAAGATGGCCCCCAAAAATTTGATAAAGCTGATCATATTTCCAACAATCACATTGGACGATGTGGAGAATTCAACCTTGTACATTTTGAAAGTAGCACATGCATGATTCACAGTCTTGCAGATATTGAACAATGGGCAAAAGATTTCCATGGCGATGAAAAAACCGTCGAAGAATAATTACATGTAATTTATTGCACAAATAGAAGCTCCGACAAAAGAATTCCATTCTTTACCCAGTTAATAAAATGTTGTTAAATTTATTATTCCCGCCTCCAAGTCTCTGCAGAAATTCATAATTGTATAAATTCCAGGTCGCAGTTTTTTTTTATTTGTCTTTACCACAACCAGTCCTTTTTACACTGAGGGTTAACCCATTTCTACTGCTATGTTCTACCATAATACTTAATTCTCTCTCAAGTATGTAAATGGTGTGTTTTTTGGCTTGTGGACCTTTAGAGGTCACAATTTTTATCCGATTTTAAAAACGGACGGCAACGTTCTGGATTACGACCCCAAATTGTACGGAAAATCGCGTTTTAGCTTGTGGAACCCTCTAGAGGTCACGTATCCAATTTAAAAAACCGTTTAAATATATCACCGTTACACCATAATGACAGTGAAGTTTGACTTTCATGAAAATCGGACCGAAAATGACCGACAAAATGGCCGCTCCCCTTACGCAGATAGTGTAAAAGTGTGTAATACCAAGGTTGTGGACCCTCTAGGGGTCACAATTTTTATCCGGTTTTAATGAAGCTTGAAATATATGTTTATATCCCAAACGTCTGAGTTCCTTTCAATACTTGCGCGTATCGGTCCTTGATCGTTTTTGTATTATGGCCCCTGATTGTATGAAAAGTCGCTTTTTTAGCATGTTTTTTGTCTGTCTCTTGCAAAATGTGGGCGTATCTTGCATGGCAACCGCTTGTTAAGGGGTTCTTTTAATATGAAGCATTGTGGTCAAGTGAGGACGAACCGTAATGATATTCAGCGTTACGCAACCTTCCGCGCCAGAATCATTTCCTCTTTGCCATAAACCTTGTGAACTTGATAGATTCCTTTGTGTTTGATGGGAACCACTGGGGTCATGAGAGTTTGAACCCTATGAATATTCAGTATTCTTCCATATTCCGTTATTGCCCCGTCCCCACCTTATCTTTGCTGAAAAACTTGTGGATGCAAAATAGGCTATTTGAGTGGAGAATTGTGGCCACGAGAGGAGGAACCCTATCGATATTCAGCTTTCTGCGATTTTTCCGTCCCAATCTTATCCCCTCTTTTCTGAAAACCTTGTGAGCGGTCAACATCAAATCCTAGTCGTTCGTAGCAAAAAATCTAAAAGGTCACCCCTCTACAAAATTATGATGAAGAGATTACCAAATGTACGTAGTTCATGTGCCTATAAAGATTGGAAACAACGGAATGTTGAGCAAACAGCTACAGTCTGTGATGTTACAGCCATCTCACAATTAATTAAATCAATGGGCAAAAAATTGCTAGTAGAAAGTTTGGGGTTTATTTCAGTTTAATCTATTTGTTAAGGCCATCTCAATTTTTGTCAAGAGAGAGAGAGAAATGAAATGGGGTTTAACGTCCTACTGTTCTGCTCCTATAGCCTACTGGGCTAATGAAGACGGGCATACACCAAAAAGTGTGCTGTGAGGGAAATTTTGCCCGGGCAGCGGCACTATCGCCTACTCTTATATCGAATTCCAACTGCCAAGGGATCTTTTACGTGCATTCCAATGTTTAGACGGGACCTCGATTTTTCGTCTCATCAGAAGAACTAGACAGCCGTCCCTGTCAGGCCCTCCGTCCTGCATCACTGACAAGGGGAAACCACGTCGGAAAATCGGAATTAAAATGAACTTTCTCGGTAAAGAGAGAAAAAAATGGGGTTTAACGTCCACTCGACACAAACTAGGTCATTTCGGGACTAACATATTCAATTTTATTACAATAATTCGCTTGCGAGTAGGGATCTTTAGCAGTGTTAGGAAACCGGAGGACCCGGAGAAAACCCACGAGATTGGACAGGCGATCTAGCTACTCCTTGTCACGTACAACCGGGGAATCGAAACCACGCCAGTTGACTCAATGACAGACTTTTACATCTCGTGACCCCTGACGAAAAATTAAGCTGGCCTTATCATTTAGCACTAACCGGATTATTTCCCCCTTGTTGGGCTCTTCTTTCCTTGAGGAAAAAACGCACATATATGTTCTCAAAACGTAAACAACGCGAACAAAAATGTTTCTTCATTAGCCTATCCCACATTTATTTAGGTAAAGTATTGATTTGGGTTCTAACAAAAGAACTTAGCCAAAATTATGTTAATTCAGTTGTGTTTTTTTTAGTCTACCTAATTATTTAGAATGCCAGTCAAGTCGTCCACACGAAAAATCTGGTCAAGTCGTCCACACTCGTACTGAGTCGTAGATGGAGTCGTCCACACTACATTGGTTGACTCGTCAACACTACATAGTTTATTTTCGTCATTTCCACCGGGTTTTCATTGTGTTTGGTATGAGTCTCTGTGGGTATTATTTACTTTAGTATCGCCAATTAAGCTTGCATGAGCACGTTCATGAATAACCAACAAGGTAATTGTAAATCATTTTATTCGATACAAGTAAGTAGGGCCAGGGGGGTTGGATGGCTGAGAATGGTTAGCGTAACGTGCGCTCTCTTTATCATAAAGTCTGTCATTGAGTCGACTGGCGTGGTTTTGAATCCCCGGTTGTACGTGACAAGGAGTAGGGTCGCCTGTCCAATCTTGTGGGTTTTCTCCGGGTCCTCCGGTTTCCTCCCACTGCTAAAGACGGGTGCGTCGAATTACCCAATAACACCCAATAACTGCCCAATAACACCCAATAACGGCCCAGTAACACACAATAACTCCAAAATAAGAACCAATAACTACAAAATGTTGACTTCGGAAACACAAAAACACAAAATAACAATTTAGTTGAATTTAAGAAGCATCGCTGCTTTGTGTACAAATCGGAGTTTCACGCTCACTTGCCTGAAGGGAGATAACTCGTATAGTATATGTGATTTTTGTTGACAAGAAATTAATAACACCCAATAACTGCTCAATAACACCCAATAACTGCTTAATAACACCAAATTGTTGACTTTGGAAATACAAGTAGTATACTTTATTACAAAAACTTTGGTAATACTAATCAAAAAATAATAATAAAAAATTAACAAACAATACGAATATACTTTATTACAAAGACTTTGTGTTAATACTAATCAAACAATAAAAAAAAAAGCTAAAATCATAAAGCCAATTAACAAACAATACAAGTATCGGTGATTCGTTCTGAAATCAAACAACAAAACAGTCAACGAGTATAAGCTATTTCTTCATGTATTGGTTGTGGCTGACTTAACTATTAGCTGTGTACGAGTCGAGTATTAGTTGTGGACGACACCACCAATTGTTGTTGACAACATCGCCAATAGTTGTGGACGACATCGGCAATAGTTGTGGACGACTTAACCAGTAACTGTAGACGACTTAACTGTGGATTTATAATAATCCCACAGATTTTTCAAAGATTATAATTTGTCTCATTTACTGTCTTTTCAGATTCATCTTTGAACTTTTGAAGCTTGGAAACTTTGGAAACTGATCCCCTTGTGTCTCACCCCCAAGCCATCAGCCATAACTAATTGTTAGAAAGGGAAAAGTTAGACATTTTTGAATGTAATTTCTCTTGATACTTTTTATGAACAAGAACTGTTGTTAAATGTATTATGAATCTCTAGTCTGATTAAAATATACTATAGCTGTCATACAAATGTTATTTTGGGAAGTTTAATACACGTTACAGCATATGATTTGAAATAAGACTTCATATTTTAGAAAAAATGGACCAAGAACAAGCCCAAGTGTTATTCAGTGAAGGAGCAGTTCTGGTATTTTTAGATGTTCCTGTAGGTACCGAGTTTGGTATAGATTATAATTCATGGAATGTTGGACCAAATTTTAAAGGAGTGAAAATGATACCGCCAGGAATTCACTTTGTATATTATAGGTTTGTTATGCTTTTTATACGCCCAGATTGAAATGTGGTCATATATTGTCATTTGTCAGTCCATTGGGCACAATTACTTATACATGTAGATGCTGTAGAAACAGAAGTTACAATAGGATTGACATCTACATTGTAATTTATGCTCAGTGAAAAATTTATAAAATTTTCCAATAGCTACTATCACAGTTATAGACCTTGATCACTTAACAGTGCAGTATATATGTTCACAAGATAGTCAAGCCTGGTGGTGTTCAATGAATAATTTCTGTCTGATTCATAGCCCTTGTGAACACTCTAGCAGCTGATGTTATCATCCTATTGATTTGAAATGTGTACATAGTGTTAAGTTTATGTCATCTAATTACATGTTTTGTTTATGAAGAACTACAAGCCTATTAAACTTAATCATTTATGATAATTCCTTTATGAACGGAAGAATAAAAAATGTGACAGCTTATAGACTGCTCAACTTACTAAGCTCTTATGGGCGTATGTTTTGTTGCTTGAAAACATAACGTTTGTAAAGATAGTAACTGTTTTTCTCTTAAAGTTAGACGCATTTAAGATTCTTATCTGAATAACCACTTATTGCCATCGAGTGCCACTGTGTAAATCTGTCAAGAGGTTTTTGTCAAGCACCTTACAGCTAAATATAACTCCCCATACATGTAATTTCCATATTTAATTTTACATCATTCACAGATAGTTTTTATGTTAGCTTTTATTAATATGAACCAATATGAATTTAATTCTGCATTTTCAGTGCATGTAACAGTGAAAAGGATTCTGCCCCACGGACTGGTTTCTTTTATAACTTTAAACATAGAGAAATGGTTGTAAGAAAATGGGACAAGTTGACAGAAGGTATGTTAAAACAATGATTATAAATTTAATTGCTGTCACACATGACAGTTGATAACAAGATTCTATTTATTTTTTATATGGTGGTACATGTATCTTTTTGCTGGCTTTTCCACAATTCTTGTTCACACCCTTTAGAAATAAAGATCAGATTCCTTGTTCCAAATATACTGAGAGTGAGATACAATGAAAATGCACCATTGATTTGACCGGAAGTTCTGACAAGACATAATGCAGCAGAAATGTGATTTATGGCTTGATTTACCAACACAAGAAAATCAACAACAACCCATGGAGGCCATAACAGTTCTATAAATTTTATAGTGAAATGTAGGCAGCCCCATGCCATGCCACATCACTGCATTGAGATAATAAGCCTCTCGAAGCAGTGCTGCTTTCAGTGATTCTGGTAATTTTGCTTAGCATATTGCTGCATCTCTCACAGAACCCTATGAACTACAGATCCCCAGCTTTTTGAAAGCCACAATTTAAACCCATGTCTGAACCCTAAAATCTTGATTTTCAACATTCTCATTCTGTTGAATTCAATATTTTGTGTTTTATAAATTGAGGGAATTAATCATTAGTGTTGATGCGTTCGCTAAAACATCATTCTCACATGTTATCGTTGTGATCCGATGTTGTTATATTCACAATTATGATCTCAAACAAGATTTACAATCATCCATTGATGAAAGTGGTGCGTTTTCATTGTGTCTCAGTTTAAATGAATGAGAAGAAGACATACTAATTGGAGTACATTTACAATGGACTACATGTACTTGAGCGGCCATACAGTTACTTTTGTCACTCACATACATCAAATAAATGCAAGCAGAATTGTGCATATGATTATGTAATCTTTATATTTTAGACATATCATCTGATGTAGTAACAGAAGAGGAATTAAACAGGTTTAAAGAAAATAAAAAAGAGTTAGACAGATATTTGGGTGCTTATCCATATGAAAGGTAATTCGTGTGAGATATTTTGTATGGTAGGAGCTTTTAAGATTTAATTTGTATAACTGGTCAAGGGCTTGTACCATATTCCTAAAGCAATGCCAGTCCTTATGTCAGCTCAAAATATTTATCTATTCAAGAATGATTATCCAAATTGCTCAACAGGTTTGCGTAACCAAAATAAAGAACTCATGCCTATTGGTTAAGCACAATGAGTGATCTGGTTAACACATGAGTAAGGTTATGGATGTGGTTATCCGGACACTACTACAGCTGTGAGTTTAGAAAATTATAGCCTATCAAACTCACTGTTAGTATTCCTCTGAAAATTTATAACAAAAGTTGCATGGGATATTTTCACAAAGAATTAAATATGTTTATTCACTATAATATATCTGTGATGACTCCTGTAACATCTGTACTTATACAGAAATGCACATTTTAGTCCAGAATATTGCTGTAGGCCGTTTGCAATGACTACAACTTGCACACTTGCACAGTTGACTTTTCACAGATTCATGTTTTCATTACCTTGTCCTATTGTGTTGTTTTTTTTAGTTACAAGAAATGGGTTTCTCTAACAGATCATCTTACACCACGGTTAGTTGGTCAACTTCAGCCTGCTAATGAAAAAATATCAGCAGTCACAGAGTTCATCTCAGAAAGTAGTACAACTGAAACAAGGCGTAATGCCATGGAAATTCAAGATGGAATTAAAAACTCTGATAGTGAAGATACCAGACTACCCAAGATGGAAACAAAACCTGAAACAGTAATACAATATACACAGATTCCAAAACACAAATATCCCTCTGGTGCTTCCCCAGCTGAAATAACCAAATACAGCATGGATTCCTCTTATGTTTTGGAGACCATATTATCTGAAAGATTCACAGTGAATGATACAGAAATATTGGGAGAACTTCAATTTGCATTTATTTGTTTTATTGTTGGACAGAATTATGACTCTTTTGAACAGTGGAAGAGGCTTGTTCATTTATTGTGTACTTGTGAAGAAGCAATTTCAAACCATTCGGACCTTTATACACAGTTTATTTCAATATTGCATTTTCAGTTACAAGAAATTCCCGAAGATTTTTTTGTAGACATTGTTTCACAAAATAACTTTTTAACTGGAACATTACAGGAATTCTTCTCTAACCTCGAGTCAAGTATTGCAGATAATAAATTGAAAAGACGAGGTGTTAAGTTTCAGGCTTACCTAACTAAAATATTTAAATGGGATTTTGCTAGTGAAGCTGATGAATATGCACCAGTTATTGTTGAAGCCCAATAAAATTTTTATTTACAGTAATTTTGTGTTATGTTGATAAAGGGCTTGCACCTGGATTAAAACTAATTTGCTGCTTGGGATTATTACCTATGTACATGTACTATTATTATTTTTTTATCTTCGATTGTATCACTGAGATCCGATCTTGACTGCACTGCACCAGGGATTTTCCCTGCTTTTAGTTCGTATGAGATGGAAGGCTGTTACCTTAGGTAGCAGAGACTTTTTTCTAAAAAAAAACCCCATAAAATAAAGCAGAATCCAGTTTTTTAGATGATTCTTTTAAAGTTCATTTTTCTATAAGATAGTGAATGGCTTCGGATTTGGATGAGATTCATTCTACCGTTTTCAACCCAATTTAATGAAACTGGATATGTTGCATTTCACTTTTTATTAAAGAGGTCTTGGACCAGTTCAAATTTCAATTATTTGCAGATTTGACATTGTGAACATACAGTACATCAAAAATAGCTAGTGAATGCATTGGAGTACTGGTATACATTTTTCATCCAGTTTTGCTGAAATTGGTTATTTGACTTTATATCCTTGAAATCTCAAACAAATTCCTCCTGGTCTTATTTATCCATTTTAAATGAAACTTGCTATGTGGCTTTCCATAAGAGGTAACTTTTTTCTATAGTTTTCGATGAAGTAAATTTTAGCTGATTGATTGGAAGCAACTATAATACCACTTTCGATAAAGATTATCCGATTTGTTGTTTGAGAAACTAGATATCACTCGAAGGCCTGACAATAAGGATATTTGGGCAAAGGGATAAGCATATGAATATTCAATATTGAATCTGTTTTTCATGATCGGCCCCAAGTTCACAAAGCTTTCTCAGACTTAAACATACATTATGCAAGAGCTAAATCTGATTATTGCGAGTCTTTATTTAGGCTTCAGATGTCATAGAAATTATTGTTGTTCTTAGCGTTTAACGTCCGCTTCCACCGAAGGTGATATCGCAGACATTATAAATTAGATCTTTATTTACACAACAAGCACAAAATCAACTCTGTAGACCCATGGATGGCTTGGATTCGGCTTGGATTTAAACAGAATTTCATTGATTGATTAAATTTTTAAATGGCAACGTAAGCGGAGATTAACCGTTACGTTGACGTCATACTCCCGGAAATTTTAGATCGAGGCTAAATGATAGAGTGTACGAAGAGAGGCCGCTGTTGAGCGAGGCCGCATGTCAGTCAATTTGAGTGAAAGTTCGATATATACAGCCTTGATATTATGTTTAGTTGTGGTTAAAATAAGAGTTTGGATGTCGGTATTATACGCTCTTTTGTCACTTGCGTTTGGGGGGTTGGATGGCTGAATGGTTAGCGTGCGCGCGCTGTATCATAAAGTCTGTCATTGAGTCGACTGGCGTGGTTTCGATTCCCCGGTTGTACGTGGCAAGGAGTAGGGTCGCCTGTCCAACCTCGTGGGTTTTCTCCGGGGCCTCCGGTTTCCTCCCACTGCTAAAGACCCTACGCGCAAGCGAATTATGTAAATAAAATTAAACCATATGTTAGTCCCGAAATGACCTAGTTTGTGTCGAGTGGACGTTAAACCCCATTTCTCTCTCTCTCTCTCTGTCACTTGCGTTTACAGAAAAATTATGGAAATTGATAAACATCGCAGCTAACATCACCCATTGGATCACTTTCCTATAGTATTTAGTATTTGTCTGCTTCGGGAGTCACGTAGGTCTACGAGTTACAGTACAAGAGTACACACAGGCTAACAAGAAGTCGGCTATAATTATGCCTCATTGATTTGGTCTATTCATTTCAAACTTTCGCTTCTTATCTATATATTAAAATCTTATTTTTAATTTGTAGTAAAAATAAATGTGATACGAATTGAATTGCAACCCCGTCTCAAACCGAATAGGCTAACAGTACCACAGCCATTGAAAATATTACTTGATAATCGAGATTATGTAGGTGGGGTTAACGCCTGTCAATCAAACGATCGGCCATTGTCGGAGACGGTGAAGAGAGAGTTCGTTCAGAATAAAGTAATTTGACTGAAATTTTTAATATATTCTTCTTTCATCATTTATTTTTGAACTGTTATAGCAAGAATGGCCAACTCTCTATTAAAATCTCCCATAATGTATCTTTAAGTAAAGAAATTACTCAAAATTGTTCGCCTTATTTTAGCTAAAATATAGCCCTTTATAAAACTTTTGTTTTAATGTATTAAATACATCAATAAGAAACTACCGGTATGTGCAAAGTTTTGTGTTTCTGAATCAAAGACATTTTTCATAAACAGTGATTGAAAGTTGAATAAATTCATAAATTAAGTCTGAGAATGCTTTATGAACTCGGGCCTGTTGCCACTAATCTCTTGCACAGCAGACTGGCTAAATTCGAGCTTGGCACATAGTTTGCTAAAATGCCAACTTCTTAGTTATTATGTGTCTTGTGTTTTAAACAGCACTGTCAACACGAAATAGTTTGATTCTCGTCTGTATGCATTATTAGAGTGGTCTGTTTCCAAATCGTAACATCCAAAATGGAGTTCTTCCCCTTGCACTGCTGTGCAAACTGTCAAAGTCTTGGAGGTTTTGGGTGACCTAGAATAACAGCGGTTATCGACATAACAGCCAAATAATTTTGCAATAACGCTCCCCCCCCCCACCAAAACATTTGTTATATTATATATCAAATGATATTCATTAACATAAATAATAATATAAATAGTTCAATTCTGTCATACAACCCTTAGTATTTATTTGCATTATGTTTAACTTATTGCATATACCGATGTAAGTTATAAGATTATTTTGATTGGGGGGGGGGGGGGATTTTTATTAATGAGCCAGTTAGAGAATTCATTAGTATTTTCCTTATTTACTTTGTTTTGTCATTATTGCTGGTATAAATGGGTTATTTACGGCCGTTTCTTTTACCTTAGGTAAAAAAATACCAAATAACCCATTTATACCAGCAATAATGACAAAACAAAGTAAATAAGGAAAATACTAATGAATTCTCTAACTGGCTCATTAATAAAAATCCCCCCCCCCCCAATCAAAATAATCTTATAACTTACATCGGTATATGCAATAAGTTAAACATAATGCAAATAAATTTAGGTCTACCCCAAATTACCTAATCAGAAAAAAGGAGAGTGAAATACCTAATTAGGGATTTGGTACTAATTTCCTATCCTAGTTATAGCCAATTCAAAGAGATCATCAAAGACTGAAAGAGCATTTTATTTGGCTAGGATGATTACTTGAAAAAATGTTCAGAGGATTAGCCAATGTTATGAATGAATTTTTATTTCTGTCGAATGATTATTTTTATCAAAAGTAAGTAATTGGAAAAATATATTGTTTTTCATTAAATTATTAATGTTTGGCCGTTGCGACTAATTGTTTTGGCCGTTATAACCACACTGTTTGGCCGTTATGAACAAAGTAGGGCCGTATTGACTAAAATCAGTTTTGGCTGTTATGACCAAATCCCAATAATACGGCTGTAGGTATGCCTCTCTTCACTTCAGGTTTATTTCTGCGTTATTATTTGTGTTACAGCGTGAACGAAACCACAGTTTAATATGGGGGGGGGGGGGGGGAAACAATAACGATGGAAACTTTATTGCGTCATAAATATTAGACAAATTTTGACTCTAGTCTACCATGTGACCGGATGTGTACGTGTTGATTATAGCCGGAAGTTGATATTTCTCCAATCAGCTGTTGCCACATTCGCTTCTCCTTAATGTAAATTTACTTGCCGGTTGTCTGCATGTGTGTGGTAAAAACAGTTCAACTCTAATTTATTAATTAAAATTTACCGTTAGGTAGATCAAGATCAGTTTGCGGACCCACCTAAAGAATCCAGCAATCGACCAGGTAAATATATGGAATAATCTTGTTTATTTTAGGACAAATTTACTGTTTAGAAATAAGGTGGTATTGTAACACATGTCTTCACACATGTCACCATGTCATGATCTGAACCATGAATGAATGTCGTTGACATCGTAGGTTTGATCTACTGATTTGTTACAAAAATGTTTTAGGAAGATAGTCACACAAGAGGATTAAATTTTCCTTTGAATATTTCCCCGTTACTTACAAAATAGTTGTAACAGTACCCCTATAGTATGGTTGGGATAGAATTGCTTGTGTTATAATCAATGAGAGACAGAGAGAGCTCAGATAGTCAGACACAGAGACAATTATTTCATTAGGACCCCCAACTATCTACGAATTCTTGCTAAAAATGTTAGTCATTCAATTGATTGGCTGGCTACTTGAAAATAAATTTTACACTAAACTTAAAGTACCATTCCAATAGCTAATATGCATAATCTTCGGTACGATTTCAGTAACGTACCTCTACCAGTTGCCGTGATCGTAGAGACTTGAAATTTCCAGGGGGTGTTAATGAGGGCTAGCCAGGACCTCAAACCAAATTTCAGCCGAATCGATCAATAACTTTTTATTTTACCGTAGTTTACCTCCTTCAACATTAAAATTTTAAAACATGAATTTAATAAATAATTATTCTATTTCAGTCAATATCGATGATCGGTATTGATTGAAATGGAACAATATTATTATATATATTTGTTGTTATCTTACTGTGAAAATATGGGCTCCTGATATTCAAACTCAATACTAAATACACAATGAACAGTTTAAAATCAGTGTACGACATGGTTTTCTCTATGGTGTTGTGTGCCATTAATTGAGACGCCTTATTGAATGATCCAAAAAGGTCAGTGTGGAAGTGAAATGTAGACTGGACTGACAAGGCACAAATGCCTGTTATTCAGTTTGTTCTGCTCACTGATTTTCTCGAACAGAACTGATTAGAAATTTATACAATAAAAAAATTGTTTAAAGTTGAATGTAAATCATTCATATTACATTGCTTTTTAACCCATCATAGGTTCCAAAGAAAAGCGGTTTCGTTCCTTCAACCTCATAAAAAGAAACATTATAAAGCTGTTCAAGTCATTATAAATGTGATAATAAAAAGCCATAAGCCATATTTACACACCTGATGCATGATAATTCGGATTAGATTGATTGTGCTGGATTCTTTATAAAACTTTATTATAAATTTATTCAGTGGTAAATCAATATTAATTTCACATAGTTACATATAAATGTCCGTTTTATTAAGATTAATGACTTGTTAAATTACCCGAGGGCATTTTTCAGATTAATTACATGCTGTTAAGTGTGACCAGTTAAATTCTTACTCAATAAACCTATTTTGTACTTCATTAAACATAAGTTGTTTTGAAATAATGATTATTTTAACAATTTTAATTCAAGATGCACCAGATAGTCAATTTTAGTATCCACCATCCGGTTGGATACCAGATAATTACCGGTATTCATTCTGGATTAACTAATAGTTGAATTATCGACCTATCCGACTGAATTGACTATCTGATACACATCTGATTATTATGCCATGGATCTTTATATAAAATTGACTATAAAATTTTATTAATATAAATATTATTCTTGATTATCTGAGCAATTTTATATTAAAGATTAGCTGTCACTTTTCACTGCAATTTTACCAAATATCACAGGTGATAGCTGGTCTAAAGATGACAGAGTTGGTCTTCATTACTCATGGTTTTGTTATATCTGTAGCCTGTCAAATGTAAACAAAGTATATTATGCATTGTACTATTTGATTTGGAATTTATTAAAGTATGAAGATTTCTGCTGCTGAAATTAGGCTCAACCATTTTCTTTTTATCATCCTAAATTATTGAAAACATTATTTTAGAATAAATGGGCATAAGAATATGAAGTAAATATTTTCACTTTAATAACATTGCACTATTTTTGTCATGTAGATTTAATAGAGGACTTTATATTCTATTATAAAACAGAATTGCAATCTAATTTGAGTGAGAGTGACAATACTTGGTTTTTTGTATCTTGACTATAAGTTAAAAAGCTCAGGTTGAATAAAGTGAAAATGTGATAAACAGGTTGATTGCCCGATGCTTTAATTATGTGCAAGTAATTAATGAATGCCATCAATCACTGTTAGCTTTTATAATTTTATTTTATACAATATGCAGTACTGTAAGGTTACATTGTAATTTGTATAGAACATTTCTCCTTTTAAATTATTGAGGTGGAAATTTAAGTATAGATTTTTCCTTGTTATTTCGTTATCAAGCAATGAATAACAATAACTTTATAAAATAATTATTGACTTGGAACAAATGGAACATTTCTATTACAATGAATTAAAGTCATTGTATTTTAATTGATTTATTTCACATGACTACATATACATGTAGGTCTAAGAGGTTATGATAGGATATAATAACTGGAAATGTTATACACATTGTAATTTGGAGATTAAACATTTATACTGATTAAAACCTTCATAGAAGTTAAATGAAAGTTAAGAAAACAATTTTTATTTTTGAGAGTTCCTAGCCTGAAAGGATTCAACTTTTTTCATGTAGGTAAAATATGAAAGTGTCAGTAAACTTGTGAGAGATAAAAGGATGAGGGGTAGCCAGATGAAAATAAAATCGGATTTAACTTCCTACTTTTTTTTGCATCAACTGGGCTAATAAAAACAGGCATACACCATAATATTTGCTGCAAAGGAAATTTTGCTCAGACATCAGCATTTCCATCTACTCTTCATCAAATTCCAACTACCAAGGATTCTTTTGCATGTACAGTTGGTGAGCCAGCACCTTAACTGAGCCACTGTAAGCTCCTGTAGATATTTAGGTCTGTCTTGTTTAGACCTTAAAGTGTGTCATCAATGCAAGTGTAAGGAGTTTAATCCATCACAGGTTGACTACCCTACACACATTTCTGACAAGGAGTAAAGACTTAAAGAATAATGCATGTAATGAAATTACAGAAATATACATGGCAATCCCATGATTAATTGATTTATTAGATCATATTTGCAGTTAAAATTTTAGGTCTGCAAATACATGTAGGGACAGGGTTGAGATACATTATTACTGATTTACTGTTTATTATTAAAACATTTTAACCAATTTAATTTCTAAAATAAATATTTAAAGATACATTATGGGAGATAAGATAAAGAGCTGGCAGTTTTCACTATAATAATTAAAAACTAGATAATATAAAGGCAGTTTGCTGAAAATTTCAGTCAAATTGATCCACTATGAACTGAGAATTAAGCAATGGGAATTTCGGCCTAGCCTCGATCATCATTACTAAAGTCTGTACGATAAAAAACATTGTCTTGATATCCATTTCATGATTAAATTATGAATGGAAGTCGAGCAGCAAATGGGATCATAATCCAGTGAATATCACAGGCTAGTGATGCCATCGAGAGTTGATTATGGTCTGGATAAGTTATTTTGTTGAACAACGACCTCTTGTTACCTGTCTGATAATGATATTACTTTTATTTCAGGATGACAAAATATAAAGGATTCTTACCTTTAGTGGTTACAGGTATTCTAATAGCTACTTTGATCCATTATTCAGGTATGTTTATATTCAGTTGATTGTCCTTCATTTACTATTAACATATTACCAGATGTAATATTATTTATCTACGTGTGTTTAGCCATACAAAATTGCACATGTATGTGTATTAGAGTAAACATGTGTAAAATTTACTGTTAGATTTGATGTGTCTAACTGGGACTCTGGGATTACATGTATATAATGTATATAGGTGAACATATACTGTAAATTGGAATGAATGTACATCTGCATGCCTTATTTTAATTTTAGATGGCCTTGCTGTTATGTCTGTTGATTTTGGATCAGAATACATGAAGATTGCAATTGTAAAAGTAAGTTGCCACCTGTTTATGTTGCATGTTTTGATAATGAACCTTTTCTCCAAGATGTACATTTATTAAAATCAGTTTATTAAAAACTACATTTTCAAAAACATATTTTGGTGTGTTAGAATCAAGAACAGATTACTGCATTATTATTATTATGTATTTAAAAAAAGGATAATGATCTTTAAATTAAACTGATCTTCATTTCAGCCTGGTGTTCCCATGGAAATAGTTTTAAACAAGTAAGTATATAATAAAAGAAACACGTTATACTGAAATACATTTACCTGAATGATCAGGAACTGTTTAATGCAATTTACACTTGCATAATTTTTTTATTTTTTATGGAAATATCGAGTACCGTGTGTCTGGTTGAAATACCCAGGAGCTTTAATTCTTTGATAATAATGATATACATGTACCAGCTTAACAGTAACCCAGTATTGCATTGGTGAAAATCTCCATTTGTCTAATACCCATAAATTGAATAATCATTGTCAATTTCATCATTACATATTGTACCAACTACCATAAAGTTTATTGTGGAAAACTGGTTATTGTGAATTTATTTAAAAATTTATCCATAATAACACAATGAATTGAAAAATCAGTTTATTGTGGAAAACTGGTTATTGTGAATTTATTTTAAAATTTATCCATAATAACACAATGAATTGAAAAATCATTAATTGGTGATTTCATCATTATATACGGCACCAGATACAAGATAAATAGCACCATTATATTTAATGTAAAACACTGTTTATTAGGATGTTAGTTTAAAATATATTCATAACACAATAATTATTAATTGTCCGTTTCATAATTAAACACTGAACCAAATACAGCTGAAGTAGCATCATTAAATTTCTTGTGAAAAATAGTTACTATCAAGTTAATTTGTAACAGTTTAAAAATACTACACTTTCAAAATTTGTTAAAGGAGACCTATCATGTACAATTCGTTCTTCTCTTGGAAGTTATGGAAAGATTGCCTAATTTATGTTTTAATTTTTCAGAGAATCATCAAGAAAAACAAGAACTATTGTAGCATTTAGAGATGGTGAAAGACACTTCTCAAATATGGCCCATACAACAGTATGTATCATTAATATTTATTATGTGTCGTGCCAAGAAAATTTTTACAATTATACGAAAATTGACAACTTCATTTTATTGGGGACAGTTCTAAATTCATCAAGTTTTATCTTGTACATAGAAACTGGAAAAAAATTGCTTTATTGAAGCCCCACACTGTATTTAAAAAGATGTTAATAATATCCTTGAAACTTGAATGACTTTTACTATTTAGAAGTAAAAAATATACTGGTACACATAACATACATTTATAAATTGTGGCATAAAATCCAAGAAATTCTTAGTTCTTGATTACTGTGGTGTTAACATTATCTGAGCTGAGCTTAGCTTTGGATAACTTGTTTCTGCATTCAGAATTTGCTGACATAAAAAACACTAGATTTATCCCAAACTGCTGTATATTTAATATATAATATCTTTAGACTGTCCCTGGTTAAAATCGTTCATACCATCATTTTGGTTTCTAGCTGGATTAAAATTGACATAAAGTACATTGTTTTTATTCCAGGGTATCAAATTTCCACAGAAAGCCTACTGGTATTTGTTGAATCTGGTTGGAAAACGTTTTGATGATCCTCATGTTGAGTTATATAGACAGAGATTTCCATATTATAACATTATTAAAGATGAAGATAGAGGAACTTTACTATTTCAACATGATGAGTATGTGCATTTATCAGTAATTTTTTCTGCTTTCATACTATAGATGAACTTGATGAGGGAGGAATTGCCTCCAAAATGCCCCAAAGCAGAGAAGCATTGATTATTTGAATTAATAATTCTGTTACCATTAGGTTTAAATGACAAATTCTTAAGATTGTGTTTTTCTCATTATTAATTCCATTGATTAATTCCAGTGAAACTACCTATACTCCCGAAGAATTACTTGCCATGGTTCTAGAAAATGCTAGAGATAGTGCAGAAGCTTTTGCAGGTTTGTTTATTGTTCTAATCAGATTGATGCAAGATATAAACATTTCATTAGATTACATGTCTTGTAAGAAACCTGCCATGCTTATTTTAATAAGGTACAGGTACATTTATTGTCCATGCTTATAAATAGCACTATAGAAACTTTATTCTACTCGGTTGATTGAAAAAAGTTCACAGGTTAGATTGAGAAGACATTGAAGTATTACAGAAATAATCCAATGTTAAACTGGTTATTTAATTACAGAACAAAGTATAAAAGATGCTGTAATAACTGTACCAGCTTTCTTCCATCAAGCTGAACGCAGAGCTTTACTAACAGCTGCTGATATGATTGGTTTAAATGTTCTACAACTTATGAGTGATAACGCTGCAGGTATGTATTGTAGTTATAGTTATTTGTTTGAGATATATATGGGAAGGGATACAGTAATTTTAAAAATGGAGTGGGGATACACTGGGAAAAGAAGGCATAACCTGTGCTAATGGATAAATGTTTTCATCAACATTCTGTTCTTCTAACTGGATGAGTTGTGAAGATATGCTTACTTAAAAAATTTGAAGTGTTTATACAGAATCTAAATGTTTATTTCAGTTGCATTAAACTATGGTGTTTTTAGAAGAAAGAATTTTAACTCTACAATGCAGTACTATATGTTTTATGATATGGGAGCATCTAGTACAGTTGCTACAATAGCAGGTGAGGCTTGCATGCTTTCATAATTAAACATAGATTAACCTAATTTTTATACGCCCACCTTTTCATGTGGACGTATAATGCCGTCGTCCGCCCGGACATGCGTCCATCCACAATTTGTTTGTGGACACTCTACAGGTCACAATTTTTATCCGATTTTGACGAATATTGGCATGTATCAGACCATAACTTCATGGATTATGGCCCCTGATTGTTCGAAAAATTACCTTTTTAGCTTGTGGACACTCTGGAGGTCACAATTTTCATCTGATTTTGATGAAACCTGAAATGCATGTTTATAACCCACAGATCTTGGTTCCTTTCTATATTTGCGCACATCGGATCGTGACTTCCTGAATTATGGCTCCTAATTGTACGAAAAATCACATTTTAGCTTGTGGTCCCTCTAGATGTTAATGGCCCCTCTTGTGTAAATAGTGTAAAAATATGGTATATCAAGGTCACAATTTTGATCCGATTTTGATGAAACTTAAAACATATCTTTATATTCCAAATATCTTAGTCCATTTCGATATTTGCACGTTTCAGACCATACCTTTCTGGATTAGGGCCCCTGATTGTATGGAAAATCACTTTTGTTTAGCTTGTTCTCTATCCATCTATTGCAAAATATTGGCGTATCTTGCCTGGCTCGAGTAATAAAGGCCAGTAATATGACAGTGTTGTTTTGTACTTGATCTGATATGAATATCGCCAGTGGAAGATAGCCACTGTCATGTATCATCTTCAATATTTTCTGTTCTTTTCTAGCATAGGCCAATATTGAAATACATAGAAAGGTACATTGATTTTACTAAGAATTTCAACACTAATAACGCAGATGATACGAGTGAAACATACATTCATCCTGTATATATATTTCAGGTTATCATATTGTTAAGATTAAAGAAGGTACTAGATTAGAAACCAATCCTCAGGTTGTAATTAAAGGTGTAGGGTAGGTATAATTATGAATATCATTTGTAGTAGATTTATGGAAATAATGTGAAAGTTTATATTACCAAGGTTGTGGGCCCCCTGGAGGTCACAGTTTTTATCCGATTTTATGTTTGTATCCCGAAGATCTGGGTTCCGTTCGATATTTGCGTGTATCGGACCCTAACATCCAGGATTATGGTCCCTCGTCGCTCTTTTTTTAGCTTGTTCTCTGCCCACCTCTTTAAAATGTTAGCGTATCTTTGTTAGATATAAATAACTAATATACTGACCACTGGTCGTGATAGAGGATAAGCCGTATATTAAAGAGATGAAACCAAATAATTTCTACGGGGAATTTATTGTGACTGCTTACAAAACAAGGAGATGTCGCTGATTAAGAGTGGCTGCTCGAATAGTTGCTACTGTACTAACAGTTTGCTTGCATTTATCTTTATAAATCATTAATCCTACACAATATTTGTGAGAATGTCCATATATTCTTAATCTTACTTAAATTTATGCGATATTTAATATTTTCTAATTTCTTATCAGATTTGATCGAACATTAGGTGGGTTAGAGATAACTGTGCGTTTAAGAGATCATTTAGCCAAATTATTCAATGATATGAAGAAAACTAAAACCGATGTCCGAACTAATCAGAGATCTATGGCTAAACTATTAAAGGAAGCTGACAGAGTTAAACATGTACTTAGTGCAAATGCTGATCATTTTGCACAGGTAAGAATTTATTTTATTTTACATTAATTGAACTTCCAATTTTTAGAGCTGATTATTCACAGCAATGCATTTAAAATTTTGTTGACATTCATTCAGATTATTCATGATCCAATTCAAAAGTAAATGTTGGTGCACAAACAATACTTGAATAATTTTCGGATACTTTTTAGGTTGAAGGTCTGCTAGAAGAGAAAGATTTTAGAGCTAAAGTAACAAGAGCTGAATTAGAAGAAATGAGTGCTGATTTATTTGATCGTGTTGCTAAACCAATAGAAGATGCTCTACGTACTTCTGAAATAACAATGGTAAGAAGGAATACAACTATTTAATCAAATATAAAGGATAATAATGTGTGTATTGAGTGTTAATGTTGAGGATAGTTTGAGGGTTTTAGCCACAGACAGTGTACTATTTAGATTGATGTTATGACTAAAATCTCGCTATAACACAAATACATGAACTTTCTCAAATTTAAAGTTCTTAAATGACTTCAAGGGTGTAAACATCCAAAAAATGATTTTAAAAACCTCAGATTTCATTCTACTCTTTGAGTTGCCCCTGCCAACAGTAGTGGCATACATTATTTAATACCACCTATATTATTTGGTACACCTATATAACAACATGACCATGATGAAGAGGAGGACTATCTGACTTTCTAAATTTGTATTTTAATTTAATCCATTACTGTATTACATTTAATTTTAGGGTGAAATTAATGAAGTAATATTGATGGGAGCTGGAACAAGAATGCCAAAAATACAGGACAAAATTATGGAGGTTGTTAAAAGGTAACCATAGTTTATATTCTGTTGAAAACATTAAAAGATGCATTATGTAATCAACTCTCTAGAACATTGGATGGTCATATTTCTTAATGGATTGAAACATGATCGGCATTTAATAATTTAATTTAAAAATGGATAATGGTAACAATGGTAGCAATGAAAATCAAGACTTTGTTCATAATAAAGTCATTTTTCTTTACCTATTTTTAAACTATTATAACGGTAACTATCAGGTCTTAGTCTAAATCTTACATAATGCATCTTTAAGTTAATGTCAATAGATACTCTGTATGATGTAGGGAATTCATCAATGTTGTCATATTTTATATTTACAGAAAGGAACTGGGTAAGAGCATAAACACTGATGAAGCTGCTGCTTTAGGTGCTGTTTATCAAGCTGCTTATCTAGGAAAAGGATTTAAAGTTAAAACTTTCTCTGTTAAAGAAGCTAATTTATACCCTATTGTGGTAAGTTGGATATTGATTGAAGTTTTTATTTTTGCATCGTTTAAACAAATCTTACAATATTTATGGTACAATTTTGGATTATAATTGGGTTTAATTCAAACAGTATGATCAATATTTATATACGCCCATATGTCAATGTGATCATATATTGTAATCAACCTTTCTTGTCGGCCCAACATCAATGCTTGTTTATGGTGAGGATGTATTAGATAGATAACATTAATGTTTCTTTATGATTAGGTTGAATTGAATAAATATCATTAATGTTTGTTTTTGATTATGCTGAATTGAATAAATATTGTTAATGTTTCTTTATGATAATCAGTAGGACGTTAAACCCCATTCCATTCCATTTCATTTCTTTTGTTTATGATAATAGCTATAATTACTTGTTTTCTATATTTTTCAATAGGTAGATTTTGAAAAACACACAAAGGGTGATGATGGAGTAGAAATAACTAGAAATGTTAAAAGAACTTTATTTGGTAGAATGAATCCTTTCCCCCAGAAAAAGGTTATGACTTTTAACAAACATTTTGAAGATTTTAGTTTTAGTGTGAATTATGGAGATCTTGACTTTTTGTCAGAGGAAGAAAAAAAGTAAGTTAGTTTTATTTTTGTTTTTGCTTTTGCTTTTGCTTTATTCCTTATGGTTTTGACGGAGATTAACTTTTTGACAATTTACAATGAAAGACTCATCACAGAAGGCATGTTTTCTTTTGACATATTAAGGATGAGTGGCACAGTGGGTAGGATGTTGGCTCGCTAACACAAAGGTCCCGTGTTCGATCCCTGCGTTGACAGGGAAAGTTCTTCAGGATTTTCCAATATGGTTCCCCCTTGTCAGGGGTGTAGGACAACGCATAGCCATTTGGATTGGACGAAAAACTGTGGTCCTATGTACCATTGGTATGCACGTAAAAGAACCCTTGACTGTTGGAATTCGAAATAAGAGTAGACCATAGCACCACTGTCCGGGCAAAATTTCTTTCATAGCACACTGCATGGCGTATGCCCGCCTTCATTAGCCGAGTAGACGCAGAACAGTAGGACTTTTACCCACATTTCATTTCATTCATATTATTAAGGATGTTGCAAAAATTAATGCACACTTCAATTATAATAAATAGAATAAAAGGAATAGATAATGAAAACTTGGATAAAGTATTTGATTTTATTATATGTGCCCACATTTTAATATCTTGTTGGATTTCTTAACATAACTTATTTGCTTTAATAATTTGATCATAAGTATGAATCCTGTTGGAACTCAGTTCTTTTGGTTGAATTATTTAGAGTTAATGTCCTTGCTGATTAAAATGTTATTTATTTATAAATTAGTTTTTGGTTTTGAATCTCAGATAAACTTTCTTCCTCTTGGAATATTAGTGTAGAACATCCAGCACTTTGATTAATCCTTGATAATTTCTTTATGTTTTAGATTAATTCCGTCATTGAATTTAACTAGTGTTACTCTGCAAGGTGTAAAAGATGCCCATGATAAACATGGTAAAGATGCCGAATCTAAAGGTGTTAAAGCTCATTTTAGAATGGATGAAAGTGGTGTCTTAAGTCTGGACAGGGTAATTCTTTTTAATAATTCAATGAGTCACTATTGTGACTTTATTTTAAGTTTGTGTGTCTTGAGGCACAAAACATATTGTACTCTCAATAATGTACTTACATCCCTGATGTGGTCATTTCTCCACTTAACACTTTTTTCTCCAAGATCATCATCTACCAGTACCTAAATACTGCTGGGTAGACTAGAAGACTGGATAATATGTCTTATTGAAGGATATATATCTTGTGAATTGACTAGTCTCGGACACCCAGAACCTCCTAGCTGCAGTTGTCCACATTTGAACAACTTTGATGGGATAACCAACCACATGAAAAAAAACTCCCGGTTATGCATGAGCAATCAAACTTTTTATCTGAAGTCAAGAAAGAGTTGCGCCCTCCTGAAATAAATCCCATAGTTCATGCAATATTATAACAAATATGAATCGTGACGTTGAATTTGGATTAATGAAAACCATAGATATGACCCTTGAAGAGATAAATTTTACAATAAAAAACTGAGGAGTGTTGAATGTTAAACAGTCAAAGGAAATAGTTTTTTTGTGAAATTGACAATACTTAATTAATTTCTTGGGTGTCAATATCTTATCTTGTTTTAGTGCTATTTACGTATTTAGTTCTCTGACCGAAATAAGTAGGTTTCGTAAATGATAACACCAAAGACGAGATATTCTCAAATGTTGACAACCCATCCAGACTAATATTTGTAGAATATTTGTCTGAATGATAGAGGGGGTTGAATGGCTAAATGGTTAGCATGTGTACGCTGTATCATAAAGTCTGTCATTGAGTCAACTGGCGTGGTTTTGATTCCCTGGTTTTACGTGACAAGGAGTAGGGTCGCCTGTCCAACCTCGTGGGTTTTCTCCAGGTCCCCCGGTTTCCTCCCACTGCTAAAGACCCCTACGCGCAAGGGAATTATGGAAATAAAATGGAACCATGTTAGTCCCGAGTGGACGGTAAATCAAATTTTTTTCTCTTTCTCTCTGAATGATAGAGACTAAGAATTGACACCCAGCCAGTGAGTGAATTAAGTATACAACTGTCTGCTCACAGATCTGTCTTATTATACCCTACACTAATGCTATTTGAATATTGTTAGGTGGAATCAGTGTTCGAAAAGCTAGAAGTTGCTGAAGACAAAAAAGATGAATCTACATGGTCAAGTGAGTAACATTACCATTTTTATAACTGCTGTTTTACATAGATTAGACTTACAGTAGTTGTCTTACATATCATCTATTCTTTCTCAACTTATTTCATTTTACAACTAACTAATGTCAGTTCTTAAAGTGTGTCCTTCCTATATTTTATTAATGATCATTTTTATAATGCCTGAATTTGTAGAGCTTGGTACAGCTATTGGTGGATTATTTGGCGGTGGAGAAAAAGAGAAATCTGATCAAGTTGAAACTGTAGAGCAGTCAGATGAGGTGGGTGCATTATTTGTAATTGTACTTAGACTGTCTGGGTGTAGCTTGATTTAGTTCTTTTTGTCCTGCAGTGAGTGGGGCCCTTTAAAATGGGTTCGTCTGTTTTTCAGTCCTTCAAACTTTTGGGAAACATTACCTCTGCTTCTAATTGAAATATAATGTTCAAACTTGGTGTAAATGTTCATTACCATTTCCCCATTAGGCAATGCATGGAAAAGCAGTCTAATTTGTTGATGCTTTGTAACACAAGAAATCCTAATCTAATTAAGTGAGAGTTACAAAACTTGGTGTATACTATCGTTACATCACTACCTTGATTTAGTTTAATAATGAGCATTCTCATTTGAGGATAAGCAGAGTGGTAAGGAATTTGATTGATCGAAGCTTTACAAATAGATAAGTCAGCAAGTAATTGATAAGTGTCATCTATTTTGGGATTGGGGCTGGGGTCATCCATCTCGCTGTTTGGGAGGCATTCGGTTTGGTGTTTTTTTAGTGTGGGTGGGCATCGTATTATTTTTTCACCCTGTCCGTCGGCTTGTCAACTTGATAGAAGCCGCAGTTTTTGACGGATTCTTTTCAATTTGGTGTAAAGCATCATGGTCATGAGAGGACAAACCCTATTGATATTCAGCGATTTACGACTTTTAGTTTAAGAGTTATCCCCCCTTTGCTTAAAACCTTGTGAATGCAATCGTTGATAGTTGATACAAATTTTTTTCAAATTTGAATGTCCACACTGGGGTCTATGAGAAAATGAAACCTATCAATTTTCAGCTTTCCACAACTTTCTGTTCCAGGATAATCGACACTTGGCTGAAAATATTGTGAAAGCGATATAAGCGGCAGTTTGTAAAAGATTTTTTTCAAATTTGGTTTGAAGCATTGGGGTCATAAGAGGAAGAACACTATTGCTATTCAGCATTCTGCGATTTCCGTTTCAGTGTTATCTCCCCTGTGTTGAAAACCTTGTGAATGCAATAGAGGCTACTGTTTTTTGGCAGATTTTTTCCCAAATTTGGTGTGAAACATTGTGGTCATGAGAGGACAAATCCTTTTGATATTTCCTTTGCCGGAAACGTTATAAACATGATAGAGGCTGTAGATAGATTTTAACGAATGTTTTTCAAATTTGATGGGAAGCATTAGATTTTCAGCAATCTGTGACTTTGTTACAGAGTTATCCCCCTTTTCCAAAAACATTTTGAACTCGAGAGGCTTAAGTTTTTTTTACAAATTTCTTTCAAATTTGGTGGGAAGCATTGGAATTGGAGTCAAGGAGGATGAACCATATCGATATTAGGAGTTCTGCGACTTTCCGTTCCGGACTCAATCCCCTTGGCGAACATGATAGAGGCTATAGTTGTTAGGGGGGGTGGATGGCTGAATGGTTAGCGTGTGCGCGCTGTGTCATAAAGTCTGTTATTGAGTCGACTGGCGTAGTTTCGAATCCCTGGTTGTACGTGACAAGGAGTAGAGTCGCCTGTCCAACCTCATGTGTTTTCTCCGGTTCCTCCGGTTTCCTCCCACTGCTAAAGACCCCTATGCGCAAGCGAATTATTGAAATAAAATTAATCCATATGTTAGTCCTGAAATGACCTAGTTTGTGTTGAGTGGACGTTAAACCCCATTTCTCTCACTCTCTCTCTCTCTCTCGCTATAGTTATTAACAGATTTTTGTAAAACTTGGCAAAACAGTAAGACGTTAAACCCCATTTCATTTCATTTCATTTCATTTGTAAAATTTGGTGTGTAGCATTGTGATCATGAGAGAATGAACCTATCGGTATTCAGCTTTATGACCCCAAGGTTTCTGAAAAACCTTGTGAACTCAATAGGTTTTAACAGATTTTTTTTCAAAATTAGTTGAAAGTAATGGGGTCACAAGAGAATGAACCCTAGAGATTAGATTTCTTCATGGATCCTAGATCCTTATCAAATTTTCTCAACATCCAAGTTTTTCTTTCAGATAAGCTACAGTTTTGACAAAGCTGTTGCGTGGGTGTATTCCACACTTTGCTTGGCAATCTTTATTAGATTTATTCAAATAAAGTTGCTTGTTAACTTTTAAGAATGTGCATGCTTTAAAAAAGAATAAGGAACAGTGAAAAAGTACAAGAATTTGTGATTTGAATATAGATTTCTTTTATAATTTAACAGTGAAAATCTACAGGCCTTTAAACATAATTTAGAAACAACTTTTCGACAGTCATGCTGTTAAAGATGCATTATGTAAGAGCTAAATCTGTCTATTGCAGGTCTTTATTTTGGCTCCAAATGTTATATAAACTATTATTTAGACATTTATTCATATGGCAAGCCTATAATCAACTCTCTAGACAATCGGATGCCCGAGATTTAAATAGATTAGAATACCTGCAAGATTAACAAATTCAAACATCTTCAAACACTCATAATCTCGTTCATAATAAAGTAATTGGAAGGAAATTCGAATTTAATCATTTTTTATTAAATCTTTTTTTATATGCCCAAGTGATATGCATTATTTAATTTAGTGAAACAAAGAAGCCTCTTGAATTTACGCAATTTCTGTTTAATTCTCCTGGATTTATGACCCCTGTTTCACTTTGTTGCACCTTGTAAACGACAAAACTTATCATCCCATCTGTATGAAATTTATACGCATCATTTAAATTAGTGACATTCAGAAGCCTATTGAATTTCAGCAATTCCAATAATTACATCTAGAGTTATTGCCCTTGTTTCATTTTGTAGAACGACGACAGAAATTATAATCTGATCTGTATGAAATTGTCTTGTAAATTTCCCTAATTATCTACAAAAGAATAAATATGCGACAACCCTTGTTGACCTCTCGGATGATTTAGCTGCTCTGGGTGTATATTTCGTTGTCTGGTAACCTATCTTTAACTATTATAGCAAGAATGGTCAGCTCTTTATCTCAATCTTACAATGCATCTTTAATGACTGTCTTGTGACATTGTAATGTGGGCCTATGAGCAGTCACTTGGTAAAAATTCCTGTGCTATAATAAGACGATTATTATTATAAATCCTGTTTCACCTTATTTCTGCATTGAGTGGGTATTTTGTTTTTTGGTAAGGTTATTTCATTTTATTTTTTTAATCCATGTTTGATAGCATTTATGTTTTTATTTAATTTATAGAAACCTAAAGTAAGTAGTAAAATATGTTAAGTTCATCTATTTCTTTTCTTTATTAGTAAACATATAGATATAACATAAAGCAGTAAAATTAATCTTGACTTATTAAAATTAAGTAGATTGAATTATTCAAGAATACTCAATTAAACATTCATGAATTTAAATCTCTCAATCTCTCGAATAGCGACAGTGCACGAAAAAGGGATTTGAGGCTAGACACAAGCCAACAAAATATGAAAATATCTCTTCCAACCAAGACCTCTGAAACCTATTGGCTGTGTTTAATTAAATCATGATTCTACTCACACTACCGCGGTTATCCAGACTGATAAAACTATGACAGGACAGAATTTTTGTATATTCAGATCATTTAGTATTAACATTAGAAAATCGCCATAGCAAATTGTATTTTCATTGAGGATACATAAATCTGTTTTAGTTCCACAATGGGTACACTTGCATGTAGAAATGGATAACTATAACTTACACCATGATGTTTAATTATTTTGTAATCATTCTACTTATTTGGATAAATAATATCAAGATATATTTTCAGCTTTTTGTTTTTAATGCTTTTTGTTGTTTAGTTTTTTTCCTGTTTGCATGATTGTTGTGTTTCTCTTCTTCTTAGTCTGCAACTAATAGCACAGCAGATAACTCTACTAAAACTAACAGCACTAGTAGCAAGCCAGATAATAGCACCAACAACAGTAACAGCAAAGAACAGTCAGCAAATAATACTCCTAAAGATAGCACTAAGGTCCACTTTCATTATGGATTTAAAATCAGATTAATATATAATCACAATCACATGTATATCTTACATTTAACTAAGCCAAAATAAATTGAATAATGATGTTTAAAGGTTATCATTGTTTATACAATTCCAAATTATTTGAGTTAAAAACAGCTTTTTACAATATTATATGATAGTAGGGTTTTATAAGCATACATCATTGCAATATGGCTGTATATTGTTGTCACCCGGTCCTTTTGTCGGTCCATCCTTCCCCCTTATTTTGTTAACACATTGGGGGCTAAAGTTATGACTGGATGATTTTAAAATTTTAATCAAATGTTTAGCCAAGTAAAAGAATGATCCCAATTAAGTTTTACTGATTTTGGATGATCACTCCCAGAGTTACTCTTGATTACAAAACCATGTTAACACAAAAGACTGAATTATCCTTGGATTTTGATAAGTTGTTCATCCTGAGAAAAAAAAGACCTTGCTAATCACTGAGAACAGTCCCATTAATGTTATGATTTGGATCACAGTTATGCCTCTGGACTTTTGTTTGGATTATTCTAAAATTGTAACAGTAACACTGCTGGTGTATGTATACTCAGTTACTTGGCAACCTTGGTTTTTTCAGGGAGCTAGCCACTTTTATAAAGTTCTTGAAAGGATGATAAATTATATTCTTTATTCAAAATTTACAAATTAATTCTGGAATCATTACTGGTGATGATCACTTATGCAAAAAATAGATATTGCACTTTATTCATTAGACAGTTCAACACATTGGCATGCACGCAAAAGAACCCTTGTTAATTCAAATTCAAAATAAGAATAGGCTGTAGCACTGCTGTCCAGGCAAAATTTCCCTCATAGCACTCTGAATGGTGTATGTCCTGTCTTCATTAGCCCAGTCAGTGCACAAATGTAGGACACTAAAACCCCATTTTATTTCATTTATTTTTAGACTGTGGGTATGATATAAAAGGAATAGAATATTTCATACTCATTCTGTATTTTTTTAATTTTATTAGTCTACAGAACAAGTTAGTGATGAAGAACAAAAACCTGACACTGAAGCACCAAAGGAAGAAACTCAAACAGAAGAAAAACCAAATGAAGAAAAGAAGGATGACACTAAAACAGAAGAAAAATCAGAGAAAAAAAATAAAAAGAAGAAAAACAAGTCTGATAAAAATGACAAAAAAGACAACAACGGCAAAACAGATGAGAAAAATGGTAAAAAGGATGATAAAAAAGATAGCAAAGATGACAAGAATGGCAGTAAAGAAAAAAATGAAACAAAAACTGTAAGTTTCCAATTTGATATTGCTGAAAAAATTTTAAATAAATTTAGTTGATAGTTAATTTATCTGAAGCATGCCTGTAATATGATAAATCTTATATTCATCATAATAAATATACTGTTTTTGAGTTGAATTGATAAATATGTTTATTTGTGAATACTTAGGAAGAAGAAAAGAAACCTAAGAATGTTATTTATAAAGAAGATATTGTTGCAACTGCTGTTATCAAAGATTTACCTGAATTAACAGGGGAAAAAAAGAATAAAAGTCAGAAAAGGTACAACTGAAAATAAAACTTACAATTTATTTAACTTATTAGCAATATTAAACAATTTGAATTTTAAAAATCAATGCTTAAATCAGAAATATGTAGAAATTTAGACAAATTTCTCATGAAATTACCATGTTAGAACTGTAAATTCAAGAGTATCTAAATGTAGTTATCAAGTACAGTAGGTATTTTGAGATGGCGTTAAGCCGTTTTATAACTCTTTTATTTATGGTAGTGTTGTTGAAACAGTCTTCTACATACATGTTTACATTTACTTCTTGGTTGTAGTGAGTTGCAATATCTCATGTTCATGATATTTCATTTAAATGTGAAGTTAATAAGAATGTTTAATATATTTTTTACAGGTTAAAGGAATTAAGAAAATTAGATTTAGAAAAAGTAGAATTAGAAAAGGCTAAAAATAGTTTAGAGAGTTATATATTTGATATGCAAGATAAGATGAGTCAAGAAGATTATATGACCTGTTCAACAACAGAAGAACAAGAAAATATGAGTAAATTGTTCTCTGAATCTTCTGATTGGCTATATGAAACACCAGAAGATACAAAGAAAGAGGTAATAAAATTAGAACATATTCTGATATTTATTTTTATCTAATCTCTTGTGCATCCATACTCAGTTATTTCATATTTGTATGTTTTCTACTCAGAACTTACAAGTATGTTAAATTATATACAAATCAGGATTCAGAATAAACTATTATTCCTGGATAATTCTATATGGAACCGATAAATCATCGTGAATATATAGAGTTGGGGATTTTATTTGTCACCCAACTCTTTCTTACCCACACAAAATAAGTAAATATTATTCTTTAGTATAGATTTAGATTCAATTTTACTGAACCTGATTACATTAAAATGTAGTGATACATAATTTTTTGACAGCAAGTCACCCATTGTAAGGTACTATATATTGACTGGGTGTTTCCTTTAAGGTTAGGGGAGGGGGGGGGGGGTATTGTAATTGTTTATGAAAATTAAGAACTTTTCTCCAACAATATTACTGGATCAAAAAAGTAATTCCTCTTTAATAAAAAAAAGTAGTTCCTTTTGAATTGACCAATCAAATTCATGTAAAGCGGTATCTCTTAAGAAGATATTGCACAGTAGATTATTTGGGTGGGGGGGGGGGGAGGGGTGATGGCTGTATGGTTAGTGCGTGTGTATTGCATCATACGGTCTGTCACTGAGTCAACTGGTGTGGTTTCCATTCCCAGGTTGTATGTGACAAGGAGTAGGTTTGCTTGTCCAACCTCATGGGTTTTCTCCGGGTCCTACTGTTTACTCCCAATGCTAAGAGACCCCTTCCACACAAGTGAATTATTGAAATAAAATTGAACCATATATTAGTCCCGAAATGAACTAGTTTGTGTCGAGTGGATATTAAACCCCATTTTTCACTCTCTCAGTAGATTATGAAAGTTATCACACAAGCGATATCTTCTGTAGAATGTGTTATTGGGTGATAAATTGTATTAACCGTAACTCATACCTGTGTTACATGATATTGCTTCCTTGATTTATTGGAAAAAGTTGTACACCATAAATTTTTCCTCTTGGCATTAAATATAATGGTTATTATTTCTTTTTTTTGCCAGGAATATAAAAGCAAATTGAAGACATTAAAAGATGGCATGAAAGATATATTAATAAGATTTAAAGAAAGAGAGGAGAGACCTAAAGCTTTAGATGCCTTATTTAATATGTTAAATCATTCAAATTATTTCCTAGCTACTATTAAAAATTTATCATCCTTAGAGGATCCAGTCTTTACTGAGATTGAAATTACAACCTTAGAGAAACTAGTCAATGAAACCAAGGTAAGTGATAGTGTTCTATATCTAGGTTTCCATAAGTTCATCAGTTTCAAATATATAGTAAAAGACATATCTATGAAATTATTTGTTTTTTGGAATGATATTTACAAATGAGAACTTCTTTTTTTTTTCAGACGTGGAGGGATGAAAATGTTGCTGAACAAAAGAAATTAAAAGACAATGAAAATCCTAAATTATTAGTAGAAAGTATTGCTTATAAAATCCAAGCTCTAGATCGAGAAGTGAAATATCTTGTAAATAAAGCTAAAACTTTTAAACCTAAAATAAAACCTAAAGTGACAATTAATGATACAAAAACAGGTAATAATACTAAAAAAGAAAAATCTGTCAATTCTACAACAGAAGATACAGATACAACACCAACAACAGAAAAACCTCCTACACAAGGTAAGTATTATTTAGCACAAGATCTTAGTATTGTTGAAACTAATTGTACTCTATAGATGAATTTTGTGTTGATATAACACCTATTTAACTAATGCCAATCCATTCAGAATGCCAATCCATTGATGGTTTCACTTTATCCTCTGTCGACATGAAAGGTTCCTCAAGGTTCAATGTTTGGACCAATGTTGTTCATCTTTTACATAACTAAGGTTCCTCAAGGTTCAATGTTTGGACCAATGTTGTTCATTTTTTACATAACTAAGATCAAAATATTCTGTTTATTTACAAGAATTTTATCACCATGATTTATTATAGAGGAAGAACCGCCTGTAACAGAATCTGCAGAAGACATTCCTGTGCAAGATAATACTGACACCTCAAATACAGATGATACATCAGAGGAGACACAATCAAAAAATATAGCTGATGAAGGAGATAAACCATCAGAATTAGGTAAGATTTTAAACATAATGTGAAAGTTGGGCATATCTGTTTTTGCTTCAGTAGTGGTGTGTACTTATTGTCCACTGCCTTTTAGAAAAAGGTGACTATAAAAATGGGTTTTGTCCATCAATCCGTCCATCGTTTAAAACAAAAACACTGTGGTACAGAGGTAGAATGTTAAAACTTGGTGTATATATTGATTAGCTGAATGTAATAATGAACATTTTCTTCGTAGATAAGCAGAGAAAAAGTTTTTTATTTGTCGATCTTTTGGAACACAATAACGCTTGTTTCTAATTTGAGATAGAATGTGGTGAATGCATTGGCGGAGTTGAATGATGAACATTTTCTGATTAGGTTTAGCATTGGCCATGCAGAGAAAAAAGAAATTTGATTTGTCATGGCTTTGAAACAAATTACCTCTGCTTCTGATTAAGGTAGAATGCTCAAACTTGGTGAATGTCTTGACTGAGTTTGATGATGAGCATTTTCTGATTAGACATGGCATGATTTGTTGTAAAAAAAAAAGATAAATGTGCAAGTAATCAGTGAGTGTCATCTATTTATTTTGAAACACCTGCTTCTCTGTTGGCTTATTTCCTTTAATTTTGCCCCAATTCATTATGCTAGTTAAATGAATAGAAATATTAGGTAGATTCTAGAATTGACATTACTAAACATTTTACTGATATTTCTCATTTACTTAACATCAACATTAAAAAAACATCAACTCTTTGATTGATTTATTGTGTCACCTTAAAGACTTGATGCATCATTTACTTTTTCGCTAAAATATCACAGTTAAATACATGCCAAATATTTACTCAGGTTGATTATTTAGCATTTAATTAAGAAATCAAAATACCAAAGCTAGATAATCTCCCGCCATGGATTCAGTCAGATTCAAACTACATGTATGCTTATCAGATTTCTCCACTACCAATGACAGCGTCTTGTTGTGATTGAGCAGCATAGATCAATGACATTTCAGTTTATCATAACTTTGTAAATACATAACAGAATTGAACCTTTTTTGGACTGATATTCCTATTAAAGAATAAACTTTCACAATATTGTAGTTTGCAAGGGATTCTTATAAAGCTAAATGAAGCATCAAGCCTTTAAAAGTGTGATTTGCGGTGTAAAATAATTATAAATGATAAAAATTGTTTGATTTGCAGAAACTGAACTATCTAAATGGCTTTATATTAAAAAGAGATTAAATACACATGTACCTCTTTATAGTAAGATATTTTAAAGATTGGTTCTGCCATTTCCCCCTTCAACAACCTTAGTTAGTTTAATCAGGTTTTATGATCTCAAATAGGTTGATTTTGTCTTAAAAAAGAAAAAAAGAATTCAAGCAATATTATTAATAAACCATGAAACTGTGATTTGAGATCATATTTGGCTTATTTTTTCATATCTATCTTTATTTAACCATAACCTTTCTATTAATATATTCAACATTGACAGTGGCTGTTTGGGATATCATCAGGAATTCATATTGAATTGTGTTTAATACTAACCTTGAAATATTATTGACTAATGGTGATGATCATTTAAATTTTGAAAGATAGAATATTGTTGTCATCAGCATCCCAGTCTGTTCACAATTTTCTTGGAAAGACTTCTCTACAGGCAAGATTTGTATCAAAGTTGCTGGGATTAATTTTGAAACAAAGTTATCTTTTCATATATGTTTGGACTTGTAGATGTGATAGACTTTTCTATTTACTGTTTTAAACATGGTAGGATTGTTCATTTTGTTGCTAATATTTAGAATTTTCTCCCAAACTGCACGCAGCAATCCATCTACGTCATACGTCATTATGATCACTGCCCCAATTAACCGCCATTTAAAACGCTCACATGATCATTTTGGGGCGGGACTTATCGACCGGACTACAGCTTTGTGTACACAACAGAGTAAAAATAACCGGAACACGTACGTTTTTTATGTAAACACATGTCTTTAGCAAAATGTCAACTTCTGCCAATCCGGTAAAAGCGATATATAATATGTACTAGTGGGTAATATTGCCATTGTAAACTGTCTTTAGAGTTTCAATCTGTTTATCTTTCAAAACAAGGTCAGATACCACTAAATTTGTCTTCGCAAACAAAACCGCCTCTGTGAAATTATCTTTTGTGGGCGCCGCCATATTGAATAATTAGAGGACTATTTTGTGATTCGACTTTGATTAGTTTGACATCTTTCATACATACAGCGGCTAAATAAACATATTTAATTTCATTCAATATGACAATAGAAGAGAAATAAATACTTCTAAAAATTACTAAAAGCAAACTCAGTGTTTTCGACTAAAATCGTCGATGTAGGAATTAAAATGTCGGGTAATTAGCTTAGGGCCTGTTCTCACTCGGAGCTAGCTGTAGACAGGCAGCCTAAGTTTGGGATGATTTTCTCCTTGTAAATTGAGAGTTATCCTCCACTTTTGCGTTCGGATATCGTCCATCACACAGAAAAATGTTTCATACATTTGGTTCTCATCTGGTGAATCCTGCCGGGTCATTAGTCAATGATAGTCAGTTACAACACTTTCAGTTGTTGGACTTAGAAAATTTAAGAGATCTGATTTTCAAAAAATGTGGTCAGTCTTCCAGTTTTGCATTTATCCTGCTTTGTTTAATTGGCTTGGACTTTTGGCATGTTTTCAAGTAGAGGAGGATTAGGATTTTGTTTGCTAAGTAGGGTTCTCAATCTCATTAACACTGTTGAGTTCTGATATGTTAGAAATCCTCCATTATAACATCTTATTGCATGGCAATGTGTGATAGTGTTGATAATAATGATAGTCTAATTTTAAAAACTCGTCTCAGACATTTGAGTTATGAAATATACAATCTCCCCTAAAATAGTGAACTCCTTTATATTTAGGGGTTAATAGTGGCTACTTGTCCTAAATGTCTTGACTCTTTCCAAAGCATTTTTGTATGGTAGATATTCTTAGGGCTGAATGCTAACAGTGTCTTGAGCAATATTCCCCGGGTTTTTTTGTCATTTATTGTCCCCCGCCTTTCGAAGAAAGCAGGGGACTATTAAAATGGGTCAGTCTGTCTGTATTACATCAATACCTTGACTAAGTTCGATAATTAGCATTTTCTGCTCGGGGTAAGTAGAGCGATAAGCAATTTGATTGGTTGAGACTTTGGAACTCGATATTCTTGAGTGGTGAATCTTTGTGTATAGTTTCATTACATCAATACCCTGACTAAGATCGATGATGAGCATTTTCTGCTTAGGATGAGTAGAGACGTCAGTCTGATTGGTCGAGACTTGGAAAACAATAACTCTCCTTCTAATTGGTGTAGGTGTCTATTAGGGGAATGTCTTGACTGAATTCAATGACTAACATTTCCCGCTAAAGCTAAGCAGAGCTAAGCAATTTCATTGGTCGATCCTTTAGGACAAGATAACTTAAATTCTTACTTGTGAAGAGTGATGAAACTTAGTGTGAGTTTCACTACCAGATGCTTCAAAACCATGACTGAGTTTTGATCGTGAACATTGTCTGCTTACTTTTCAAAAATATGAATGTGCAATTAATTAATGTGTCATCTATTCATTTTTGGATTGCGATGTGGGACATCAGCCTCATTGTTGGCTTGTTAAGACCATAATTACTGCTTGTTAAAAAAAAACCATACATTCAACAAAGAGTAAATTTTGAATATGTAACACAAGAATTAATAATTTATGAAAGTGGATTCCTGTAAACCGCATGATGAGAAAAATGTAGAATCTTGAAATGTGAAGTTTGTGAGAAATCATTTAGAAACATGCCAAAATAAAACTTCCCTTCTGTAACAATTCTTTTTGATGGATTATCGGGGACCCTGAATATTTCTGTTGTATGGCCTAAATGTGTGAAAGACATTTTTCTCAACACCCTTAATGAGTTATCACCCTTTGTTGCCTTATCATATCATTTGATATAGACAACCAGAAGAAGAGTGTTCTCACAAAGCCTTGTATTTAAAGTTTTTTTAATATTATACATTTCGACAAATTTAGATATATGTGTATAAGTACATGGTAATTTTCTTGTTTCGTGTACAACTTATATAGATTTAGTCTCAGATAAGTTGGAGATGCATTTTTTGTCAGTGATTCAACTTCCGACAGTATGTTTTGTAATGTATGACTAGAGCGAAATCTTTGTGAAAATTCTCAATAACCTCTAAATTGTGGAGACTTCAGGAAAAAAAAGACAAAAATACAGAGCCTTATTTTTTTCGACAGTTGTCTGGCCAATAGCTTCATGTCTATTTTTTGTCTTTTTCAGATGATGGAACAGCAGAATCGAATACACCTCGCACAGATTTATAACTAAAGAAATTATAGGAGCTAACTTATAAATTATACAGATATATTTTGTGAATGTTTGTGTCTGAGTCCATTTATTTAATTCTCAATGATTGTTAGTTTGAAGAATGTGATCAGTTAATTATTCTGGAGGTGTACAGATGTGTATCATGATAGACAGAATGCACAATTTATTATGTGCTTAAATGACTAGACCTCTTTGTTTTGGGTGAAAATAAATAAATAAAATAAATATATCGGTATGCAATTATTAGTTTAGGTCCACAGATTAAGGCATTGTTAAGTTAAAATGGATTTTCTATTTAGCAATCAACAATATTAGTAGAAAATGTAACTTGAAAAAAGTAAGCACACCAACTTATGCTTTAACACAAGGTACAATTTTATGGATACACAATTACCAGATAAAGACGAGAATATCCTCGTTGAAACATCGCTTAGTATTAAACTCAATAATTGTGTATCCATAAAATTGTACCTTGTGGTAATTAATATGTTCAATTACTAAATTCCTATCCAAGAAACTGCTGCTTTATCAGCCAAAATGAATTTTTAACATATTGGATTAACATATTTTGACCCAATTTAAAGAGGTTTTACTCTTAAACTTATAGACTTTTTATTTGTTGTGTTTTTGTTGAAAAAATCATGCATTTCATTAAATTCCAATACTGGTTATGGTATTGGTTTCTCATCAACTAGTTTTGTGGAAGATATTTGATATCTGTATCATACAGAATTATATTTAATCAGAGTAGTCTAACCAAATAAATATGTTAATGCCAGTATGCATCTGAAAATCTTAACCAGTAACCAGAATTCATGAATTTTTGTGTCAAAAGGATAGATTTTGATTCATGAAAAAGTCTTATAAAATGTCCATTATGAATGATAATCATTCACTGTTTTATGCTTATTTAAAAGATTTTTTTTTTGTAGTTATAAGTAGTTATATCTACCACAAAATTTCATCTGGATTTTCTTATTATTTCTTATTACAATCATTCATTATCTTTCATTTTACATATTTACATTATGGTTTCGTAAGAACCTTTGGAAATTTTACTTTGTTATTTACTCATTATAATTGTAAAACTCATGATATGTCATCTGTTAAAAAAATGTATGTTTTGATTATAATTTTACTATTGTGTTTCATGAAATATGTTGATGGTTCTAGTGCAGTTATTAAAATAGAGATAACAAAATTGTGAATGATGATTGTTGGTAGACATTCCGTAATTTAGTGCTGTAAATGATTATTATAGTAATTTAAAATTTCTTCATTTAAATATATCATAGAACATCCCAGTGAATTATCAATGCAATATACTAGAAAAGTATAATACAATCCTCAAATGCCAATCATATTCATGTAAAGGTAGTACAAAATATTCCTGGAAACTCAAGGGTGTGTCAAAAACAAATCGATAGTAATCATGACATGAATATACAGAATTGTGTATAAAAGTGTATATTGTACATTACTGATGAAATTATTTTGTTGAATGTAAGTCTCTGAACATCATTTGAGGAATGAATACCTTGCAAACTGCAATGATTTAATTCTGTTCAGTGATATGTGATAAAATGGATATGAACAGGATATAGTCAAATGCCAGCACCATCTGTAATCTTCGCTGAAATCTTTTGATTTGAAGTTTTCCAAAAGATGAAAATGACTTCCAGAGAAAATTGTATTGTAAACTTTTAAATTCTTTGTAGGCTAATAAAACGAAATTAGGAATAATTTGGAAGGAAAAGATTTCGACTTTCCAAACTATCTTAACTGTAACCCACAAAATATATTATTGGTGCACATATTACATTGTAAATAAAATTCATTAAATACTAAGTTGAAAGAATGGTGGACTAGTGTATAGTAAGAGTGGATGGGAATACTTTATGTATATTATGTTTGTCAGAATAAATGATGTTATATAAGGTATTTAGTTTGATATTGATTTTTTATATACCCACATAGTATATAACCTACCAATGGCTATGTCTTGAAGGTGGGGGTCAAGGTGGGTAAGACGCTGGCTCGCTAGCCTGGGAGTCGGATGTTTGATCCCTGCATTATTAGTCGAGAAAGTTCATCCAGATTTTCTGGCGTGGTTCACCCTTGTCAGTGATGCAGGCCGGACAAGGACAGCTGACTAGTCATTCGGATGAGACAAAAAAAACGTATTTCTGTGTATACATTGGCGTGCACGTAAATGACCCCTTGACAGCTGGAATTCGATATAAGAGTAGGCCGCTGTTCAGGCAAAATTTCCTCATAGCACATTGTATGGCGTATGCCCGTCTTCATTAGAACAGTAGGACCTTAAACCTCATTTCATTTCATATCTTTAAAAGGTATTCTTCAATTTAGTTTGAAAAGGTTTTTAGTCCAAATATATCACTAAATCACGTAGTTGTACACTGGAAGGCATCTTTAAGGTAAGTGAGTTGGGAAGGTATAGAGACACAAACTTTATAGAATTTATATAAACTACACAAGTATTATATGCCCACATGCCTTTCGATATTGGCATATATTGGACCATAACTTCATGGATAACCCCTGATTGTATGAAAAATCATATTTTTTATCGGATTTTGATTTTAAAAACCGTTCAATCATATCACCGTTACACCGTCGTGACGGTTGAGTTCAAATTTCGTGAAAATGGCCTCTCTGTGCGCTAATTGTGTAAAAGTATATGTAATACCAAGGTTGTTGACCCTGTAGAGGCAATTTTTATAAGCCCATATTTTTATGTGGACGTATATTGTCGCCCGTGTCCATTCATCCACAATTTGTTTTTGGACACACTACGTGTCAATTTTTATCCAATTTTGACGAAACTTGACATACAGGTTTATCTCCCAAAGATCTCGGTTCCTTTCGATATTGGCATATATCGGATCGTAACTTCGTGGATTATGGTCACAATTTTGATCCGACTTTAATGAAACTTGAAATATATGTTTATAACCCAACAATCTCGGTTTCTTTCGATATCCTTCCTGGATTATGGCCCCAGTTTCAACGATAACACGTGTTTATAACCCAACAATCTGGGTCAACCATATTGTTTCCCAAAATAAAAATTAATAAGAATTCTATAGAATTCCATAGTACCCATTTCTCCAAAAACTGTAGTGACCCAATACTACAGTAGGGACTATTTTCCCTGTACATAACTGCAGAAATTCCTACAGAATACACAATAAGAAATCTATAGAATACCGGTACTATAGACATTTTTACATAAATCTGTAATAAAAACTATAGGATATACGCTACAGAAACTGTAGAATATTTGGGGCCGTTAAATCCTACAAGCCCTTAAAATTATGTAGAATACTATAGAATTTCACCCTATAGACAATGGGACACCCCACCCCACCCCCCGAAAAAAAACCACACAAAAAAGAATAAAACTCTATAGAATTTTCTATAGAATTCTTTAGAAAACTACACTGGTGTTATATTGGATTGTTTGCTAAGGGAGTCAAATGTGCTGTTACTGTTTTACAAAGAACGGGGGGGGGGGGGGTCGGGTAACTCTGTATATAAATGGCAAAATGAAAATGCAACAAAACAGTTTTTAAATATGTATTAAAATATAAATAATATTATTTTATAGTATTTTTCAATAATGATATATGTAGACAAATTGCTTAAATATACGCCCAGCTTTTTATATCCATACTTACATATTTACAACCAAATATCTGATGCATTATTTCAGTTATACTTCATAATCCAATAAACAATATAGTACGTAAATTTAAAGCGAAACAAAATGTAGGGTTAGCCGTGTAAGACATTAGCTGACAAATGAAATGAGACTAAATGTTCCTACTAGTTTCCTTTCAAAAAATAATATTATTCTAAAACGGTATTCATAAAATTTCGGATTACTCGTCAGCCTTTAATTCCAGTTCTTCCATAATATTTCTCATTTCTTCTTCTTCTTCTTCAGCTATGTCATCATCTTCATCTTCAGTAACATCGTCGGGACTTCCAGTTGTTTCCACGTCTCTTCGTCTTCGGCTTATATATGTGGCTTCGGGGTTGTTTGCATTCAGATCGGCAGCTAGTTCAAGTACAGTTGAAAGTCGTGGTGTTCTCTGGTTTGGAAGAGTAATCAGAGCCTTGACCAACTCGTCTAAATGGGCTAAAGCAGCGTTAGTTATAGTTATTTTCTCATTGAGGTTCCCAAGAAATTTCGCCTTGTTTGATAGTAATCTGTATAGCCGTCTCCGCAGCCTGCTAGTTAATTGATCTGCAACGTTATTTCTTTGAACCAGTACAAGGGTCATCGGGTCGACAGTGGTTTCTTCTACGAGAGGGACTACCTCCGTGGTCACCAATGTTTCGACATTGATTACTGAGACGGTTGCTACTACCAACCCCACAGCTAAAACAGTCAGACAATTCATGATGATGTTGATTAAAAATTGGCTTTTGAAACCAACTGAACGTCTTTGGAGAGTCTGATAAAAGATGGTAAGACCTGTTTGCCTGAGCTGGTTGGCAGCACGGTTTATATACGATATATAAGGGCGTGTTTTAAACAAATAAATTACGAGGTATCATGTGTGAAATGACGTCTTTACAAAAATAACAGTCGTTTAAAACATAATCAGATGAGATATCTACACGATAGAATTAATATATTCATTTTATGCTTTTATCGTGATGTCCTTAACGGATGTCTCCATATTCACATTAATCCTGTCCTGTTAGATCTAATTGACCAGGGAATGTGACATTTGCAAAAAAATACATTGTGTTATTCTTGTATGTCGCTTACATATCGGGTGGCCCATAACAAAACCCAGTACACTATTTAAAGTGGAATGATAGGTGTCGTATAAATGGATGTTCGGCAACAGAACAGAACCCCAAATTGCAGGTCCACCGCTCAAAGTGTTAACATGGTACGAGTTTTAAAAAAGAATGTCGAATTATGTTTTGCTGGACTGATGTAACTTCTCAATCTGACAAAACATAATTTGACATTCCTTTCTAAAACATGGGGGTTGGATGCGTGGCTGAATGGTTAGCTCTTTGTGTAACTTTTGTTGTTTTGGTGTATAAAGTACATCAATAAGAAACTATGTGCAAAGTTTTATGTTTCTGGGTCAAAGATATTTTTCATAAACAGTGATTGAAAGTTGAGTAAATTCTTAATTTAAGTCTGGGAATGCTTTGTGAAACCTGGGACAGGACCATTTTGGGGACCTAGATGCAAACGTGTTTAAAATAAAGTTGCTTGGCGATAAAACGAAAAGTTTGACATTTTCTCAAAGAGAGAACAATTATCAATATATTGATAATCAACCAGGGTTCTTTTTTTATTTCCTCAATTACATACACGATGGGATGGGTTTACATATTAGATGATTATAATCTTGAAGTGAAGTCGAGCGTTAAGTCGACACCTGACATCCTGTTCTAATCATTCAAATAAAAAAGTTCAAAAGATTATCCTTTATATTATATGCTATTTCATTATTGATCATCAATATATGATTAAATTATGCACGTATAGTCCGGTTTCGCGATTTCACTATATGTACCCGGATTTTCTAGCTGATTTGGGTGTATGACACTCGAATGAACCCTCATCAGTAATTTATATTTTATTTTTTTTATTGGGAACAACTAAGTATTATATAATTATTGAAGGGGAGTTGAGTGAACGAGTGATCTAACGCGTGCACTTTAGATCATGGGGTCCTCCATCGTATTGAGTCAAGTGGTGTGGTTTGGATCCCAGGTTTGAATGTGCTAAGGAATATGGTCACCTGTCTATCCTCGTAAGTTATCTCCAGATACCTCCCACTAGCAAGAATTCTACGTACAAGCGAAATGTTGAATGTACATGTACCTCATGGCTCATTTAGCTGTCGAGAAATTCCGAGAGGGATTTCGGTTGCAAAACCACACAATTAATAAAACTACAATGGACCACTTTCAAGTTGCTGTCCCTGCACTTACGAGCTGGAAAAGCAGGAATACGTATCGATCTTTTAAAATTTTCTTGCGGAGGTTTCCCTGAAAACCCGGCTGCGCGGTTCACCCACCGCACTGGACTCTCACTATTTATTCATTAGCCACGGCCTACCTTCTTTTTGATTTAGGAAAACACCCCTGAGTTTTGGAACACCCTAAAACCACACAATGATGTAATATGAGTGTGTATAAAGTGATTTCTATTCATTTTATTTATTTGTTTATTGTAATTTCTATTCAGTTATTTTCTGTGAAATGCTACGGACTAAATGAACGGCGGTCGCCTACATTCTTTACGGCTTTTTTTTTCCGTTTGTGAATCATGCAGTAATTTTTAATTACTTCCACGTTATCTGACAAGGACAGCTGTCTAGTCGTTCGGATGGGACGAAAAACACGCGTACCCCTTGGCAGTTGGAATTCGATAAAAGAGTAGGCCATAGTGCATGCCGCTGCCCGCGCAAAATTTCCTTCATAGCACACTGTATGGCGTATGCCCGTCTTCATTGGGCCAGTCGGAGTAGAACAGTAGGACGTTAAACCCCTTTTCATTTCTATTGCAAGCCGCATTAAAAAGTGACAGGTTTCGATTACCTCCCTTGTCGTATTTTTTCTGTAGAAGATTGCAACAGTGCTTTTAAGTTGACCGCTAAATATAAAACTTAATAATAACAAACCACAAACAGATAAAATGGTATCACAGAAGGTTACGAAAACGAAATTTAAATCGAATGTCAACGAACAGGAACCAGGTATAGTCATTATTTGTGTAACAAATTCTATCTTAGAAATATGACTGGACTGTCTGATGGTGGATAGCCTATCGACCTATGGCTATAGACAATACTAATAGTATAGTATACTACCAGCAGTATATAGAGGCCTGCGTAGTACGTACATAACTAATAATATAACTCATTACAATACATTCTGAAGGCCAATACACGATGCATTAATATACTAGCCGTAATAATAATAGGCCTATTAAATGATTATCAAATGACATTTACCAACTTAGCAATACCTTCCAAGGTCGGATGCCTTTCATTTCCCAATCCCATGTTAAGTTCCAGATTTTTGACTTTCTCTATCTCCTCTACCCACAACTTGAGGTTCACACATACAAACAAGATACACTTAGGCCTACCTAGTAGTAATAATAAAGTATGCCACGGTGGCTAGGTGGTTAAGATGTAGTTCAGCTCTGAACGTAGGTCTTATTACACTCGACCTCTACGTTCAGGGACTGTCCTATTGAATCCTTGTCGAAAATCTAATCGCTTCCCAGTCAATTTTACTGGGCAACTTTTTACTGCTAACCGGTCGCGTGTCAGTCCCTGTGAACGCCTGAACAATATAAATGAACATCTTAGGGAGAAAATAAGACCTTGCTTACCTGGCTAGAGTCAGTATGAGCGACACAACACGCTGTTAAAAAATATGTCTCCGTCTTCTAACTGACTTGGTGGACATCATTGAAAGGGTAACGCACAAATTTAAGAACTCGGCCATATAAGATGAAACGAAATTTAGGTAAGCCTGGGAGAAAAAAAAATGAAATCTTTGAAAAGTTGAGAATCTTCAGTGATTTATTGCTTTGCCTAGCTAAATTACAATAATTTACAATCAAATTCTTTCAAAAATCCCAATTTTTTCGCACCAGCAGAATATGGACGTGTCTTGCATTGCAACCACTTGCATTTGATTCGAAAAAATGGGCTCCTTCCCTAAAATTATGCAATAGCCTTGACAAATAATTAAGGATGTCCACTATTTTTAAAACTGAGCTTTTGTCAGAATGTGTATATCAGACTGAACAGTGAGAGGATGAACCCTATTGATTATGCCTGTTATTTGTCCATCTCTTGCAAAATGTGTGCATATCTTGCATGGCAACCGCATGTTATAAATTAGTACTGTACCGTAATTAAATGTCACTCACTCAGTTGACTTGATATGTATGATAATAAGATCAACGATTCCCATTTAATTTCTTATTCTTTGTGGGTGTATCTCCACTTGTGGTGGATTTGGGTAAACCATGATACCGTTAGATGGTGACCTACTTTCATACAGTGATGCAAATGAATCTGCAATTTCGTGAATAACTTATTTTATTTAATAATTCAGTATTGTTCTGAATTATATGAAGCTTACATGAACTTTCTCTTACACATATCAGATGAGCTTTCTTTATAAAATCCAAAATTGTATTTCAAGCTTCCTGAGATTCCAACTTCATAAAATTTGACAAAATCCCTGCAAGAGGAAAAAATTCAATGTCTACTCAGTCTAGTATGATCTAGTTGCATACAGTCATTTATTTGGATTCTAAATTCACTAGATGACGTGGTCACCATTAAAATTTTGTTTTTACATTTGCCAAGTACCATTCTTTAAAATAAAAATAGATATTATGCATACATTGAAATTTTTTTTTGTTTTTGTTATTTTAGATGATTTACGATTACGTTTAGAAGAATGGAGAGCAAACAAAAGGCAGAAGGTGGGAACACATGTTCCTGGATCAAATAAACTAAAAAGGTATACAATTTATCCAATATATTAATTATAAACTTGTTAATTTGTTTTTATTAAACAAACCTCCAAAGGAAGATTTATAGATCCCAACAAACACATCCACTGTTATTTTACACTTGTCTCTTATACTATAACAATAAGCGAATGAGTAAAAGAGATGGAACTTTCTACTTTCAGATACACTATCGGACAACCCCCTCCTCCTGTTCCAAAAAGTACAAGAAAAGTACAAGCTGTAAGCAAAATAGATTCTCACTGGAAGAAGAGACGAAGCTCACCAACAGATAACAGAAATAATAATATCAGGTTTCAAATATCTTTAACATTTATTTGTTAAAATTTAAGGTGTACAGATTCAACTTAACTATTTTCAGGGATTTTGTATAAAATTGTAAACAAAACAAACCTATTTCTAGTTAATCATATGGAACTTTTTACATTATAAATCAACAAAAATACAGAAAGGTATATATATATTATATATCTCTTTTTTATAGTGCATTTAGTAGAGACTATCTCTATCCTGGATGACTGCCATATTGAAAAATAGTGCACTGATGAATTTTATACACAAAGACTAAATAAACATTTTCAATTTCATTACCGTATATATGAAAATGGAAGTGGAATAAATACTTTGCATTTTTATGTGCCCACATATTCATGTGGACGTATTATGTTGTCACCTGTGTCTGTCCGTTCACTTTTTGTTCTTGGGCACTCTACAGGTCACAATTTTTATCCGATTTTATACGTGTCAGCAATTTCCAATAATTACGTGTAGAGTAATCGTTTATGTTTAACTTTGTTGAACCTTGTGAACATTCGAATGACGAAAGTTACCATCTGATCTGTACAAAATTTATATGCATCATTTAAATTAGTAAAACGAAGAATCCTATTGAATATGGTGGAGCTGTAACATATGGTCTATCATTGAGTCAACTGGCGTGGTTTCGATTCCCCGGTTGTATGTGACAAGGAGTGGGGTCGCCTGTCCAGCCTCGTGGGTTTTCTCCGGGTCCTCCGGTTTCCTCCAACTGCTGAAGACCCCTTGAAATAAAATTGAACCATATGTTAGTCCCGAAGTAATCTAGTATGTGTCGAGTGGACGTTAAATCCCATTTCTCTCTTTCTCCCATTGAATTTCAACATTTTCTGTCAATTACTTCTAAATTTATGGCCCTAGTTTTACTTTGTTGAACTTGTGACGTTCGAATGACATTTATATGCATTATTTGAATTAGTAAAACGAAAAAGCCTTTCGAATTTCAACAATTTCTGTAAATTACTTCCAGAGTTAAGGCCCTTGTTTCAATTTGTAGAACCTTGTGGACCCTCAAAACGACATAAATGATAATCTGATCTGTATGAAATTGTCTTGTAAATGCCCCCAATTATCTACAAAAGAATAAATATGCAACAACCCATCTTGACCATGTGGACAATTCAGCTGCTGTGGGTGTATGTTTTGTTGCCTGACAACCTATCTTTAATAAATTACTTTTAAATAATATTTTAAAATTTTCAATAATTTATTCTTTCAGTTCCTTGAAGAAAGTTCCAGAGAAAAAACAAGAAGGCGACAAAAAGCCTACAATTTCATTTAAAACAAAACCCTCGTGCTCATTACAGCCACTTTCTAAAATAAGGTAGGTAACCTTAGTTACATATATTTATGACTGCATTTGATACCCCTACCATAATATGTGGTTATATATTGCTCTCTCCCCCATCTGTTTGTATGTCCTAATTTCTACAATCACTATTTAGGACTGCTGTACTAGTAATACTAAACTGTTGAATAAAAAATCTGAATACATTTTAGAGTGATCTAAGCTGTGAAATGTTCTTTATTGTCCCAAAAATAGAAACAATGATCAGGTGCTTTAAGTTTAAACAAAAAGTTAAGATGACTTCATATAATTTTAAATTATTTTCTTTCAGACCTGTTGTTGCAATTAATTCAGTTTCGAAACAGAACAACAACGGTTCATCAAAACTATCATTACAGACAAGTTGTACAACAAATAACGATAAAAAGACAATCATCACACTCAGAAATCAATTAAAGAGCACATCACATCAAAAATCAAATAAACGTCTATCATTGCGCTCTATTAAAAGTAGAAACTGTGTTCGCAAATCATCATCAACTAGCTTAAAACATGGTTGTAAAGAAAACCTCAAACCAGTTTCTAGTGAAGAAGATCTTGCAAAAAAGATAGATGTAACCCCTTTTAAACATGTGACCTTTCAACCATGTGGAAATAAACCAGGACCAAATACGTCACATAGTAAAAAGTGTCTGTCACAACAAAATGGTCAAGTATCAATAAGGTAATGCTCTAGTCTAAATGTTTAATATTTTTTATCAATATTAATTCTTGCAGAGAAATTACGAAATGTATGATTTGTTTTAATATCGATAAATGTATGAAGTATGAGGTTTTTTGATATTATTACCAATTATGACAGACTAATTACATAATGTATGAAGTATGAGGGTTTTTTTTATGATCGATACTAATTATAACTAAATATATGAAGTACCAGATGTGGACAAAATTGTTTTAGTACTTGTATGCTTACCGATATTTTATAGAACTCCTGATCTTACCTCTTATTTCAGAAATTCACAGTGCTAACAGTTTGTTCAATTTCAACTGTATGGGAATTGTGGAAAATCGTAATATCATTTATTATGTTTATTTTGAAGGCTCATTTATCACAGACTGTTTTTCTATTTAATTTATTAGAAAATCTTTAAAGAATTGGTTAGATGAAAATGAAAAAACTCCTTCAAGATTCCGTCACCTAATGTGTTTTGACGCCCAGATGTCATCTAAGAAAGTGAGAGCAGTTGCACCAACAAAACCTTGTCTTACTGTAGATGAATTAACACAACAGGTACCAATAAACACTCATATAATATACTGTAGCTGTGTTAGATACATACATGTAAACATTTAGAAGGAAGGGATGAGGATAATTATCAAGAGGGGGCCGGTAAGAGTCTTGCTGGTGGGCTTATCTGCTCATACTTTTACTCAAAGAGCTGGAACAAATGGATGCATGGTTGTCGGGATTGCAAGGATTATTTACCATCACAAATGGATTTTTTGATTCATGTCCAACTATTATCACCATAAGATAATACTGCCTCAATAAACCAGCTGACGTAACTTATAGCAAATATAGTACCTCGGATTCTGTCATATATAACCTAGGAAGTAATGTTACTTATCTTTCTGTTGGAGTTGAAAGTTAAAGACACAAAGCAATTCTTTAAGTTATATATGTTATAATAAAATCCATGAATTGGCTACATTTATATTGACTTCCTTCATTTTCAATTTGCTATTTTGTCCTAAACAAAATTAACTCATATTGATCTTGGTCAGAACTGGATCATTGTTTGTCTTATTTGAATTGAATGAGGTAGAAATCTAGATGAGACATAATGGTTATTTAGTGAATACAGTGAAGGTAGGGATATTAGACAGTTGATTATGCATATTTATAATTTAATTATTTCAGCAAGAAACTTTAATCAATGAAGAGAGAAATATAAACAGAAAACTAGGTGATATATTTGATGGGATGGAAGATGATGATGATCATGTATTTATAAAGGAAAAGGAGGCTGCCGATACGTCAGAAAACACAATTAACCAACAACTATTAACTATGTTAGATGAATGCTTTACTCTATTCTTAGCTGTAAGTTGTTTTCATATTGTAACCTATACTTCCATAGTAGTGATATCACAGACAAGAATTAGGGGAAGTAGAAACTTGCTCCTCTATATTATAATATGATTTTGCAATCTTTCCATATACGGTCTATGGCCATGGATTAGTTTAATGGAAATTTCTTCCCTTTATTTTTACAAACATGGTGGTCCCATGGAAGTGAATCTTAGAGATAGGCACCATATTTGGATCAGTTCGAAAATCTGATACAAATGAAATGAATTAGTAGAGTTTAACGTACTACTTTTCTGCACTGAATGGGCTACCAAGATGGTGGGTACGCCATACAGTGAGCTATGAGGGAAATTTTGTCCCAACAGTGGCACTACAGCCTACTCTTATTTCGATTTTTCATGCACGTCAGTGTGTACACAGGACCTTGGTTTTTCATCCCATCCAAACGACTATACACTGTCGTTACCAGGTCCTCTGTGATCTTATACAGATTAGCTGTAGTATTTTCCTGCTGTAAATGGGTTTGGTAGAGCTGTAAATAGGTTTGGTAGATGAATGCTACATGACATTACACACAGTCAACACGTCTCCCATCTTCACAACATTATATAGAGCTCAAATTGGCAATGAGAATGTAAACACTTAAAATATTGTGCATTTACCTTTATTGTCCGATAGAAAATAGAAAACATTTACAAAGTTTTTCTAAGCCTAAACTGAAGCGATTATTATTTGAGGGATAATTAACATAGTTGTGCTGAATCTGTGCTGACTGCACTAGTCTGTGAAATGTTAGTCTGTGTGACCTACAGTGTATATGCTGATTGTGCTCCCAGTGTGCAGAAGAATTTATGCCATCTGTCTTAATACCAGATATGAGCAATTCTCCATAGTAATACAGTGAACTGTTAAACACAAAATGATTACTTATGCATATTTAAATTTAACTACAACTTGTATTAATTTTATGAGACAATTTGATCTGACTGCTGGGGAAATCTTATGGTTTAAGACTTTTGACTTACACTGGACCTAGTTAACAATAATTTGTAATAAAACTCATTGATAGGAAAAAAGTTGTTTCTCGTTGCAGTTTTTAAAGATACATTATGTAAGATTTAGATACAGAGCTGGCCATTCTTGCTATAATAGTTAAAAAAATATTAAACGATAAATGATTACGTTGAAAATTCAGTAAAAGATTTAATTGTTTCAGTGGCATTTAGTAATTAAACTGGAATACACAGGTCACAGTTCTATTGATGACAGTTACTGCTTATCACTGAACTATGAGGCTTTTCTTGACTTTATCAAGCAATGATAAAATATAACGTGACAATATATGCATGTAAAAAACAATACTTGGTTAATGCTGTCTGACCAGAGATACCCTTCTAATTACCTTGAAGGAAACTTAACTTACTTAGCGTATTATAATTATGGAAGTGATCACAGTTGTTTAAGGCAATACTAATAACAACATGCCATATGACACAAACCACTTTACTTGAAAATGAAACAAATTAATTAATGGATAACTTGTGATGTATTGAAAATGATTTGATCAGGGCCCTTATTCACGAAAAATTAAACTAAGATACAATCGAAATTTTAAGAAATACTGCAATTCGATTGGCTGACCAGTAAAATCAATTTGCATACATCCAATTTGCATATGATATTGGTCAGCCAATCGAATTGCAGTATTTCTTAAAATTTTTATGTATCTTAGTTTAAAGTTTTCGTGAATAGGGGCCCTGGTTTTAAAGAAAGATGAAATTGAATTAATATTATCAGTAAAAAATATAACACAATTCCACGATATGCGAGCTGGATCTGTAACTCTGCTATATACAGCAGTGAATCAACCTTCAATCAAATATCTCAAAGGCTATCTTCAGGCAAAAATAAATAGAAACACAAAACTGATCTGTAGCTCTTTCTATGAACAACAGTGTACCACATTTAATCAAATATCTCAAAGTTTAAAGATGCATTAATTATGTAAGAGCTAAATCTGGCTATTACAGGTTTATATTTTGTCTTCAAATATTATATGAATTATTATTAAAACATTTATTCACATGACAAGCTTATAATCAGCTCTCTAGATCATCGATGGGGCAGGTGTAAACAGATTAAAATAGGATTGCCATTTAATGATTTAATTTAAAAATGGAGAATGGAGGCTGAGTCTTGATAAACAAGTAATGTTACTACGATAATAAACAATCTGTCAAATCTTCAAACAGTGATAACCTTGATCAGAATTAAAAAAATTGAATGAAATTTTCATTATACTAATTTTAAAGTATCTATTTTGGAACTATTATAGCAATGACAGTCAGCTTTTTATCTAAATCTTACATAATGCGTCTTTAATTAATTAACTTTCCAAAAATAAAAGTGACTGACTGGTGGACGAAAGGATGGAAAGAAAACCTATAGTCCCCACCAGTTTCAGATGTGTGCGATTGATAAGAACAAACTGTAGGGATCTATAAATAGTAACCATATGGCTATTTGATACACCTACCGATGACGTTTCGAATGAAGCTATATTATCATTGTTTTTAAGATTTTTAATTTTATTGTGCGTACAGTAACTAAAATGATTATTTTTGCCGTAAACTAATGCAATATTGATTTTTGAAGCTTTCTTAATTTTTCATGTTAATAAGTTATTTTATCTATACCAGGGCTGTCCAGTAGATAGTATATTACCATGGTTAGATAGAATACAGAAGAATATACCTATAGCTAATATATCAACAACATTTTATATCTGTAAACTAAATGTTGTTAAAAGTACTGGTAATAACAAGAAAATCATGGCTGTTATTGATGAAGCCATTAGAAATGGTGCTAAGGTAAATTTTTACAGCAGTTTTTAGTGTTAATCCATCAAAACCATTTTCATATTCCTTGCCTCAGCCCTCAATCTCACATGTTGGAATAGGAAGATTATTGGTGAAAGAACAAATGAAATATTGTTTAAAATAATTGATATTGTGTAATTGCCTTTTATACGCCCACATGAAAATGTGGTCGTATATTGCCGTCACCCCCGTACGTCTGTCGTCCAGAATTTCTTGTGAACACTCTACAGACTACATTTATCATCTGATTGTTTTGAAATTTATATATTTAGTTTCAGTAGTTTCCGTTAATTACTTCTGGAGTTATGGCCCTTGTTTCATCCAAACTGTATGAAACTTATATGATTCATTTGAATAAGTGAAATGAAGAATCCTATTGAATTTCGGCAATTGCCATCAATTACTTCTAGAGTTATGGCCCTTGATTCACCTTCTGAATGCTCTAGTGACAAAAATTATCGTCCAATCTGTATGAAATTTAAATCCATCATTTAGATTAGTGAAACAAAGAAGCCTTTCGAATTTCTGCAGTTTCTGTCCATTACTTCTAGAGTTATGGCCCTTGTTTTACTTTGTTGAACTTTGTGAATGTTCGAATAACAAAAGTTATCATCCGATCTGTATGATGTTTATATGCATTATTTAAATTAGTAAAACGAAAAAGTCTGTCAAATTTCAACAATTTCTGTAAATTACTTCTAGAGTTAAGGCCTGTGATTCAGTTAGCAGAACCTTGTGAAAAATGATAAAAATTGTAATCTGATCCGTATGAAATTGTCTTGTAAATGCCCCCAATTACCTACAAAAGGATAAATATGTGACAACTGCTGTGGGTTTATGATTCATTGCCTGACTTCCTATCTTTGAGGTATTTTCTCATTAAAATGCCCATACTTACATGTATATTGTATATCATGTTTTGGAAAAGTTATCTTCATCATGGACATTCTCTGACAACCTAGATTTCGGCCACAGATCTCACAAGCATGGGCTTGAACTTGCTTGAAGATTAAAGTTTGGCTTTTGCATCATTGTGTTAACTTTTAGTTTTAGTTGTAAAAGTTTGGCGTAATGTAAACTATTCATCAAAGACACTTGGTTTTCAAATAGCATTCAGATACTATCACTCATTAGCTTTTTGGGGGGGGGGGGGGTGCCTGATTTTTTATAGTTTGATCATTCATTTGATCATACTTTTGAATTTTAGCATTGAAAGGTGGTGCAGTTAACCTTACAGGAATATGTCTTTAATCTTGCTTTATTAAATATTATATTTTAAATGTATTATAGCCAGCTGATAAGCTAGCAGACGTTGTAACATCAACTATAAAGGAGATGCTAGAAAGTAAAGAACATAAGACAGACAATGGAACTGATGTATTAACTACAGATAATATATTTGATTCTATGGCTATAAAATACAGTATCAAACAAGTTACACCATTTACTAGTAATAAAAAAAGGTAGATGCTACTATTATTGGAGAATTGAATCTTCAATTTTTTATGGTTTATGTGTGTATATCTATTCATTGTCATAAATGCTGTTAATTGGGCTTGGGAAGTGTCAAAAGTTAGCTGCACTGTAAACATTCAGATGACATCAAAATGCTTCCGACATCATTATGGTATTCTATCTCATGGGCTGATAAACTTCAATTGCTATGTCATGTTTTCATTGAGTTTACATAACACAGATAATATTGTAGTGTAAATAATAAATAAATCAGGTTCATATTATATAGACACCCACTTTTTATACACCCACATGGTTCATTGTCCACAATTTCTTGTGAACACTCTACAGGCTACATTTATTATTTGATCAGTTTGAAATTTATATAGTTTACATTAGTGAGATGAAGATGAAGAATCCTATTTAATTTCTACAATTTCCATTAATTCCTTCTATAGTTATGGTTCTTGTCATTTTGTTGAACCTTGCGAACGCTCTAACAACTAAAGTTATCAGATCTGTAGTAAATTTACATGTATTATTTAAATTAGTAAAATGAAGAATCCTATTGAATTTCATTAATTTCCGTTTGTAACTTCTAGAGTTATGGTCCTTGTTTCACTTTGTTGAACCTTATGATTAGTTTATCAACCAATATGTATCAAATTTACATGCATTATTTAAATTAGTAAAACGAAAAAAAACTATTGAATTTCAGCAATTTCCGTTTATATCTTATAGAGTTAAGTCCCTTGTTTAACAAAAGTTATCATCCAATCTGTATTAAATTTACATAAATTAATTAAATTAGTAAAACAAAGAAGACTATTGAATTTCAGCAATTTCTGTTAACAACTTCTAGATAATCAGTTATGGCCCTTGTTTATCTTTTTTGAACCTTGTGAACGCTCTATCGACAAAAGTTATCCGATCTATATGAAATTTATATGCATTATTTAGATCACTAAATCAAAGAAGTCTATTGAATTTCAGCAATTTCTGTTAATGACTTCTAGAGTTATGGCCCTTGTTTCAATTTGTTGTACCTTGTGAACGCTCCATCGACAAAAGTTATCTTCCAATATGTATGAAATTTATATGTATTATTTAGATCACTGGAATGAAGAAGCCTTTTGAATTTCAACAATTTCTGTTTATAACTTCTACATTTATGGCCCTTGTTTCACTTTGTTGAATCTTGTCAACATTCGATCTGTATGAAATTGATATCAGTGTCTTGTAAATGCTCCTATTACCTACAAAAGCATATATATATGTGACAACCCTGGTCAACTGCTCGGACTATTTAGATGCTGTGGGCCTATGTTTTGTTGCCTGGCAACCTATCTTTTTTCTCAGTACATTATTCCTGCCATATAATGATATATTATATTATATCAGCTGTTGCTGTTTATTTTAGAAAAAGAAAACCCTATCCTTCCTATCCAATACTAAGGTTTCGGGCTTCTTCATACTGCTGTTATTGGTGAAGCTGCTGTTCGTAGGGTTTAACGTCCACATCCACCGAGGGTGATACCGCAGACAAGTTGTACACCCACAAGGTTTAGAAGGCTTCCTTATCTCCATGCCACATACGCTCTCATCAATAATCAAAACCACGACCACAAGCTCGAGGTGACAAGGCTACTAGGCCATCCCAACCCATCCCAACCCCTCATTATAGTGGTAACTGACTACACCTGCGTTATAGTAAAAACTGTACATAGCTGGGTTTCACTATAACCCTATTAATATCTTGAAGACACCTTTATACCTTTTAATTTAATAGGCTTTTAGTATTTCAGATACATAAATCAATCCTAATATAATTTATGTCCATCTAAAGATCACATTTTTATACGCCCACATTTTTATGTGGACTTATATTGTCGTTTCTCCTGTCCATCCGGACGTCTGTCCATCTGTCCATCTATCTACAATTTTTTTTGTGGGCAGTACAAAGGTCACAATTTTTATCCGATTTTGACGAAACTTGAAATATAAGTTTATATCACAAAGATCTCGGTTCCTTTAGATATTGGCATATACCAGACCGTAACTTCATGGATTATGGCCCCTGATTGTACGAAAAAATCATGTTTTAGCTTGTGGTCACAATTTTCATCCGATTTGGATCAAACTTGAAATACATGTTTATAACATAACCCAAAGATCTTGGTTCCTTTAGTTATTCGCGCATCTTGGTTCGTGACTTCTTGAATTATGGCCCTTGATTTTACAAAAAAAAACGCGTTTTATCCGATATAGGTCACATTTTTATCCGATTTAAAAAAACGTTTGAATATATCACTGTTGCACCCTAATGATTGTTGAGTTTGAATTGGATTATGACCCCGGATTGTACGAAAAATCACGTTTTTAGCTTGTGGACCCTCAAAGCGTCATAATTTTTATCTGATTTTAAAAATCGATTAAATGTTTCACCCGCTACACCCTAATGACGGTTGAAGTCAAATTTCGTGAAAATTGGACCGAAACTGCATGTCAAAATATATCTTTATATTTCAAATATCTCAGTTCCTTTCGATATTTGTGCATTTCTTCTTTTTTTTTTATCTTGTTCTCTATCCATCTCTTGCAAAATGTCGGCTTATCTTACCTGTCAAAAGCTGGTTTCAGAAACAAATAAAGAGATATTGTCTCTTTTCAGGAAAAGAATCTCAGATGGTGGTGTAAGGAAGTTTTCTCCTAGAACTGTAGTAACACCAGTTCGTAGATCAACAAGAAGAAGTGCATCATTTGTTGATGTTCAAACAGATAAAGTGTATGTCTCGTTGAAACAAATGACAGATGAAGAACGTGGTAAAGCGTTATTTCAAACTAATGTAGCACTTGGTGGATTTTAGTTGCTTAACATACAGCAGACGCCATTGGTTTTTTGACTACCAAACCAGTCCTGAATGCCCAATAATACTAATTATTTTCCGTTCAACTATTTCAGAGTTCAAATATCATTTGAAAAGTTGTGTTTTTCATATATATATTTTTTTAGGATATTTATACCAATATATTAAAAACAGTTATTTGGCTTATTATATACCAATGCACTTATATTCTACCATAACCATTGAGTAGATTTATTTCATGAATGTCACTTGTGTAGTTAATTTTTAACATGTTATATTTGTCCTCTATATATTTATGATATTAAGTCAGTTGGGTTGTCCTGACTATAAATCTGGCCCAATTTCCTAGAGATTTGTTAGTTTATATATGTGGTATGGCTACTACAATCTGTATAGATGTCTTATTATTTGTAGTAAGCTAAATAAAAACTACCGGTATATTATAATAGTGCCAAATATTTAATTAAATGCAATTTTTGTTTGTCATGGAAATATAGACAGTTTAAAATAAATTTGATCAGATATTGCACTAAAAAAAACCCAACAAAACAATTATACCATATTTCCAAGAAATTCTTGAACATCAAAAAAATCAAAAATTTCCTAATATTTTTATATACCGGTAATCTTAACCTGCTTTCCAAACTTAAACCTTATCTATATGCTAGTTTGTGTATGTACCAATATATAGTATATCTTTTTGCAACTAATAGTTGGAGTTACATGTATGTATATATTATATCTATCTAGTCTTAAATACCATATTACATTTATTATGTACATGTTTGCCGAAATTATTAATACTGGCAAATGTTTTGTTTCTAAATAGTTTCCATCATGCTGAAATGAATTTTAAGAAAATATATATTATTTTAAATTTAAAACATTTAAATAATTTTTTAATGAAAATCCTCCATTGAAAATTCTGTATACTGTGTAAATGTATTCAAATACATACAATATAAATGTTACAATTTGTGCTCATATTATTATATTTTTATGTGCCCACACTGAAATGTAGTCGTATATTGTCCTCACCCCTGTCCGTCCGTCCAGCGTCCACAAGCAATTGTGGACACTCTAGAGGCTAAAGTTAATATCCAATTGACTTAAAATTTATACACAGTCGTTAATGTCGTGCGATGAAGAAGCCTATTGATTGTTAGAATAAGGCAGAACTAGAAGCCAAATGGGTTGTTACTCGTAATCAGATTTTAGTATGTTGTAAATGTTTTCATTTCTGACAAAAGAAAAAAATATGCCACAACTCTTGTTGACTTCCCGGACGACTTAGCTACTGTGGGCGTATGTTTCATTGCCTGGCAACCTATGTTTGTAAATTATTAATACTTCTGTAATTTTGAGTAATGGATTTTACAGATTTGTAATGTGTTATTAAACTCCCATTTTTTTTTAGCTGTTTCGTTCTATAATAATTATAAAGGAGCATATTTACAAACCAAATTTATTTTTCCCCCCCCCCCTTGTATAATTCTGCCAATTTCGATAGCTTTCATTCCATACCCATATCACTACAATTATAGCCTTGCACCCAAAATAGACAGTATACATGCTCAGTAACCAGGATGTCTTGGATTAACTCCCAGTGTTGGCTGAGATGGTTCCTGAGGTTTTTCCGTTATGATTTCCCCTTGTCAGTGGTGCAAGACGAAGGGCCTTCCAGAGAACAGCGTCCAGTACACATATTGGTGGTATGCGCTTAAAAGAAACCTTGCCAGTTCAAATTCAAAGTAAGAGTAAGAGGCCATAGTGCTGCTGTTCGGGCGTATGCCATCTTTATTAGCGCAGTCGGTGAAGAAAAGTGGGACATTTAACCCATTTTCGTTACTAACTAGGGTGATATGACAAACAAATGTTTCCTAAGAAACTTGCCTGACAGGCCAGTCAAGATTTAGGGGTTAAAGTCACTTCCATTCCCTTGATTAAATAGAGGCTATCCTGTATTTTGAGATACATTGCCTAATGAACCATTATCTTCTGTTTCTTCCAATCTCCTGTTATATCACATTAAATACTACTATGTTTCAATTTTTCAACATTCTTGGTGCCAAATATTGGACTTAAGGAATCTCAATCGATAGCTGTAGCGAAGGGACATAACTCATGGTCTTAAAATATATTTTTATATCCCTTTCGATATTTGCCATTTCAGACCATAAGTTTCTGGATTATGACCCCTGATTGTACGAAAAATCGCTTGTTCTCTGTCCATCTCTTGCAAAATGTGGGCATATCTTGCCTGGCAACCGCTGGTTGGATGTTACAGTTATATTGTCAAATAATGGCGTACTAAAAACTGACCTATATCATAAACCAACAGATACACGCCAATACTTAAAGGAGCTAACTCGCTAATATTTGGGACCTAGAAATTGACACAAATGGGTCGCAACGCATATAATAATGTAATATGAGAGTATATAAACTGATTTACATTCAATCATTTCTGTTTTTACTGTAATTTCTAATCAGCTATGTTCGGCGCAATACGCCAGAAGTCTCAATCGAATGGGATTCTCTAGCATATGGTTATTCCAGTCTGCACCGATCGTATTTATTGTGCATGTTCTCCAGATAAAAATATGACGTCACCATTTGACATGAATTGTGGAATATTTCTAGCCTTGTTCTTCGAGTCCCTTGTTGCAAGTGGAGCTGAAACCATTATTATACACGATTTGTGTACCAATGGTAAAATGTTTATTTTGTCTTAAATATTGCATATCAGAAGCCCACCTTTTCCCGGTAAGATCACAACATCAATGTTGATTTAAATTGACAAATAATTCGTGTTTTCAATGTCGACTTAGCTGCTTTAAATTTTAATTCATGCCACCCTTCACATACATGTCAAAATATCATAATACGCCAATATCGCAAATTCAATCTCAAAATTTAAATTTTCCGTCATTTTCATAGATGCAAACCCTATTTTCCAACATTTTCTGCGGGGAGAGCACCCTAGACCCTTCTCCACCAAAGGGAGGCATGACCACGGTGCCGTTCGCTGTAGACCGTCAAGTGTAGGTACACCTGTGCCCCAAGAAGCCCCATCGGCGCCTCCAGAAGCCCTTGCCCCCCCCCCCAACATTTTTGGGCTATAGTGATGGGCCTGTTAATTGAGCTAGAATGTTCAAACTTGCGTGTATTAGGTCAATGCCTAGATAGGTTTTGAAGATGAGCATTTTCTGCTATGGGGAAGCAGAGATAAGCAATTTGATTGGTTGATGATTTTGGGCACGAAAACTTTGGTTATAATTAAGTGAGAGCGATGAAACTCTGAGTATAGATTCATTATATCATTACCTCGACTAAGTTCGATGATGAGAATTTTCTATATGTAGGCTAAGGGGCGATAAGCAATTTGATTGGTCAGGCCTTTGGAACATTATAACTCTGCTTTTAATTGAGATTTAGATGTTTATAGATGAATGTCTTGACTGAGTTCAATAATTAACATTTACCGCAAGCTAAGCAGGGCTAAGCAATTTCTTTGACTTAAGTCTTTGATTCTATATTATATGACAGAGAGTGATGAAACTTATAGAATTGATCAAAGTGCAATTAATTCATTTCTGGATTTCAGCGGGTGAAATATATTATACGTGAATACTTTTGATTTTAAAGAAATTTATTTTCCTCGGTTAAAACCATATATAGTGATATAGATTTATAGAGAAGTCTCGCTGCCCGGTTAGTGTGAACTGCAAGGTAAGACAACTCTGTTTGGGTATTGACGCGCGTGGTGAGCCAAATGAAATTAGACACGTGATCGTCAAGATGGCACCCGGCGAGGTAAACATTTCAGAATTTCATTCATATTACTTTACTGGTGATAAGTGTGGTAGAGCAATGCAATTGTGTTTAGTTACAGTTCTAATTTTTGTTTCTAGTCTTCAATTTACCAAGCTGTGCTACTGAGTTATGGCTTTTACCTTTTTCCATTGAGACCCAATGGAAACACAGCACTTCCGACCTTCAGTCCTTCTCTGTCTTTTTTATTTATCGTTGAGTCTATAGGCCTATTAAAAATAAATGTTTTAAATGATGGATAATTTATAAATCATGTTTTAAAGATACATATTAATCTTGCATTTCTGAAATGTACGATACAACATCAGATCATGATGATAACACATGAGGTTGATTTCATGATCGTGTAAAGGAACCACAGATAAATTCTTGCAAACAAGAAAAATTGAATTCAACATAAATATGGGAATTTTGAAATTCACGATTTTATGGTGTAGCCATGACCGCATGGGGTATAAAATTTGTTTTTCCTAAAAACTAGGGTCAGCACTATAATATGGTTCTGAACACTGGTGAACCGTCAAAGGTTTGGAGGCCATGCCATTACCCTGAGACTGGCTCATTGTTTATTCAGCAGATAGGCATAATATAAAGATTCCAAGGCCCAGTTGACACAGTGTGACCGGCACATTATCTAAAAACATCTGCCAGCTGTCAGTACTCTGTGACAGGTCTGCATGGGTTCGTCAGTGCTGACATTTTTCATCGTCAGCTATGGTTTCCGGTGTTAACCTTTGGTTCTCACCCTTTGTGCCTACCTTTTACTAGTAATATAGCAAGAATCGTCAGCTCTTTATCTAAATCATACATAATGCATCTTTTAGTTTGGGACTCGACTGAATCTGTCAATTCTGTACATTTGTCATGTCTGTTAACTTTTTTTTTTCTCAGGATTTTCGGGCAAGAGTTGAACTGGCATCACAAGCTGGAGAAGAGTTTTACCAATTATTTTATGACACAGTGGACAAGAAAAGACATGTAAGAAATTTACAACTTAAGAGAGGAGTTTAATCCCATTTTGTGACCTTAGAAAATAAAATGGGCTTATCTTGAAAAAAAAAAAAAAAATATGTAATCTGTATTGTATTTGGTGAAATAGATTATTCTATTTCTATCTGACATTATTTTTGTATAGTCTGCTGATACTTTTAGAGCTTAATTTAACCAAAATACAATACCCATTACTGCCATTTCCTCAGTTAGAAAAGTAAACTGTTATGTTTACAGATTTCAATAAGATGGGATAATAATAATAACCTTAAATCCAAGAAAACAAATGTCATATGTTTTCAACTCTGTCTGGAGGTTAAAGTTATCATCAAATTAACTTGAATTTTATACACAGTATTTATGTTCATGTGATGAAAAATCGATTTCAGATAATTGCTGTCAGAGTTATGGTCCTTGATTAATTTGAAAAATCTTATGGTGCTCTACGGGCTAAAAGTATCATCCCATAGACTAGAAATCTATGCACAGTGCTTGTGTTCTTTTCAACAATTTCAGATAATTACAGCCACCGTTATTGCCCTTGATTACTTGATGTTCATGAGACCTTGATTATCAACAATTTCCGATAACTAAAACAGTTCAAGTTATTATCTTATTACCCTGATTACCGGTACCTGTTTTGTATAATAAATGGTACATGTAGCACTTGGAAGAAGTAAAAACCTATTCTGATACCGGTAATTACTTCATAGTACATGGGTTGTTACTGTTTATTATCAGGTTTTAAATGCCCCCATGGCTATTACGTATAAAAGAATAAATATGTGACAACCTTTGTGGACTTCTTGGATGACTTAGTTGCTGTACGTATGCCGAGTATATTTTGTTGTCTGCCAACCCATCTTTATCCTGGCAAGGTAAAAGAAACGAATCAAATACATGACCTAACTTTAATGTTCATGTAGATTGTCAGTAAGAAAATTTATCTAATTGTGTGTTTATTTCTTTGAATCTAATTTTGATTGAAAATGATAATATGTCTTGATTCTTAATGGTTATTGAAAAGCTCCTCTTTTGACAAACTTTTTGTAGTCAATCTAATATTGAGCTACAGACATAAAAAGTGAAAATATTGATTTTGGTCAAAATTGAGATCTTCACAAAAATGAGTCTATTAATATACTATCTTATCAACCTAAAATAAAACATTTTGAAACACCTTTATTTGGACGTTTTGTAAGAGTACTGTATTCATAAATCTTTCTGTTTTCTTAAAATTCTCAGCGAATTAGTTATTTTTCTTCGCTTGCTGTGAGGCGATCAGATAATCCCCTTGCGTAGTACTTGGCATCGTTAAGAAGTTTAAAAACGTAAACAACCTTAGCCTGTTTCAATTCAGCGCAGCGTTACTTGTTCGATGATTGCCCTAGACATCCCACGTGGCATATCATAAATTAAACATCTAGGTTAAACCCGAAACTTTTCATTGAAAAATACTAATCAGTTGTCATTGATTAATGAGTCGTTGATTGATAATTGTCAATGATATATATGAAACCTTTCCCAAGCCATTATTTACCCTGAATAATTAATTCAAGCGGTTATTAATTGACATTTCGTTTCGTCTTTAAAAAAAAAAAAATCATAAATTTGTTTTGATAGTTGAATTTCATTTACTGTGGCTTCATACGGCATATAAAATGTTGTACATCTAATTGGATAATATTGTTTCAAATATTATTAGCAAGGTTCGGAAACATTAGAACAAAGAACGAGTCGAAAAGCGATGAATCTCAAGGGAGAAAATTCTCTGCCGTTTGTTTCACTATACCAAAATGCCTTAAAGTGAAAGGCATCTCTTACAAATGAAATTGAAATTTCTATCATTCTATCATTATAGTATCAGTGATTTAGATTTTGATACCCTTACGGTACCTGAAAATAATATGTACACGCAGATAACAGAACACACGTATAGGTGTGGCAGCTTCTTTGATCGTCAAGAAATTAAACTTGATTACCCAATATGAATAAACTAAACTTGATTACCCAATAGACAAATTTAATCTCTTGACCACTAAAGGTGCTAATTAATTAATGAGATTAACAGAAGTTATTCTCATAAAAGTTATAACATACAAAACATAGACTACTAAACTATGGAGTATTCTCATTGGAGTATTCTCATGTGTTCTAAATTGTAACACTGTCATAGGAAATGTTTTTATTGAATGACAAAATAGCAAATAAATTGCCTGGTTGCTATGAGATTTTGTTTTGGAACATACCAACATCTTTAACATGCTTTTTCTCAAAACTTACATTCCTGACTTTGGCAGCTTCAAACGGACACAGCTCAGTCAATTCTTGTCCGAATTAAACCAACCATACATCATTTTGAAGGTATTGAATTGGAGAATGTGAAAACAACAATAACTCAATTTTTAAAATTTCCTCATTGTAACTTATTATGCCAGCAAGGGTCACATTTGTTCTGTTTTACACATGTAGCTAAGCAATATTGATAGTTTGAAGTATGTGTACTTTCGTTAGATATGTTGGTATTTAGAACACAAGATAACAAATGTAATTTATAAAGGCTGATTTACGCAGTGCATCCATTGGTCCATCCATCGTCCAGACTTTCTTCTGAATGCTGTATTAATGAAATTTATCATCTGAATTGTTGAAGGGATGTGTTAAAATTTAAATTTATTTTTTATATTTAGTGAAATGAAGAATCCTATTGAATTCCAACATTTTCCCTATATTACTTCTAGAGTTACAGCCGTTGTTCCACTTTTTAGAATTTTGTGTTTTGTTTCCAATTTAATAATCCTTTTTATATGACCATTTTTTATGTGAAAGCATATTATTGTTACTTGTGTCCCATTGTTCTCAACAGTTTCTTGTGAACACTATACAGATCAGGGATGGTCCTTGTGTCATAATCAACCCCTGTCTTCATTATTCTGATTGGTGCAAAAAAGTAGGAGTTAAACCCCATTACATGTCATTTTTATCCAACATAGAAATTTGATGTGAACACTCTAGAAACAACATTTATTATCTGATCTTTTTAAAATATTTATATGTTGTTAACATTAGTAAGACAAAGAAGTATACTATATTTCAACAAATTCCGTTAAATATGGCCCTTGTTTCACTTTGTAGACCCAGGTGAACGACAAAAGTTACCATCTGATCTGTATGAAATTAATATGCATTATTTAAATGAATGAAACGAAGAAGCCTATCGAATTTCAACAAATTCTGTTAATTACTTTTAGAGTTAAAGCCCTTGTTTCACTTTGTTGAACCTTGTGAACGTTCTATCAACGAAAGCTATCTTCCGATCTGTACGGAATTTATATACATTTTTTAGATTAATAAAATGAAAAATGTAATTGAATTTCAGCAATTTCCATATAACATCTTTAGTTATGGCCCTTGTTTCACTTTGTCGTACCTTGTGAATACTCTAACAACAAAAGTTATCATCTGATCTGTATTAAATTCATATACATTATTTAGGTATGTACAATGAAGAAGACTATAGATTTTCAGCAATTTCTGTTGATAAGATCTAGAGTTAAGGCCCTTGTTTCACTTTGTTGAACCTTCATTGATATTCAGTGTACATAGAAAAAGCTTCCATTACCTACAAAAGAATAAATATGTGACAACCCTTGTTGACATGCTGGACGAATTAACTGCTGTGGGCATATTTTTCATTGGCTGGCAACCTGTCTTTTATTAATACCGTAACTATGAGGAAATTCAGAATTATTTTTCTTCACAAATTCTTTATTGTCAAACTTATGAAATCTTGTGATCACAATAGAGCTGTTCATTCATTATTTTCAAGCCCATCTAACCTTGGCATTTTATGAACGCAAGTTTTAGATCTATGTGATTTGCAGAAATAACTTTATTGTACATTTCAACTTTCATAGTGTCTCAAATATGAGTTAGCCTTTACAAATCTATGAGACAGTATCTGTTATCAATATAGGACAAGGGTGCATTTATTCACTACATGTATTAATACTGAATACAAGTAGGTTGTGGCAGTTGATAAGTGTCCTGTAATCATGATCACAATGGAAATGGGAAGGAGTTATTGATATATTTCGTGGAATTGCAGGGAATAGTTCAGATTTTGTTAGTGACTTGTTGTAGTTCACTTTGAGTGGTGACACGTAGGGCTTACATGATACATATGATTCATGAAAAATATTATGTTATGTGTTAATGGTGTTATTTCCTTTCCTTCACAGGAATGGTAACTACCTCACAAATCTCAAATATGGATGACATCGTTACCAAGGCAACTGTTGCTAAGGAAATGCCATTAGCAGGAAGTACGTCTGATGTCATCAACGTGTTTTATCACGCCTTGTTGGAAAATGACATGGATGTTGTTAAGGATGTAGTCGTCAATCAGAAAGTGAATATTAATTTGATATTCAAGGAAAGTTTTAGTTATGTTCAACCATGGCATAGAGAGTGGGGTGCTATTCATATAGTAACCAAACGTGCAATTGTAGAATCATTAAAGTTTATTATTGAGTTGGGTGCTGATGTGAATCTTGAAAATAAACATGGTGACAACGCTCTTCATATAGCTAGTAAATATGGATTAGTTGATTGTGTTGAATATTTGTTGCAATCTAATATAGAATTAAAAGATAAACAAAATATCGCAGGATTAACACCTTTGATAAAAGCCGTATTTAAATCTGAACATGCTTTTCGTGGACAATTTAGAAAAACAATACAGTTACTTTTAGATTCTGGAGCTGATCCAAATATTTGCCCGGTATCTGGAATAACACCCTTACATTTAGCTGCTAGTAAAGCTGACGAAATTTTGATACAACTTTTATTATCTCATGGTGCTAAAGTTAATGCTGTTTGTTCACAAGGCACCAGTCCACTTTTGAAAACACTTCTTCTTCGACACCAGAAGTCATCTTGTGTTAAGATTTTACTAGATGCAGGGGCAGATGTCAATATTTCAACAGTCGCAGGAAGAACAGCATTGCATTTGGCTGTTGCTAAGAGTGAAAATGAATGTGTACTTAATATATTAGAGGCCAATGCAGATCCTAATGCACAAGATAAATATGGTAAAACCCCATTATGGATTGCTGTTCAAGAAAATAATGTTCAAATAGTTCATCTTTTGTCTAAATTTGGTGGAAATGTCAACTATCAGCTACCAATCCGCAAGTTTTCACTGTTGTCATTAGCAATCTCTGAAGGATTGTATGACATGGTCTGTCTGCTTTTACATCTTGGGGCATCTATTTTCACAGAAACTGTTATGGGTGCAACACCACTTTACATTGCAGTTGAAACACAAAATATGCAAATAATTAAATCTCTCCTCAAAGCTAATTGTGATTTAGATGTTGTAAGTAATGCTAGGCATTCTTTAATACCACAAACCCCTATACAAGTTGCTATAGAGATTGGTAATTTAGAAGTTATCCATCTGTTACTAAGTGCTGGTTGCAAGATGAAGCCAGGTTGGATACAGCCATTGATATCACCACTTTCAGCAACTCTACCAACTAATCTAGCAAATATCCAAACTTACTTAAAAGATTATTTGAGTCATGTAAGATCTCTTAAAACACTCTGTCGAGATAGTATTCGAATTTTCATGAAACAGGACATACAGTCTAAAATGGATGCATTAGTTGCAGAGACTTATATTCCAGCTCGTTTAGCAGACTTTGTTTTATTGACTGATTTAGTTCAACCATAAAAAGATTATATTTAAATAAGATATTTTAAATAAGGCTGTGACTTTTCTTTAATACATTTATGATAATTATATTTATGCACATTTAATCTTTTTGCAAACCTTTGTCAATATTTATTTTATTCTTATATTCCTTTATCTACTATATTTATTGAAAATTGATTTTGAATAATATTATTGTTCATGCATAAATATTTGAACTAAGATTTAATATTTGCTTTAAACTTTACAATCTTTAAATGTCACTGTTGGCCTGTTTCATTTCTAATTGAGGCAGAATATTCAGATTTGGTGTAGATGGCCTTTCAGTGAATGTTTTAACTGGGTTCGATGATGAGCATTTTCTGCTAAGACCAAGCATCTCTGTCTATCACACATTTTGGAACACAATTAATGTGTGTCTGAATGATGTAGAATATTCAACTTAATGTAGATGTTCGCTAAGTGAATTTTTAGGGTGAGTTCTGTTTAGTCTAAGCAGAGGTAAGCAAATTGATGACTGAGACTTTAAACCCAAATAACGTTAATTTTCATAATGTGCATTTTTTTTCTTAGGATATGTAGAGTGATAAACAATTTGATTGCTCGAAGCTTCATAAAAAGATAAATGTTCAAGTAATTAATGATCTGAAATGAGTTTGGGGTTAGCCACACTGCTGGTTAGTTTTTCCTTAAGACAGTTGATTTTTATTATTTATGCAGCTTGAAACTCTGTAATCTCATTTTTTTAATATTTTTGCCCATCAATGCAAAACAATTACAGTTTGACTCAAAATTACCAGTAAATGGATTGACATGTTTGAACCAATAAAAATCAAGTTTTACTAAACAGAAAAGTGACAATTTTCTATGCAATATATGGAAATTGTGCAAGAAATGACTTCTCATGTACATACATGTAATCCTCAACAAATGCAAATAATGGTGAATATAATGTGAAAATCTGAGGTATTCACTCTATTTATTCACAATATTGCCCGTCTTCATTAGCCCAGTATAGGAGCAGAACAGTAGGACGTTAAACCCCATTTCATTTCATTTCATTTATTCACAATATTGAATTTCACAGCAGACTGAAAACCTGATTAAAATCAGAAATTCTTATAAACACTCTGAAGTTCAGAGATTGTGAAAAGTTATTATTGCTATCATGATTTACATTACATTAAGCTATGACATTCTTCTATGTCTTCAAAAAACTGTTGGTGAGTGAGCATCTTTTTCTAGGGTTATTATACGCCCACATTTTCATGTGGACTATTAAGCAGTCGCCCCTGTCCATCTGGACGTCCATCCAGAATTTGTTTGTGGACACTCTACAGGTCACAATTTTTATCCAATTTTGACAAAACTTGAAATATAGGTCTATCACCCAAAGATCTTGGTTCCTTTCGATATTGGAATGCATCGGACCATAACTCCATGGATTATGGCCCCTGATTGCACGAAAAATCATGGTTTTAGCTTGTGGACCCTCTAGAAGTCACAATTTTTATCTAATTTTGATGAAACTTGAAGTGTATGTTTATAACCCAAAGATCCTGTAACTGCCTGGATTATAACCCCTGATTGTACGAAAAATTGTGCTTTTTAGCTTGTAGATTCCCTAGAGGTCACAATATTTATCTGATTTTAAAAACCGTTTAAATATATCACCATTCCTTCATAATGAAGGTTGAATTAGAATTTTAGGAAAATCATAACGAAACTGCCCAACAAAATGCCGCTCTTTGTACCCAAATTGTGTAAAAGTATGTAATACGAAGGTTGTGGACCCTTTAGAGGTCACAATTTTTATCTGATTTTGATATATGAAACTTAAAATATATCTTTATATCACAAAGATCTCAGTCCCTATCGATATTTGTGCATTTCAGACCATCTGAATTAATGTCTCTGATTGTACGAAAAATCGCTTTTGTTTATCTTGTTCTCTATCCATCTCTTGCAAAATGTGGGCGTACGTGCCTGGCAACTGCTGGTTTTAATGGTAGCACAAGGAGATGGTTAACTTAAAGTAATATTAATTTTATATCACAAAAATATGAATTTTATATTGCTGGTGATTTCTATTGATATTGTCAGATTATTCTTACTTGAAACTTTTTAAATATTAAATTTTAAGTTTAATAAATTATTTCTATTGACATGTTTTAATCATTTGAAAAAATGGGAAAACAAGATCTTTACAGCTGTTAAAGGTTAAGCTCCATTACAAATCAATCACCTTGAAGTATCTGAGATATTCTGGAAATTATTTTGTATACCCAACAAGATACTACATTATTACTAGAGGGATATAAGGGACATGCTGTTACAATGTGGATAACAGATGATTTTAAAACAATAATTACTGGTCGTGTGTTTTTGATATGTTCATGTATTGAAATTTATAAGAAATTGAATGGTTTTCTTGTACCAAGTGAAACTAGCTTGCTGGCCCTTGAGGAATTGATTGGTTTTCTTGTACATGTACCAGGTGAAACTAGCTGTTGGCCTCAAAGGGTGCTTGAAAATATATGGTTTGTGCAATAATTTGTCTTGTACTAATTGAAACTACCTTGCTGGCCCTTGAGGAATTGATTGGTTTTCTTGTACCAGGTGAAACTAGCTGTTGGCTTAACGAATTAAATGGAAGAAAATTTATTGTGCAAACCATATATTATATGGTTTGCACAATAAATTTTCTTCCATTTAATTCGTTGACTTTATAAAACCTACAACAGAACAGAACAGTTGGACTCAGTCCTAGAAGGAACCCACCATTCCTCCAGGAGGATTTTTGTTCGCCAACATTTTCATGTGGACATATATTGTTGTCGCCCCTGTCCGTCCGTTCACATTTTGTTTGTGGACACTCTACAGGTTACAAGTTTTATCCAATTTTGATAAAACTTGAAATATAGGTTTATATCCCAAAGATCTTGATTCCTTTCTATATTAGCATGTATCGGACCGTAACTTCCTGGATTATGGCCCCTGATTGTACAAAAAATCCTGTTTTTAGCTTTTAGACCCTCTAGATGTCACAATTTTTATCAGATTTTAAAAATTGTTTAAATATATCACTGTTACACCATAATTATGAGTGCATTCAAATTTTGTGAAAATCGGATGTAGACTATCAGACAAAGTGGCCGCTCCCTTTTACGCAAATAGTGTAATAAGCATGTAATACCAAATGTTTATATCCCAAAGATCTTGGTTCCTTACACTATTGATGCATTTTGGACTGTAACATCCTGGATTATGGTTCCTTGTTGTTTGAAAAATCACTTCTTTAGCTTGTTCTCTTTCCATCTCTTGTAAAATTTGGACGTATCTTGCATTGGTGCCAGAAAATTCTAACCTAAGTAACATTTATGGTTTGATATAACAGTTTATATTCCTTGTCTTACTTTGTTTTGGATAATTTATTCAACAGTTACTAAAGAAATTATATGAAGAATCAGCTACATGTGTTTGGAATGGTAATACATTTAAAGGAGCTACAGACATTGTACAGTTTTATGAAAGTCTACCCATAACACAGCATAATATTACATCTATAAATGCTGTACCATTGTTAGGTAATCATAATTACCAGTAAATCTTCCACTTCATATTGCACAAGATGCTGCTGGTGGCCAACTGACAAAGCTATGCTGGCTATGCCTTGTGTGTTGAAACCTTGTTACTGAAATCTGACTATAACCATGGTTATGCCAGGTGTACTGATACAGAGGAGGTGGGGTCTCTCTCTACCCCTCTTTTCTATTATCATATATTATGTTACGTAGCCAGATGTCTAGAGCTCACAATTTTTATCTGATTTGGGTATGAAACTTCATATGATATATCCCAAAGATCATAACTTATTGGATTATTGCAACTGATTGTACAAAAATCACCTAAATAACGTCTAGAGGTCACAATTGTTATACCCCCAAACAGTGGTGAGGGCGGGCATTTGCCCCCCCCCTCCATAAATTAGGTCTGCCTTCTCTGTTTGCTCCTCCCCCCCCCCCCCCTAGATAATTTAAAGAAATAAAAAAAAATATTTGTGATGTTTCAGTAATCAATACCTTTACGGTGATTAAATCGAACCCATCCTGCTGTAAACCTACTATAAACAATAACATGTAAACCACAAATGCTTTTTAAGATCCTCAAAAATTTTGGGTATGGGTTCAATGCGGCAAGAATATTCATTGTCCCCCGCCTTTCGAAGAAAGCAGGGGACTATTAAAATGGGTTCGTCTGTCTGTCTGTCCATCCGTCTGGCTGTCCGTCACACTTTTTGGACACAATAACTCCTTTCTAATTGAGCTAGAATGTTCAAACTTGGTATAGGTGTTTATTAGGTCAATGCCTTGATGGAGTTTGAAGATGAGCATTTTCAGCTTAGGGTAAGCAGAGATAAGCAATTTGATTGGTTGATGCTTTGGGACACGATGACTTTAGTTCTAATTAAGTGAGAGTGATGAAACTTGGTGTATAGTTTCATTACATCAATACATTGACTAAGTTCGATAATGAGCATTTTCTGCTCAGGGTAAGCAGAGCGATAAGCAATTTGATTGGCCGAGACTTTGGAAAACAATAACTCTCCTAATTAAGCTAGAATGTTCAAACTTGGTGTAGGCGTTCATTAGGTGAATGCCTTGATGGAGTTCAATGATGATCATTGTCTGCTTACGGTAAGCAGAGACAAGAAATCTGATTGGTTGATGCTTTGGGGCATGATAACTTTAGTTTTAATTAAGTGAGAGTGATGAAACGCTGAGTATAGATTCATTATCATTACTTTGGAACATAACAACTCTGCTTTTAATTGAGGTAGAATGTTTTAACTTGATGTAGATGTTCATTAGGCGAATGTCTTGACTGAGTTCAGTGATTAACATTTCGAGCTAAAGCTAAGCAATTTCATTGGTCGATGCTTTGGAACAAGATAACTTTCATTCTATCTGATAGAGAGTGATGAAACTTAGTGTATTGTTGATAATCAGTTTGATCGCTTGATACTTTTGAAAAATATAAATGTGCTATTAATTAATATGTGTCATCTATTTATTTTGGGATTTTGGCAGGGAGCATCAGCCTCACTGTTGGCTTGTTCACTTTGATTCACTCACTCCATTCGATTGACACACCCCTCTATGTTCGGATAAGCTAGTGATTTGGCGCTGTAAGCGCCCGCTACTTTGGTGCTGATGAGGGTCTTCGTCAAGGTTGGTAGTCCATTCGTTTGACACGTTTCACTCTGATCGGATAAACTAGTGGTCAGGCAGTCTGTTTTTCAAAAATTTCTGGGGCAGATCTCCCATACCCCAAGTTGAAGCTTGCGCCGTTTCCCCCCTAACCTTGGACTTTGCCCCAGTTTTGCCCCTCCAACCTGTCAGACTGTCTGTCAATAATTGGCATTAGAATGCGATAGAGACTACAGTTTTTGACAGATATTTTTCAAATTTCGTATGAAGCATTGTAGTCATGAGAGGATGAACCCCGTCTATTCAGTGTTCTGTGACTTTCTGTTCCAGGGTTTATCCCCCCCCCCCCCATTGCAAAAAAACTTGTGAATGCGAAGAGGTTACAGTTTTTAATGAATTTTCTTTCAAGTTTGGTTTGAAGAATTGAGGTCATCTGATCGTTTGCTGAAAACCTTTTGAATGCGATAGAGGCTACAGTTTTTAACACTTTCTTTTCAAATTTGGTGTAAGCATTGTGGTCTTGGGAGGACGAAGACAAACCCTATAAATAACCAGTGTTCTGTGACCTTCCGTACCAGAGTTACCCCCCTTTGGCAAAAACCTTGTGAACACAAGACAGGCAGTAGCTCTTTTCAAATTTGGTGTCATGGGAGGACCAATATTCAGCATTCTTTGACTTTCAGTAAAGCATTTAAAGCATTTAATAAAGCATTTAATACATATACCAAGATTGTGAACCCTCAAGAGGTCACAATTCTAATCCAATTTTTCACACACAAATAATTATATACAATTATTAAAATTCATTGCTTTTTATTCAGTTAACATTACAAGCAAGGTTATGACATATAAGTATTATCAAATCTTATTTATTGAAATTATTTCTAATTATCATTTCAGAATCTTTAACACCTGGACAGACCACCATTGTTGTTACTGTTTTTGGAACTGTGAAATATGATAAACAAACCAAATCATTTTATCAGAACTTTACCCTTTCATCACATTCTACAGTGTGGAAAATAATCAGTGATGTGTTCAGATTTTTAAATCAATAATAACTACACCTAATTTACTGTTCACAGATTAAAGACATTTTTTTTTTCAAAAAGGAAGAAGTAAATAAATTCATCAGTGAATAGAGTTTTATGTTTGCCTCCACCTCCACAATAAAGACTACATTTACATTTATCATTCATAGTTGAGTTTTTAGCCCATTTGAATGTTTGTGAAATAAATAAATTCTATATATGTATGTTCATTTTATTGGACCAGTTTCTTGTTTGCCATGACCGTACCATGTCAGATGTTCCTAAATCTAGAGACACCTGGCAAATTTCTTTTATCAGGGGCCCTACTTTCTGAGCACTGAAATTATAGGAAAAATCTTTGCTCTTGGCCAATGAAAGGGCAGCATTCATTTTGAATAACAGCGTTATTCTATTCCAGAATTGGGAGGCCGAATGGTTAATGTGTGAGCATTGGATCAGAAGGTCTTTCGTCAAGTGGCATGGTTTCGATTCCCGGCTTGTACGTGACAAGGATTAGGGTCGCCTGACCAACTTTGTGGGTTTTCTCCAGTTCCTCCACTTTCCTCCCACAGCTGAGGAACCCTACGCGTTAGCGTATTATTGATAAAAAGTTGAACCATATGATTATTAGTCCCAAAATGACCTAGTTTGTGTCGAGTGGACATTAAACTCTCTCTATCTCTTTCATTAAATTGATTCGATTTTAATGAAACTTGAAGTACATGTTTATACCCCAAGAATCTTGGTTCCTGTTGATATTCGCGCATATCGGATCGTAAATTCCTGAATTATGGCCCTTGATTGTACGAAAAATCGCGTCTTTAGCTTGTGGTCCCTCTAGAGGTCACAATTTTTTTACGATTTAAAAACCCGTTTGAATATATCGCCGTTATATATAATGGTTGAGTTCGAATTTCGTGAAAATCGGACCAAAACTGCCAGACAAAATGGCCGCCTATGTAATATGTGGACCCCCTAGAAATCACAATTTTTATCTGATTTTAATGAAACTTAAAATATATCTTTACATCCCAAATATCTCAGCCCAGTTCGATATTCGCGCATATCAGACCATAATGTACTGGATTATGGCCCCTGATTGTACGAAAAACTGCTTTTTTTTTTAGCTTGTTCTCTACTCATCTCTTGCAAAATGTGGGCGTATCTTTCCTGGCAACCGCTGGTCTATTATACATGTAACTTTTATTAAATTATTAACCAAAGGCTCCACCCACTGTGTTATTTGATGGTCTAATGTTATCTGTTGGTTGGGTCAGCTGACCATTTGACTTATAACACAAATGACCATCTTACAAAACCTAACAGACCACATCATTAAAATCATCAATTACTTTGTATCTAAAATGCTCTATTTGAACCAATCAAACCAATCCTAAACTTATCAACACAAACCTTCACATTTGTAAGTCATATGCTCATCTTGGATAGACCTTCATTCATCAGACCACTTCACCTTTATCAAACAAGGACAGAAGAAATGATAAAGTAGTGACGATACAATTTGATATTCATTCCCAGAACATATACACTACACCACACTAGATCTTTAATATATATATATATATAGAAAACATCTGTGGTGCCAGATGTATTAGTGCGACCAGTGAAGTGTTGCCCCGGTGAGAATGAATGAATTAAAAAATAGAACAAAATTGGATGAATTATTTTTGAACTTATTCGATAATGTTGTCAGGGCCAGTTTATGGCACAGACCAACTATAGGCCATGGCCTGAAGCCCCGCTTAATCATTCTCTGTGTTTCCCATAGCTCTCTCGCTTGGTTCAATAAATCCTCTCAATAAACAGCTGGTACAGTAGGGCCCTAATATAAGCAACCGGTCGGGTGACAGCTTGAAATTGCTTATGACACTGTTATTTCTTTTGATATTTTGTATTTGATGGATGGATGGAGGCCTGTGTAATAGGCCCAATGAAATATTTGGCCTCGGGCCCCGCAAAACCTTAATCCGGCCCTGGATGTTGTATTCAAAGTAAGGACTGTTACAGCTTCTGATGAACGCAGCTCTTTCATCAACGCAGACATTTTGCATCAATTCCAAACTGAGGTCCATCCATGTATACATGCCATGCACGTAAAAAACATTTGTAGCTGAAAATCGAAGAAGATTAGGTGAAAATGACACTGTCCGGGCAAAATGATCCTACCTTGCATTGTATACACATAACATTAGATATAAAATTACCAAGAGATGTTAATCTGCTGTATGTCTTATTAAATAAATGAAATGAAGTTAATGTCTACTTTTCTGCACCGACTAATGAAGACATTTTGTAGGTATTATAGAGTGGGGTTTCGTTAAGGATTGGATCTGCTATGTAAACTTGTTGGGTGTGAATTTTCATGCAGCTTTTGAATTTAATACAAACAGGGTAGATCTACCAGAAAATGGAACATAAATGCCCACGAACAGCAACTGCAGACTGTGATAATTTTAAGTACTGTATGTGACAAACTTCTTTCCAACCAGATAAAGAAGACACCTTTATTACATGAATGTAAAATAGTTTAAACGGAATGCCGAGATCAATATTAAACTTGATGAATTACTGATATCTGTTGGTTGGGTCAGCTGACCATTTGATTTAAAACACAAATGACCATCTTACAAAACCTAACCAATAACAATATTTACCCTTCGTAGAATGAGGAAACTGTTTTATAAATTTGGACAATATGTCAAGCAAATAAATTTCAGTCTGTATTTGTTGATATACTGCTATCTGTTGGTTGGGATAGGTGACAATTTGATTTGTGACACAAATGACCATCTTACAAAACCAAACACACAGCATTTTATTATTTTTGATTGATTTGGAAATACCATTTTGCCAAACAAAACTTCCTCCTACTATTAGATGTCTTGTAGAAATAATCCTGCTTTTATTTGTCTATTCGATCTGACATATGTGGCAACTTTACGAAGACCTAATAGAAACAATATATCTAATATTCCGTTAGTTAGTCAAATGTGGAATGGAAGTGATGCATAATAGTTAATAACAACCCCATATTGTATAAATATTTTAGGGTTTTAAGAAATAAGAATTCAATTCCTTGCTTTCTTTTCTTTTGTAGAATTCAATATTATCTATTGGTTGGGTCAGCTGACCATTTGATGTGTAACACAAATGACCATCTTACAAAACCTAATGGACGACATTATGTTTCTTACTGAACTTGTGCCTTTACCTTTCAATAGAAAGTGTTTAATAAAATGAAATGAATCTGTTAATATTCTCTTGAAAACGTAAAACGTCAAACATCTTCTCATGTAATTATTATGGCTGTAGTGTAGATAAGTGGCAAACATCAATTGTGTATGGAATTGTTTGAAACTATGGTTGATTTAACTGACCTTTTACAATTTTCCATTATACATGTAACTTATATTAAATTATTAACCAAAGGCTCCACCCACTGTGTTATTTGATGGTCTAATGTTATCTGTTGGTTGGGTCAGTTGACCATTTGACTTATAATACAAATGACCATCTTACAAAACCTAACAGACCACATCATTAAAATCATGTATTAAATTGTATCTAAAATGCTCCATTTGAACTAATCAAACCACGTCATTAAAATTATATATTCCTTCATATCCGAAATGGCCCGATTGTTGACGGTTACATCATGTGACAACCTTAATATTAAAAAAAAAATGTCCTTAATATTCCTAAAATGCAAACTCATAAAGTCTGTCTTTCGTCGACCATAAACACATACCTTTAATTTTGTATATCCTACGCCTATCTTGGGTAGACTTTAATTGTCAGACAGCTTCATCTTTACCTGTTTGACGTAATGGACATTCGGTTGATTTTCTTTTGACAACTGAATATCGAATTACACCAAACTGATAAGCATTCTAGACTTGTTCAGTATTTACTTTGAACTTTCGATCTGGCAAGCTAAGAATAAAATGTTTAATAAAGAAAGCGAATTTTTCAAATACAATATAATACTTACCTGTCAGATTCACGCTTCCAAAGCGAAGAAGCAGAGACATTCAGCCTTATGTAGATAAATGAAGCGCTAGTGGAGGCGGGCGTTATAAAGTTGTGTTATTTTAAACAACCTTATATAGTAGATTATTTAACGGTATATTAGATACATTTTCACAGTTTGGCAAACCTCTTTCCTGGCAACATTTCCATCCGTGACAACGTTTAGGACCAAAGTGATAATTGATCCCTACTGATAATCAAATTTAGCACACTAACTGTGATTTAGTTAATCATGTTATTGTGTTTAAACAGTAAATGTGTTTTTATGACGAGGACGCGTGTCGAAATTTCAAACTGTTACAAACATCCTCATCATCTCGTTATTGGCGGTTCCGTTCCTTTACCGGACAACAGTAGCAGGAAACGTTGTTTTTTTTGGGGGGTGTGCGGGGGGGGGGGGTATTCCTTTTATCTTCACCCCGACAAAGTATCAGTACGGAGAATTCATTTAGTATAATACTATTATTAATGTTTACGGCTTCTGCAAGGTGTATTACAATATGAATCATGTTAAATCTTTAAATTTATTTCGGGAGAAAGTTACACAACTTATTGAGGTTAAACATGCATTATGCAAGAGCAAAATCTGCTTATTACAAGTCTTTCTTTAGGCCTGAAATGTTATCTAAATTATCAATTAGACATTAATTAACTTATCCAGACCATAATAAACTCTCGATGTCAAGGCTAGCCTTCGATGTTGGCTGGATTAGATTCCTATATCCTGGGTGTGATTGACAATATTGCACCACTGGAGAAAAATCCATTGCTGATATATAACCTATCAATTTTTCTAAGCAATCCACAAATACTTTGTGAATTTTGGAATATATAATTGTCATTCATTACGGTAATTTCTTCCTCGCATTGTAAAATAAAGTTTTGCTTTTATTTGCATAGATAATTATTATCGATTGTTATAGAAACCCAACAGCTATTGTCTTTGCTTCAGTTAAATATGCGGGAAAACTTATTTTCTTGTGGCTAAACTTCATTTTCTAAACTTCTAAAGGGAGTCGCAATTGCTCAGTGTGTGATGTCTACGCTTCATTCCTGGTGTTTGCCAAAAACGTTCTGGGGGATGTTCCATCGTGGTTCCCCCTGGTCAGTGGT